TGTCATGAAGCAGTGGCCACTGCCTCGTGAACAAGTACTTGCGATCGACAAGTTCTTTGCCGATCGTTTAGCTGCGGGCCATGGGAGGGAATCAACTTCCCCACATAGCTCTCCGACCTTCTGTGTGCGAAAAGCAACAGGAGGGTGGCGGATAGTGCACGCGTTCAACAAATTGAACGCTGCAACGGTACCGGCTCAGACGCCGATACCGAGGAAGGACGTAATCATTGATGGTATGTCAAAGAGTACCATCTTTTCGTCCATGGATTTGATGAATGGCTTCTATCAAATCCTTATGCGGGAACGGGATATACCCTATACTGCAGTTAGCACGCCTAGCGGCATGCTCTGAGAATGGCTAGTAATGCCACAAGGGCTCAGTAATGCCCCTGCCACGTTCAACAGATGTGTATCACATCTGTTGAGACCAGTACGAGAATTCGCGCCGAGTTATTTCGATGACGTATTCATCCATAGTCGAGCTATGGATGGAAAGTCGGACGTTGAGGTTCACAGGTATCACGTCCGACAAGTTCTTACAATCATGCGAAAGCATCAATTGTATGCTAACCTCAAGAAGTGTATATTTGCAGCAAGCGAAATACCACTTCTTGGGTGCATCGTTGGTAAGAACGGTGTACGTCCTGATCCCGAAAAAGATCAAGGCAATCACCGACTGGCCTGTGTCGGTTGATGTCAAAGGTCTTCGAAAATTCCTTGGGCTAGCGGCGTATTTGCATAAGTATTCACGCAATTACGCCGAGATGACTGTGTACCTCTCTCGTTTGTTGAAAAAGAACGAGAGGTGGTTATGGAACGCTGAATGTTAACGCTCCTTTGAGGGTATCAAGCAGAGCTTGATACAATCCCCAGTCCTAGCAATAGCCGATCAGGACAGGCCATTTCATGTGGTCTGTGATGCCAGCGATTTCGCAATCGGCTGTGCATTAATGCAGTACGATCTTGAAAGCGTTGAACGCGTCGTCTGCTATCAGTCGCGTCAGCTGCAACCAGCTGAGCGGAACTATCCCGTGCATGACAAGGAACTCCTTTCCATGAAGTATGCACTCGCGAAGTTCAGAGTCTATCTCTTAGGAGATAGACCCTTCACTGTTTACACTGACCATGCGTCATTACGCACGGCAGTGAACAGCCCGCACCTTTCACAACGAATGGCGCGGTGGTTGTCATTCTTTGCGGAATACAACTTTACGGTCGAGTACAAACCAGGACGACTTAATGTCGTCGCTGATGCACTCTCACGTCGTCCCGACTTTGAAACAGTCGCGAAACCCAACAGTGAGACAGTCACTGTTGCGGTTATGACGTCCTCAGTCCCATCTACAACGTTGTACGATGATGTGAGGCGGGCATACGCCCAAGATGGTGAGATAGTGAAGTTGTTGACACATCTCTCCCAACCATCTCGAGAATCGTTGAAACGATTGTCGCCTGCGTATCGATCTGCATCAGATCGATACACTACTCGCAACGGTTTACTGTATTATACAGCCGTTTCTGGTGACACACCACGTGTTGTCATTCCAGATGATACTGATCTGCGTTTGCGGATCATGTTCGAGTATCACGATGCTCCTATAGGAGGACATCGTGGCCGGGAGAAAACATATCTCACGGTGAGTCGAGACTTTTACTGGCCCGCCAGTATCAGTTTGTGCGAAAGTACATTCGCGCATGCGAAGTCTGTCAACGAGTGAAGTCAATTCCTTCACTGCGTGCACCTTTACAGCCTCTACCGGTTCCGGCTGAGTGCTGGGAATCCATCTCAATGGATTTTGTCTTCGGGTTACCCAAAGACGCACGCGGGAATACGGGTATTCTCGTATTTGTTGACAGATTCAGCAAAATGGTACACCTTGTGGCTGTACCAGAGTCAATCACGGCAAGTGGCTGTGCTTGTGTCTTTATTGACACCATCTTCCGACTTCATGGGTTGCCCCGTGAACTCGTATCAGACAGAGATCCACGATTCACTGCTGATTTCTGGCGTTCCGTGTTCAAATCACTCGGTACGCGCTTGAAGATGTCGACATCTGATCATCCAGAGTCAGATGGTCAGACGGAACGTGCCAATCGTGTCCTCGAAGAGATACTTCGAGGATACGTACACTCCTTTAAGAGTTGGAGTGAGTTTTTGCCAATGGTAGAGTTTGCCATTAACAACTCGGTGCATGCGTCCACGACACATGCACCGTTTTACGTGAATGGCTTGCGCCATCCGCGTGTACCCACCTTACTAGAGTGTAACTCTGGTTTAAGGGGGGAGGGACTCGCGCGAGCAAAAACCGAATTGGTTCACGCTCATCACGCTCTGACGAAGAAGTCATTGCGTTTGATGCCGATATCGATAACATCGGTATCGAAGAAGATGATGCCAGTGAGAGTGCGGAAGCCCTCACTGAAGAAGATGATCCCAGTGAGAGTGCGGAAGCCCTCACTGAAGAAGATGATCCCAGTGAGAGTGCGCCCACAGCACACTGAAGCTAACGAGTCATCAGATGAGTTCATACTGGCTCGTGAAACGGTAGTCCGTTTTGTGCAAGACTCCATCGCCGAAGCGGTGGATAAGCAAAAGCAAAACGCTGACAAGAATGGAAGGGCAAACACTCTTTTATTCAATAAAGGTGACTTAGTCCTACTGTCTACGGTTAATCTACCAAAGCATGTAGTGACTAACTTGGGTAGCAGTAAACTACTACCCAAGTACATCGGCCCATTTCGGGTATTGCACCGCCTAGGCAATACATACACGATCGAGTTACCACGTAAGATGCGAACGCATCCCACGTTTTACGTTGGTCGGCTTAAGCCGTACCATCAGTACGCTGCTTCTTCCGATGAAGAACGCCCTTGCGCTCAAGCATCTCGCAGAGAGCCTTGTGCTCCCGATGGTGGACATCAACAAGGGTCTGAAGAGCAGCTATCTCATCCCGAGACCGATCAACAATCCCACGAGCTACCCTTAGCTCGTCACGAAGAGATGTCAGAGATCTCTCGTTCTCAAGCTGAGCAAAGGCAAACTCAGCTCGATGCTTCGAGGCAGTGTCCGCCATTTGGAGACGCCTATTCCGCTCATGTTCGAGATCGTCGCGTAACCCTTGCGTTACGCGATCGAAGAAGCTCTCGGGAACACACCGATCCCCATGATCGTGTGGAGAGCGTCTTTCCTCCTCCTCCTCCTCCATTAGAGGACTCTCGCGGTGGCCAGCGCTATCTAGTTGAGCAGCTGTTGAACCACCGCGAAGTGAACGGACGTCGGACGAGTTATCTCGTCCGATGGCGCGGCTATCCCCCGTCCTGGGATTCTTGGGAGCCCCGCTCCCAACTGATGATCGACGTACTGGGTCTGGTTGAGCAGTACGACGCGGCACATCCTGTGCCGCAGAAGGACCGCCGGAGAAAGTCTTCCCGGCACGGTCGTAAAGGGATTTCAAGTTGTCAATCCTTCGTACATCTCAGTAGAGACACGTACGCGCCACCACGGGCTGGTAAGGAGGTAAGCCTCCTTAGGTGCTCGTGCAGAGTTGTTCACACAACATGGGCACGAGTCTCCCCAAGAGAGGCAGGGTAATCCTTTCTCCCTTGACAGACGATGCAGCTTGTAGCGTGCACCTGTCGGGGTTCGCTTTTCAAACTTATCACGAGCTTTGACAAGTTTGTCGTTCCAAGCGTCACGACCTACATCCTCGAGGTTATGAATGTAGGCGTTCCACGCCTGAAGTAGTGAGGGACCATCACGCTTGTGATTCCCACTGTACCATCGATGTCTAAAGAAAGCATCGATGAAGAAATCATGTTCAGCGCGATAGTTTTTCGCGCTGGGGTCAAGGTGATGGATCCTTGACGAATCGAACAACCGTGTTCGATAACGATCACTCGTCGTCGCCGACAAGTGATCCATGACCGATTTAGGAGGCATCCATGCCTTCTTCTCAGGAGCGAGACGCAACACATTGCGGTCCCGCTCTTCCTGCGATGTGCCGACAGAAGTACTGGCACCTCGCTGTGAAGTGGTGTCAATAGGAGAACCGACACCACTGTTAGCGCCCGAGTCTCGCGACCTCGAGCGCCTTCGCTTCGGCGATGGTTCATCTGATTCATCAGATGAACCAAAGATGCTGCGACGCAAAGCATCGTCCATGCCACGCTTGGCAGGCGGCTTAGATTCAACCGCCGTCGATACGGATTCGTCATCCGTATCAGGATAGTACGAGACACCGAGCTCGTACTCTGTGAAGACATGAGTGTCTTCATGATTAGCGCCTGCATCACCAAGTGACACAGGCTGGGTCGCTTCAGCAACCGATGAGACATCAGTTGCTGTTGTTCCTGCTTCGGCGTCCGCACAGAGACGTGCAGACGCGCTCTCGGCGGCCTTGCTCGCGCATCGCATGGGCTTGTTAACCATGCGACGAGATGTTGGAAAGTGGACGCGGACCAACAAGTGCAAACCCTGTCCCAAATGATTTGGGACGAGTATCCATTTAGTCAATCAGTCACTAAAGTGACTGATGGTTAAGGGGGGGGTGATGTAACGGGGTGAATCGTTACATAACAAGTTATAAGAAATTGTTAATAGAATATAACTATAAGAGTTATATTCTCAGAATATTGTCATAAGGACAAATATTCTGTAGCACTTACGAGTAGTTCCTAATTGGTTGATATAGGCCATTATATCAACCAACGAAGACGCGCCACGACAGACGCACGCAATGAGTGGTGAGCAGATAACTGATTTACACATTTGTATTTAGACATAGTTAGATGAAGATAAATAGTGATTTATTGCAGACATTAACTATACTAAATACAGTTCTACTTTTTACTTTAACCAAGTACTCGCTTCTTCTTACCGTCTTCCTCTGCACGTACCAGTGTACGTGAAGTTACGAGGCACCGCCTTATTCTGTCATCAGAATAAGTAGCTTGTACTGTCACCAGTACAAGATTCAGGGTGCCCCGTTACACCAACGCTGATGGATCAAGATGCTCAGGGTCAAGTCCAAGCGCCAGCCAGCACCCAAACTGACGACGACAGAGCCAGTAAGGCTTCTGGCGCGAGCGAGGGCATGGCCAGGCTGCTAGAACTGATAACGGACTTAAAGGGAGACATGGGAGCTTGTCTTAATAGGCTTGAGGCCCGCCGAGTCGAGGATGATCAAGGTTCAGTCGTGTCAGCAGGTAGCAGCACCTTCCGTACGTATGCGGAAGCGCGCACCGGATTCGGCCGGAACATGACGATGGCCTCGCTCGAAGGCGAAGTCATGCCTGGAACAGCGCGGCAACACGCAGCAGGACCAGGGCAACAAAGGCTGGCTGGAGGGAGGGCCGGTGTAGGTCCAGTTTCGCAGGTGCCACGGGAGTCGGCTTTCAGACCGGTTCCTACACCAGCATATTTTGCTCCGCAAAGGCCACTGCAGATCAGGGATATAAACCGAGCGATCGAAAACTTCGATGGCAAGGAGGTTTATCCAGGACTAGGGTCGGGATTTGCACCTTGTGGGAAGAGATTACTACGCCAAGTTCGTATCGCCGAAGAACTTAGTGGGTGCATCTGGACCGTGGACATCAAAATGGATGTACTTGGTCGGTATTTGACTGGCAAGGCTGGTCAACATTTTCACAGTCAAGTGGATACATGGTACACTAAGAATCCACAGATATGGTACTCGATGGACCGGATGAACATCAAATTTGGACCTAGGATCTCAAGGTCACAGTCGTTTAAGCTGTTCACGTGTAAAAAGAAGGAGTCGATATCGTGGAATGACCATGTGCTATATCTAATATTGGTCAGCGACGCAGTCGGATGCGCACAAGACCAAGTGCTTGAAAATATAGCCAAGTACGCATGCTCCGCGACCGACTTCAAGGTGTGCTCCTCGCAAGATACAATCCTCATCGTGAGGATTACTTACGGAAAGCTAAAGAACTGGTGAATTTCGCCCAGTTATATGACCCGGGTATTCGCATTGGGTCCAAGTCAACTGTGGCCGTCGTCAAAGGCATTGAATCAGGACGGCGCAGAAAAGATGGAGAGAGAAAAGTCAAGAAGACTGGAGCGTGTTTTAAGTGTAAAAAGAAGGCCACTACGAACTTGAATGTACCAGTAAGACAAAAAACAGTTTTACGTCAGCTGTCTCCGACGGTATCGACTCTACCAGCCAACGGATACTGGACAGCGGGTCAAGTCGTCATTTGGTGACAAAGGCGTCGCAACCGATCGACGCGGTAAAGTGCGATGAAGAGTGCTTACTTCCTAATGGAGATAGCTTGTGTATGCAGTTAAAGGGTACAGCCGAATTCGTGGTCAGCGTTGACGGCGAAATTCGCCGGGTGAAACTGATCGATGCGTATTACGCAGAAAAATTACCGTTTAATATCATATCCTATGGCAAGATCGAGGAGCGCGGGTTTGAACTTCGTACGATGGACATAAGCGATCAGTGGTTCGTCGGCGTGATGGATGCAAAAATTTGATGTTGACAAAGACGACAGCAACGTGTTGTTCGTGAATGTTGTTGACACAATTGAGCACAAGGAGTTTTGTACGGTTGCAGCAATTGCTGAAGCTGTTTATACGCCGACTTCGGACTTTCGGATGGGGAGTCTACTCGATTTTCACCTAAGCTTTGGACACCTCGCCTACGATACAATCGAATTAATGGCGAGTGATCCAGCGAGTGGAATAAGGCTAACAGACACCAAGCGACCCACATGCTTGACGTGTGCGCAAGGTGAGCAGCGCCGCAACAAGCAGTCGAAGAAAGACACGGGTGAAAATGCGCCGATCGATAGGGTGGGTGGTGTAACATGCAGCGACATCAAAGGTCCAATAACGCCGATTGACAGGGTGGGAAACCGATATTTAATTAATTTTATCGACCATAAGAGTAACTACTGCCGGGTATTCTTCGCCAAGACGAAGGACAAGGCGACCAAGCATTTCAAAGACTTCATGGTCTACTTTGAAAATTGCTTCAACTGCAAGGTTCAATGCCTTCGTATGGATGGAGGCGCCGAGTACAAAGTTGTTGACCCGTTTTGTTAGAATATAGGTGTGCGTCGCCAGGTTTCAGAAGCTGACAACCAAGCGTCCAACGGAAAAGCGGAGAGGATGCACCAGACATTGATGGACCTGGTGCGATCAATGATTTTCGGCTCAAGACTACCGTTGAGCTTCTGGGGTGATGCAGCTGAGTACGCAGCCTATATACTCAACAGAAGCCCAACGCGGAGTAATGTGGGGCGGGCACCCCCTATTGAGATACTTACAGGTATCAAACCCAGGCTTACTGATATTGTTATATTTGGATCACCGTGTACCGCTATTCGGTCACCAAAACACAAGGCGCTGGATAGACGTGGGGAAGCAGGATTGGTACTCGGGAAGAACGACGAGGTTAAAGGTTTTCGCGTGTTGTTTACAAAGGATCGTGTGGTACGCACAACACAGCATGTGCGGAACATCAAGACGCTGAGTGAAGACGCAAACGCACAACTTCATCGTCTGACAGATGTCCAATCAGGACAAGAAACTCATCAGCTAATTCCTTGCATTCGCTAATGAGAACAGAACCAGTCCTGCTGATTTAGTGACTACAAGTGCAAGCCTCAAGTCTATCGAGTCTGACGGCTCCTTTGATTTTCATCAGACCGATGTAGATCATTGGGAGGAGTCACGTGCCTGTACAGGGCCACATAGGTCGCGTGGTATGCGCGGCGGTCAAGGGAAGCGGTCGAATATCAAGATAATCGCCGAGTCACCACGCATGAGAACGCGATACGGTGGTAAAAAGACACATCCACGTGAGATTGTTGGAGCAACTTACCGCGTGGATCCAAGTAATTGGAACATGGCTATGAAAAGTGATAAGCGCGTGGAATGGAAGCGCGCCGCAAGCGCTAAAATCGACTCGTTGAAAGCAAATTCTACGTGGGAGTTGGTTCCACGAACTCAGGAGATGCGACCACTCCATACCAAGTGGGTCTTTAAAACGAAGACGGATGCCGATGGTAACATCGAGCGTTGCAAGGCACGCATGGTAGCGTGTGGCAACGAGCAGTCGTTCGGCAAGGATTATACCCTGACTTTTGCCGCAGTAATGGATATGAAGACAGGCAAAGTCATACTGGTACTGGCTCAGATATGGGGAGTTCCAACAAGACACATAGACGTACCTAATGCGTACGTGAAGGCGTCTACGGAGCCGGACCTTAATATCTACTTGTACGTCCCGCAGGGAATGCAAATTAGCAAAGAAGAAACTCAGCGACTTGGTGTTGAAAATGCCGGTTAATTGGTTCTTCAGCTCAAGAGAAGTCTATATGGGCTAAAGCAAGCCGGGAGACTATGGTCTCAGCTTCTACACTCAGAGCTACTTCGATTTAGATTTGTGCAGTGTGTGAGCGACTCATGCCTTTACTTTAAAGTAAATGGTGACGATAGGACGGTCGTGGGGGTATACGTCGATGTTTTGCTGATTACAGGAACGTCTGAGGGGCGCGTGGAAGAGGTATTATATCTCCTTGTAACGCTGCAGATAAAGAATCTGGGTGCTGTCAGCAAATTTCTGGGCATGAGAATCAGTCACTCGGATGAGTTTGGATACGAAATCGATCAAGAAGCAACTATCATCGAGATGCTGATGAAGTTTGGATCACAATATGCGCACTCGGTGATGACGCCAATTGGGCTTGATCACAACAACAATACGCACGAGGTGGATACACTACTACCTAAAGAGGGCATGGTTGGAGGTGCATCGGAGAAGAATTTCCAGTCGATCGTTGGATCGCTTTCATGGCTGACCCGCTGTACACGTCCGGATGTAGCATATGCCGTCCATCGAGCAACTCGGCGAGCTCATGCGACGAACGATTGGCAGCTGGCGAAACGAATTGATAGATAAATGAAGGGTACTAAAGATTTCAAGTTTCGTTTAGGACAACGAAAAGGTACAGATGAATCGATTGTACAACTCACTAGCACAAGTGATGCAGACTTCGCCGGTGATAAGAGCGATCGGAAGTCAGTGAGCGGCGCTTTATTTCGTTGGACGGTATGATGGTGGGTTGGACCTGTCGGAAGCAGACAACCGTCTACTGTCAACGATGGAAGCTGAATTTACGTCGGCATTGCAGGCCGGACAAGAAATAGGAGGCCTACGTGAGCTGTTATCCGAGTTGGATTTTTTCGTGAACTTACTTATGACAATGGAAATGGATAATCAAGCGGCCATTCATAAGATGGAAAATGAAGAGAGCTCGGCACGCGCCAAGCATATTGATATTAAGCTCAAGTTCATCAAGGACTATACTAAGAAGGGGATTATAAATCCCAGCTTCGTGTCAACTGAGGCGATGACTACAGACATACTGACGAAGGCATTCAGCGCCACTCGCCTAAGGGTACTTAAGGAGATGTGCTCATTGTACCGTTGCAAGATGGAATAAAACAAGGTGTGTAATCACAAACACACGGCACCGTGAGGAACGAGTGTTGGAAGACAATGCTGCAGCGAAGTTTCTGGGACTCGCTGAAGACGTTACCGGACTCGCAAGGGGTTTTGAAACGTCTTCCATTGTAATGGTCACGGCGCGGTGGCTACGGCGAAAGATGAAACGGCTCAAGGTCGAGAGATTTAAGGAGTGTGAGGTGCAAGTAACGCACGATGGACAGGTAAGTGTGATAAGAAGAGAGTTAAGGCTTACATGCATAATACATTCACTTTGTCTTTTGCTATACAAGAACTCATGGAATTTCAACCCGACGTCAAGGACCAAAATTTGGTATTCCTATAATTCCCTTCCAGCAGAAACGTACGACAACTCAAAGATGACAAAGGAAGCTACTCACGCGCATGAGAAAATGGCTTTGCGATTGCTGTACTATGGTCGGGTAAATGGGGTTATCCTCAGCCATAAGGCAGTTGTGCATGCTCTGTACGCAGGGAGGATACTGAAACGGGGTCACAAGTCTGTTATCGTCCTAAAGAGATATACCTTGTATATGTGATATTGTAATTCCAAGTTTTATCTGTGATGATTGATGCGGTTGATAACCTCAGTCGTTTAGTGATGACAGATTGATGTACCATCCATCAATCGCTAATAAACTGAAGATGACTATGCGAATTAGTTTAACCTTAGTAGTAGGTAGTCGAACGAGGTTTATTACGGATAAAACTAAGAAATTAAAGCTCAAATTCCCTTTTTGGTCTTAAATTGACACGTGGAGATTTTAGACGTCGGCAGGTCATCACGAGTAAGAGCCATATTGAGGTGTTTACTCGAGAGCACATTGTACGTACAATTCCTAAAGTCGTTGTTAGTCCTCTAAACCAGGATTAGAAGCTCTGCGAGCTTAAAGACTCTCCGAGTTTTGCTTATTAGCTCTAAGAGCGAAAGACTATTTATACTAATAGGAACTTGGTTCGGTAGAACGAAGTGACTTCCAGAGTCGCAAGTCTCCCTCTGACTAAGAGCTGTGCAGCTCCACTACAGACACCATCACACCCGACGATCTGAACAACCAGCTCTCAGACAAAGGAACGAGTGGGCGGTGCTCACGTGCTTATTTACCTTCTTTAAAGAACGAAAAGTGAACCATGACTCCTGACAAAAAGTGAACTACCGTGCCGCACCCTCACCTGCTTGCTTCATCCACGAAGCAGGTGTAGGTGGAATCGCGTTCGACAGCGGCACTCTTTTGACGACCACGTTTACCAATCTTACTGGGGCTCCCATGCTGTATGATGTTCATCTACTGTTTATCGCCGTTCATATCGCTACTACCTTTTTCGTTGTTCAGGAGCTAATTCTGTCGTAATCGCTAATATTCTTGTCGGGCTGCAACCCTTCACGTGCGCACAAGTGTACCTCGCGCGGCTACTGGGGCAAATCTCTATGTTAGATCGGTTTCTCTAGCTTTTCTAATCATCTAGCTATTTCTATCGAAGCAGACGACTACGTATTCCATGTTTTGATTGGCCGTTTTACGTTTGTAGGCTATCCACTTGATTTTTTAGCAAGATGCTTGCTTTTGTAGGATCCCCCATTAGGCACACTCGAAGTCACTCTTAATCAAGGTCACTATTGTGGTGCACGGCTGTGATTGGCACAAAATCGCTTAAAGGTAAAATGATAAATCTAGTTTTTGTTACAACAAAAAAACTAAATATTTCAAATAGTCGAATACTAGACACTCATAAGAAAAGGCTGGACGTGTTGCCCTCGCATACTGCATTGGATAAATTAAGAGCATCATATTCTTTTCAGTGACTGCTGTTGTATAGTGTTCTGCAACTTGATTCAGTTCTTCCAACTGGATTGCTTACATCGAAGGTAAAGCTCCATAGATTGCTCCCCTATCTTAACAGCAAAGGTTGCCACGCTTATACGCACTTTGTCAGGTGTAGGCTAATCGGGAACTGATCATTTGATATAAATGAGGCACAAACTGTGAAAACGTAAAGAATAGACACGATACCTCGCACAATAGCACAACTCTAGCGGAATGACTATCGTGATGTAGACTGAACAGTTGCGTAACGTCACTTACGCTGACTGGTCCTCGACCTCTACATCGTTTGGTTGTGATACCCCAAAGCTAGGCGAACCGCGCGACCTACCTGGAAGCAGGAAGGCCAGACACGCTCGTTCATTGTGCCAAGCAGACAGCAGGTTCTGATCTCATCACATTTAAAGAAATGAAAGAAACTCTTTCTGATGCGAAACCCTTTCTGGCCAAGCTCTTCCTATTGTCATTGTGTTTATCTCCATGCGGTATCCAGAACGTGGCGTCCCTTCTATTGACATTATTGTGCACAAATTAAAAATATACGCAGAGAAATGTTCACTATCAGATTAGACCCCGTTCCTAAAAATAGTCCCACTCAAGTCCTACATTGTACAAAATTGACCATGTTACGTCGTCGTCTCTCCTCACTGGCCGCCAAGCCCGCCTGGGTGCGTCCAGGCTCGTACGACTACCTGCGCGGAGTGCTTGAGAGCCGTGTTTATGATGTGGCTATTCAGACGCCATTGCAGCTTGCACCGGCGCTAACACAGTCACTACCGGGCAATTGCCGTCTCTTTCTCAAGCGTGAGGTGCGTGCATTTCATGTTCGATACCTGCATACCTACTGACTCTTGCGCTGCTTGCTGCAGGACATGCAACCAACGTTCTCGTTCAGTGTACGTGGGGCTTACAACAAGATCGCCAGTTTGACGCCAGCTCAGCGGGAGAAGGGCATTGTGGCTTGTGCGGCTGGCAACCATCTCGAAGGCGTGGCCTACGCTGCTGCTAAGCTGGGCATTGACGCAGTCGTCATTGCGCCGGTTGGGACGGCGCAAAACGTGTCTTACTCTACGAAGACTCAGATTACAATCGTAGAGCATGGCGCGGACTTCGAGGCATCACTGGTGCGTTTAGGCGCGATATAAAATGTTGAAGATTGGCAAGGGTTTCCATGTGACGTAGTGGAGTATTGTGATGCAGCAAGAAGCGTTCCGAGTCGCGCATAGTGAGGGCCGATCACTGGTCCACCCGTTCGACGATCCGCTTGTGATCGCTGGCAACGGCACGATTGCCATGGAGATATTGAAAGAGGTACTGAAGCGAATGTGCGATTAGGATGAAAGCTTTGATAACGTCATGATGTGTTGCTGACGCTGGCAAAACAGACGGCTGGGGATCGCCCGACAGCAATTTTTGCTCCGGTCGGGGGTGGTGGCTTGATCGCCGGTCTTGCCGTGTACGTGAAGGAGGTCGCCCCTGATGTCAAAATTATAGGTGTAGAAGCTGAAGGTGCCAATATCCTAGCACAGTCGCTGCAGCAGGGATCGCCTGCAACTCTCATGAGCGTGAACCGGTTCACAGAAGAAGTGGGCATCAAAAAGATTGGCACGGAAAACTATCGATTGTGCAAGGATCTGGTAGATGAGGTAATAACCGTGTCTACTGACGAGATATGCTCGGCGATCAAGGATGTGTTTGGCGACACGCGCTCGCTCATGGAGCCCACCGGTATGTGCACGTTGCCAGCAGAATCTTGTTAGCAAGCAGACTACAGGATATAATGCGGCACTGCTGTACGTATGCTGAGCAGGTGCAATCAGCGTCGCCGGAGCCAAGAAATACGCCCGAGTGAAGAACGCACACAACGAAAAGTATGTGGCTGTGCTAGCTGCTGCGAACATGGACTTTGACCGGTTACGCTTCGTTTCGGAACGCTCAGATGACCGTGAACGCTTCATGGCGGTCAAGATTCCCGAAAAGATTGGCAGTTTCCAGGACCTTTACAACGTCGTCTGTACGTATCCACGGCTGAAGATTGATATGATTCGGCATCACCTACGTAGCATATTCACATCTTTCTCCATCTTGCAGTCCCCCACAATGTGACCGAGTTCTCATACCGTATGAATTCGGAAGGAGACAACGAGGCGCGCATCTGCATGAGCATCCAGACCAAGACACAGGACGAGTTTATTGGCGTCGTCAAGATGATCAACAAGCGTAACGACATGCATGCAATTGACTTGGCCTCGAATGAGCTAGCCAAGTCACACTTGCGCCACCTCGCCGGTGGCCGTCCAGAAAACGTACGTCCCTGTGCTCATTGTGAGGTTGTCACGGCATTGCTGCCGATTATCGATTGCTCATCTCAATGGCCCTTCGTAGATCACAAACGAACGTCTGTTTCGACTCGAGTTCCCAGAGCGTCCCGGTGCACTGAAGGACTTTCTCGATACTCTCGGGTGCGTCATTTATTCTTGACTTGGGGTTACGCTGCCGATTGGTGCTGAGTTACATGTGCCTTGTGTCGATGCAGTCAATCTGCGCGTCAGTGGAATGTGAGTCTATTCCACTACCGCAACCACGGCGCCGATATTGGCCGTGTGCTAGTCGGATTCCAGGTACCACCAAAAGAAAGTGCAGCGTTCCTTGCGTTCCTTGGCCAAGTGGGGTTCCGCTGTGAAGAGGAGACGCATAACCCGGCGTCGAGCTATTTTCTGCGCTAGCTTTACTACTCACCTTCGCGTGTGGAAACGGTAGTCAAGCGTCGTCACGGGTACCTTGTTCGGGTCAACCCACGGGTTCGAGTAAAAACAAAACCCGGGCGCCTCTTCGAAACCCGGGTCAAGACTAGTCTGGGTCATGGCACTTCAGTCGATTCGTCACTGACCTTCGTCATTTGCTAAATTTGAACCAATCGACGTCGTCTTTCCGTTGCAAAGATTTTGTTTCCTCCCCAAACGGAAACGGCGAGCAAGCAGCCCGCCCCCCCTTGCGCGCATTCATTCTCACGCTCTCTCTCGCTGTCTCCTGGATCCCTCGTCGTCTTTGACCTGCGGTCGTGCTCTTCAGTCGCAAGCGGACTGTCTTGCGCGTGTGCAGAGCTCTCAACGTCGCGCGTCGGGACGTTAACGGTCAAGAAAGGGGAACTTACTGAAGAAGATGCAAGAGGCAGGCGCGACTGTCACGCCGCGCGCACCGCCCAGTGAACATGAAAAGAAACTCATGCATGTGATACTACAGGCCCCAGACACGCGTGTGGCACCGCTGCTGGCGTGCATCAAGGGCTGGCCCATGGAGGCGCAGGCGGACCTGGCCAACTGGCGCCGTGTACTGGAGAAGCTGCACCGACTGCTTCTGCTGGCGCTGCACCAGTGTCCTGCACTGCTATTGGTCGAAACGGAGCTCGAGAAGATGGAGCTGCCAGCGACAACAACAAGTAGGCAGACGGAGCGAGAGCTGACGGAGCAAATGCTGGAAATCTTGAAGTTTTCCGGGTTTCTGCTGGAAAATGCGGCTAACAAAGCAGTGTACCCATCAGCAGAGCCGGTCATGGCTCTCTTAGGTGCAAGGAACGAACGAGTGGTGACTGAAGCTATCAAAGTAGTGGCAATGTTGGCCATGCCCCCTCAAGTGCACCGTTACGCTGCAGACCCCACAAGTTTTGTGGACCATGCCGCAGGAAAGAATAGCCTACTGCGACGTCGATTACTTACAGTGGCAAAAGGACGGGGGATGTCTAGCATTGGTCTGGATGTGGTGGATTATCTCAATGGGACGAACACAGAGCCATTGAATGACATGAAGTTTCAGTTTTATGCTCCAGAACAGCAAGGAAAAGAGTTGACGTCCCGTGTGGTGACTGTGGCGATCCCACCATACGACGAAGTGATCGCGGCTATGGCGTCTCCGGAAGATGTTGCATATGCAGCAGCCACAGCGTGCGAGCGCTTGATCGCACTGCATCAGATTCCAAAGAAACTACATTTTCAGTTTTTCACACAGGTGCGCGCGTGTTATGCGTCGCGAAGTGCAATTGCCATCGAGAATTCGGTGGTTGAACGATTGCACGCACTTCTAGCACTTTTTTCGCTTTTCAGTGATGCTTGGGACGTGACACATTACGTCGAACAGCACCCAGAACTTACGCGAGAGATCGTGGAACTTATTCGCGTCGAGAGTATTGAGCGTGTACCTGTGCGCGTACGAGTTACGGCGTTGCTTGTGCTTACCGCGTTAGTGAACGATCGTGTTGGGAAAGCAGGTAGTATGGGTATGCTAGGACGTCAGTCGAACGTTTTGCAGGCTTTGGGAGTTGTGAAAGGGACACCTCATGGCGTTTTCCCTTCGCTTGTGCGGTTTTGTATGGCCGAGCTGAGCGATACCTCCGCAGTGGGTTTCGCGAAAGCCTCAGATTCTGCATCTCCCATCTTAATAGCGCAGGAAGCAGCTGATACCGACATGGATATGAGTCTGGCTGTCGCATTTGTTCTGGCTACGACCGATTTGCTATCTCCACATGAAGTGGAGGTGGTAAGTACGCCTCCATTTCGATCTCTTGGTGGCGGAAGTATTCCGGAGTCTAAGCTATACTGGATGGAGGGCGTTTTGGGACTCCTGACAGCTGTGGTAGCGATTCAATCTGGTGCCACTGTTCTCACGGAGAATGGAATCGTTCCGTCCCTTTTGCATGTCCTTACAATGCCCGCAGTGAATGCCTTCCACATGGCTGTGACAACACAGTGTGTGCAAGCGCTTGAAATAACGGTGAGCAGTCACCCGATAGCAGCTGCGCTCTACCGTGACCTGAACGGGGTCGAAATTCTGGTAAATCGACTGAAGCTGGAATGCACTTGTTCGCACGTGGTTTCGGAAACAAAGACGGTTCTATTGCTAGCCATCTTAGCTTCACTGTCAATGTCATTCCACTGTCAGGGTGTAATGAGCGCAGGGGCCACTAGCCGCGCTATCCGCGAAGGAAGTGCTCTTAGCACAGCCCTGCTCCAGCTTTTGTCAAACGTGGATACATTTGGACCAGTGATATTTGCTCAGGCGGCCATTGTGGTAGGGGACGTTATCAACAATGATCCAAGCAGTGTGAACCACGTCCATGCTGCTGGTTTGGCGGATGCATTCTTGAACACACTTACGCGGTGGGATATTGCGGAGCTGTACCCATCTCAGATCCTGTTGCCGCCATCCAGTGAATTGCTCACGGCAGTGCCAACTGTGTTAAATGCTTTGTGCCTTACAACTTCGCATGCAGAAAAGGTGGCAAAGTCTGAACCACTCATGCACTTGCTGGATTGTTTCGCACTTCCACAATATACACAAGATGAGTCCGAAGATTACTGCTTTCAGAGTGATACGGCAGCTGTTGTTGGCGCTGGTCTTCTTGAGCTAATGCGACACGTGCCAAGCTTTCAAAATGCTGCCATCGAAGCTGCGATTCATGCACTGAAGAAAGTGATTCGCTTTGGCGAAGAGGGTATTCCACCAAGATCTACACAGTCACCTCAACGCATCGGAGAACAAAAAGCTAATGATGTTTTATTACGGATGACGACTCACTTGGCAGATCTATTGGAGCCTTTGCTATCCAAGTCTGAGCACGCGGCGTATTTTGCCGACCTGGGAGGCATTCACTTGCTTTTGGCGCTCTATCAGCTAGTTTTACCCAGCACTTCCATCTTCCTGACGAATGTTTTGCCAAGCAGCAAAATTGTGCGACGTGGACTACCAGAAACCCCCTGCTCTTACAACGTAGCAGTGCAGTCGATCACTCTAGCGCTTCGCTCCTACGCATCTCAGCAGCCAACTGACCTTCTTGGAGCTATCATAAAAGAACTGGGCTTACAGATGGACAGTCTGAAACGTGCGCGCGCAATGGTTGGGCTTTCATGGTCCTTGAGCGAGAGCGGTGAAGGTGCCGAAAACGTGCTGAGCTCATTACCGGATTTGGATTTAGAGGAGCTGATTAGTACACGTGACGAGAGTGGTGCCACAAACGCGGTTGCTGATACTGTTGTGGTAGTAGGCAAGTATCTCCGGGTTTTAGCGGTGCTGGAATGGCTTGCCTCCATACTCATTTGGACGATGGAAACCGCACACACTCACATGCAGAGCCGAAGGTGGTTTACTGATTTTACAGCGTCAGCGACACAAAAAGTGATGGCGCGCCTGTTTTGCGTGGATCGCTCTGTTCAGTTTGAGCGGGCAAGCCTGGCGGCACTATACCAGAAAAGCCAAAAAGAAAAAGGCAGTAAGGTACAGACGAGGCAGACTGATGGATTGAGCACTAGCGTGGAGGTACCTGACGGATCGGGATCTGCTACACCAGAGTTCAATGTAGTAAAACGTGGTGGTAGGGGCACAGGTCTGTGGAAAATGGGCTCTTTGCTACTTCTGCGCTTTTCACTGAGCATGCGCAGTCTTTTGACGGCCTATAGTAAGGTTTTCTTATCAGCTCCGATGCAACATCGCCGAGGAGATAACATCGTGGTTCCCTTGACGCCACATGCTCGAGCACTAGCACGGACGGTTGCGCAAGTCTTAGAAAACCATTTACTTTATGTTGTAGCAGTGAGTCGCGCGGCACAGATCGACACATTCGTACAACAGTACTACCTCACGTTTCTCTTGGAGTCGATTTCGATTGTACTTTTTGAGGGAAAGAAAAAGCAAGCTAACACGTTGCTGCTTTTGGAGCTGATGAAGCCAATAGGCGACGTTTCGGAGGTGCAGACTTTAACTGCAACTCCTATAGTATCAAACGATGTTGCAATGACTCAAGAGGATGTCTCAGAAGAAGAAGAAAGGGATACTGTTAAGCTTGGCAAAGTTATCGCCACGTGTGCCGGTGCTCAAATCACGGCCTCAAACCTGATGGATGTGATCATCAATATCATCGAGCACTTTTTTGCCGTTTGTCTCAAAGGTGGACATGATGAAGCTAGCAAACCCAGTGCGAAGCCCTCTCAGATGGCGCTAACGTCTTTTTATATTGCAGCAAGCATTCTCCGAAATCTGTCTAATCTGGAAGCTTGGTCTGCGTCGCCGTTGACAGCGGCGTTACTTACTTGTGATGCAGCTGAGGAAACAGATGTAGCGCCATTTCGACTCCGAGAGCTTACCGTGCAGCTGCATGTTATGTGTGCGCGTGCAGCTTTGTCAATTTGGAAGAACCCGAGGTTTCCAAATTCTTCTATGGATTCGTGTATGGCGGAGGTAATGCCTATTGTCGTAACCATATTGAAAAATCGTATGAGTAGTGACGATGAAGCAGTGGAATCAGATGGTGAGAGTGAGCTGAGTGGTATAAGCCGTCGTGAAGGGTTGGAGAACGACCGTGATGGAAACTTTTCTAGCGAGCTTCACAATGAAGCGTTGCCTCTTCGGCGAGCGCTTTTTGGGGAATCGCGCAGAGGGGGGCCTGGAGGAAGCACTCGGAGTCCAGTGTTTGTGCCAGATTCTGAGATTGTTGAGAGCTTGGTGTCTGTGGGCTTTCCGCAGCTACGAGTTGAGCGGGCACTGCGGCAAATCCAAGTGAACAACGTGGAGTTAGCTATGGAATGGATTTTAGGTCACCCAGAAGACGAAAATGTGGCACACGATGGCGAAACACAATACGAGGAAGTGCAAGGTGATAACAGTGCAGCTGCAGAAAGTACGCTCCATCGAATGGAAATTGCGGCAGATGGAAAGAAGATGGATAGAGGCTTACAGGCGCTTTACGTTTTGTTGCGAGACAGCTTTGAAGCAGTCTGCTTTCAGATGTTGCGTGTTCACGCCGGCAAAGATAAATGCGAAGACGCGAAGCGTACAACAGGCTCAGACTCCACGGGAAAATTGTACCCAAGCCAAAGTTTTGTAACGGTGATCGCAGAGTGTTTCACCTTCTTGTGCTCACTCTCCGATGTGGACCGCGATTTGGTCGTTCAACGTCTGAACACTGCCATTTTGTATCACTTCAATGAAGGCGAAGCTAACGGGGACGAGTACTTGACCATGCTTACCCACCTATTGGCGCTCGTGCTTCAGCTAAATCCTGACACACGTGCTGTGCTGCAACTTCAATCGCCTTCGTGTATCGAAAACCTCGTGACGTACATTTCGGGTGTCGGTCTCTGCAAACGTGGAGATCTCAAGCCGTCATGTACGCCAATATTACTTGTTTTTGACGCAGTGGTAGCTGGAATGGCGACCAGACGATTATCTTCTTCAGGCGCCTCGTCTGTTGATGCTGCTATTGTAAGGAGTGAGACTAATATTGAGAGTGAGTCACGCAATGAGAAGGATGACCGTGGCCGAAAGAAAGACTTGTCCTTTGAGAAGCAACTTGTCAAGATTTGCTTGCAAACACTGAAGCGGGCATCGTCGGTGGCCTCAACGTATACCAGTAAGGTAGCAGCTCACGCCATTTGGCAGCTCTTGGTGCGTCTGACGCTCCAGTATGACTTGTCGTCGTACTTTTCGTCACACGGCGGCCTTGATGCAGTGCTGGATATCCCGGAAAGTTTACTGTTCGCTGGGTACCAAGAACTGACCTGCACGTTGCTCTCGCAGACACTGGAATCACCCGACGTCCTAGAGCACATGATGGAAGAAAAAATTCGGCGTGCCATCGCCAAGTTATCAACGCGATTTGGTCCGCCAAGCCAGATGCGTATCACTCTGCGTGCGCTGTTGACAGAAGTTGCCCCGTTTGCAACTCGTGACGAAAGTGTGTTCCTAAGCGCATTGCAAAAGTCTGTGCGGGTAAAGAAGTCTGAGTCGGGTCGGGCATACGTCGTACCAAGAAGTACAAAGGCTGACGGTACCGACACATTCACAGGGCAGTCTTCTTGTTCTCTCCTGGATCCGAATAGTGCGACAAGTGGAGCAAAGGCTTCGCGCAAATTCCCTAAGGATCACAAACACGACGCTCACATTGCTGTGCAAAAGATCATTGGTCGCATCCGTCGATTGTGGGTTCTTGAGAAGCATGCCGAGCAACAGCAAAATGCAGTGGGCAATGAGGTTGGAGCCAAATCCGCAGGAGTGTGTGTGGGTATGTACTTGCAGCTACTAGTCCATCTGATCACCCATTTTCCTGCATGCGCGACAGTCCTGGCTAAAGGAAAAGATGAGGCTGGTCTGCATCGGGAGCGTGAAAGCTTTCTACGTCTCGTGCTGTGCGAATTCTTACCATCCCGCGAACTCTGCCAGTTTGTGGCAGCTCGGAAGACTCTGAAAGAGGACGGGTATTACGGAAACAGTAGACTAAGCAGTTTTGACGTCGAGATGCTTGTTGCCGATGTCAAAGAATTCATTGACCGACGTACAAGGTTGCGTGTGCAGTATGCGCACAGGCTATTGGTCAGCATTGGCAGCCGTTCTGGCGAAGGTTCAAAGTGTATTATCTTACAGCTCGTCCATTTGCTTCAAGAGTGGCCGCAAAATGCTGGTGTTAACATTGCAGGCGGTAACTGTGACTTAACTGTAAGAGAAGAACGAGCGTTGAGCTCTTTGCACGCGTGGTCGGGTTTGATCATGAGCATTTTATGGCCAAAGGGCTCTTCAAAAGGATTTGCGTGGGACAAGGTCGTGTTAGGAGGAGGATTGAGGGGTAAACATGTTTTTGTGACTCTCCTAGCCAACGCGTTACGACAGATTGACCTGACACACCCATTGGCACACGCTATTTGCACGATGTTGCTTCGCCCGTTATCGACACTGACGCGGTCGTTTGTAACACGCCGTATACGGCGTTTACAAAAAAAGCGGAATATTTGCTCGGCTGACTCGGGCAATGCGAGTTTGGCAGACCGTGATTCTAACCAGACGTACAACGACTCGGGCGTTGAAGTGTCTGTCGTAACAGCGTTGGCGTCAGTTCCAGATTTGTCCATATCGGAGGAAGCTTGTGACACTGCAGAGTCGGGAAACCGGAATGGCAGGATGCAGGTAATAGAGACATCCGGACCACCGTATTCCGATGGGACCAGATTTTATCCGCTACGTGAAGAAGATGATGACGACGTTTCGATGCGATCTCCATTTTCGGAAACGGATGACCACGATATGCACGACGACGACGATGAGCAGAGTGAAGATGACCGAAGCAGTGTGTCAGACCATTCTACGGACGAAGGAGAAGGTGAAGAAGATGAGGATGATGATGACGATGACGACGACGATGAGGAAGACGATGATGATGGTGAAGATGACGACGATGATGACGACGATGATGACGAAGATGATGATGAATATGATGATGACGAAGACGATTTTGTTGAGCACCAGCATCTGCTCATATCTCGCCGCACCGGATCAAGCCGCCGCACATCTTCCAATCGTCTCTGGGGATCTCTTGAGTCGGACTTATCGGTTCTAGATGAGATGGACGAGGTTGACGAAGATGAGTACTCCTACTTGAACATACTCGATGACGAGGCGATCTTTGCTGAAGAACAACGACGACGCGCTCGCCTGATCGAAACACGAAACAGCAGACCAGGAAACAATGCTAGCGAAGGGAGCCAGCTAGCAGCTGACTCGGAGGACGGACTCGTTGAGACCATGCGCGATGCGCTTCTCTTGCACAACAGCAACGTTAGCGGATCAATTTCCACAACTAACGGCGAGACTCTCGTGCTGACATTTGGCGACGTAGAAGACGACGTAGAAGAAGCTCAAGCGGATTTCGTTGTGCCAAGAAGTTATGTGGGCAGCGGACGTGCGGTAGGACCTTCTTCAGGATTGGAAAGTCAATCGGGGGGCAGCTCCGATAGTATGGCTACCTCGCTGCTCCAATATATTGAAGAGCTGCCCGATATGCTAGGTGACGATTTCACTTTTGAAGCATTTGATGCAGGTGGTAGAGGCGATCGATCACGTCGCGAACGTCATTCAGATCGACCTGGTAACAATGTCTTCGATCAGCTTAATTCAGGTACCACAGCGGTACATCCGCTGCTGCGGTCACACGATCGCGAAGACTCCATCATGGTGCGTAGCACCAGGCGACTGTCACTTCCCCGTCATTCGTCTCTTTTGCGAGAGCTACAAGAGCTGACTGATCAAGTTCAGTCACAGCTGCCACCAGGCGGGAGCAGATTACGACTGGCTCTGGGACGGGACTTGTTGCAGCGCGGAGCAGGGGGAAGTCGTGGTCGACCATCCAATCGTGGTAATCGTTTGTCTGCTGTTAGCAACCTGCTCAGTGAGTTTTCGCTGGATATCCCGGCCTCGACACTGCCTTCTCGAGACCAGCGTCTCGGTTTACGAAGGGGTGACCGGGATGTGTTCAGTGATATTTTTGCCGGTGTTGGTTTGCCCCGGGGACTTAGCAGTCGTGCTAATGACGTGATTGGCGGTGCAGCTAATTCGACTATATGGCGCTCAGGTGAAGGTCGTGACATGGATGTCCGGTCGGTAGCTTCCAGGCTTGAACAACGAATCATTCGCATTTGCATCGATGAAGAGGGGCCCGCGGCGATAGCTGCTGATCCGCAAGTAGAAGGTGGGACAACCACCCAGCCGCAAGATGGGGTTGACGACATCATGGAAAATCATAGTGCTGCTGGGACTCCGCGAAGTGAAGAGCACAGTGCAAGCGAGCTGCAGGCCCATGATGATGCCGCAGAGAGCCAAGCTGGACCGGATAACTTAACCCATACTGATCAAGCCGATGTACACGACACAGCAACAGAAGCTGCTGTTGTTTTGGAGCTTACCAGTACTCTCGGAGAAACATCTCTGCTGCGATCACCACCTGAGTCTGATGCTGACGTAGACAACGTTGACTCAGAGGCGGAAACGATCGCTGAGGCGACGATAGGTTCCTCACCTGAGGCAACCTCCGTACCGACAAGCAGCTCTGACCGCGCAGCCTCACCTCCAGCGCCAGTGGCCGTTTTGGCTACTACAACAGCAGCACCTAACACTTCTGATGTAATGATGAACTTCACTCTCGATTTGTCTAGATTAGGCTCGGCTCCGGCGCCACGAGTCGCCAGCAACATCAATAGTGGAGTTATGACCGTCGACGAAGAGTCGAAGTCGGAGGAACTGTCGCGAGCGGAGACACAGACATCATCGGTTGAAATTGTCGCGTCAGAATTATCGACTGCATTGCTTGGACAACAACATCAGCAGGACTACCAATGTCCTGAAGGCATGGATGCTGAAGTGTTCACGTCGCTACCTTCGGACATGCAAGCAGAAATCGTTGCGCAAAGCACGCTGGCAGCTTCTGAATTGATAAGGGCTCGCAGTGATACGGCCACGGTCGGAGGTGGCACACTTGGCTCTGAAAGTATGTCACAAATGGATCTAGATATGGCCAACTCGAGCTTCGACCGTGAGACGCTGGAAGCGTTGCCTCCAGAAATTCGTGCAGAGGTCCTAGAAAATGAACGACGCGAGCGCGAGGCTGTCGCCCGTGCGGAGACAGCTGACACTTCTCGCGCTCAAGAAATGGACAATGCTTCTTTTGTGGCTTCACTAGCACCTGAACTGCGCGAGGAGATTTTGGTCACTTGCGATGATGCGTTTCTGCAGACACTGCCATCACAGGTTCGTGCAGAAGCCGCTGTACTGCGTGAACGTGTAGCCTTTCGCTCAACCTACCGCGAACGTGGTCATGGTACTGAGGATAGAGGTGACAACGACATGGAGCTGTTTAATCGTCCTACCCTACGACGTATGCTGACCTCCCACAGCCCCGAGCGAGGTAATGGTCGGCGGCGACCTCGCATGTATGACGACATCGGTGGACTTCGTCGTAGCAGCCGCCATGACTACCGCCATGGAACTGGAAGTTCAAAGGCTCGCAAGGGCTTTTTGTGTACGGAAAAGGATGAGGAAGAAGAAACTTGTGAGCGAATCTTCGACGACCGATGTGTACGCGGTTTATTACGGCTACTCTTTATGACACAATCCGTCATCCAGAATCGTGTGTTCCAGCGGCTACTCGCAAATATTTGCTTGTACCCGCTAACGCGACGTAGCGTTCGTCGAATGATGTTGCAGTTGGTATCATTACCACTTTCAGAGCCCTTGATTCCTGGCGATGATCGAGATGACGATGATGACGGTAGCGGCAAGGTTCAGTTTCCACCGACCGTGATATATGGATGTGGTATTGACGGAAATCGTGCCATTGGACGATCTGCGGTACCTACGGAAGTTGTCAACCGCATATTGCATGTTCTTGTGTCGCTTGCTAAGTACAACCCGCGCTTTACGGTGGAAATGCTTCAGCCTCATGGTATGCTTCGTGCCCCAAGTGGCAATTGCATGCCCATGAAAATGGAGACGCCACTCTTTCGTGAGTGCGGTGTGGCTGTCCTAATCGACTTGCTAGCGTTGCCGGTAGTGTATCGCAACGGTACAAACCTGGATGCGTTGCTCGAGTTGCTCGAGCTGGTTCTGTCACCGCTGGAGTGTCTGAACAAGCCAAATGGCGATAGCAAGGAAGAAAAAGAAGGCAGTGAAGCTGATGCTTTGACCCCAGAAGATGGCGGCGAATGGGTTGCGGTCCCGGCAGTCGAGCTGGACGAAACGCGTATGGGTGAGATTGTTTCTGTTCTGGGTATGGATCTGTGCACGGCTCAAATGCAGGAGCGCACACTCGCAGTACTGAAGTTGCTCACTCGTGTGCGCAGCAACTGCGAGCTTGTCATCAACGCGATTGTACGGCACGCCAGCACGTTGGCCAGCGTTACTCGGCGCAACGCACCAAATCTTCCTACGGAAAGCACCAGGTTTGAGTCTTCTGCAGTACTGCAGTCGGCTCAGGATGAGTTAAAGTTGCTACGTCTGCTACATACCTTGTCAGACGTATGCGAGAGCACTGCAAAGTTTACTGAGTGCTGCCAAACTATTGGCTTGGACCCATTGTGGAATTTTCTGAGCTCGTCGTTAGCTGAAGCGCGTGCAAAGGGTGGTCTCGATGATCAGGATGGTAGTGTTTCTGGTGCTCTATCTGCACCTTCAGCCATCCTGGTGACTGGGTTTGTAGGTCAGCCGGGCGCGGCTGTAGACGATGCAGAGGGAACTGTCATTCAAGGCAAGAGTGCAGGTGCATCATGTGCGATGGCAGCACTTTTAGCACGATTCCTTCCCATGGTGGAGGCTTTTTTCGTTGTCAACGCCCGTGACGCGGCATCCATGTCATTACGTTTACCAGATTCAAGTGAGCGCGAAGAAGCAGTTGTGGCAGCACTGAGTGCAGGTGGGTTTGACGGCGCCAGTGCAACTGCACTAATGGATGACAAGGAGCAAAAGCCCTCGCCAAGGAGTGCTCTAAAGCGCAGTTTATCGGCCTTATCGTCGATATCTGAGGCAAATGAGACGATGAGACTGGTCAATTTCGTGGAGTCGAATCGCATTCTTTTGAACTTGTTGGTTCGAGAAAAACCATCGTTACTCGACACTTCTTTGGCTGCTTTGATCAAGATATCTCGCTGCCGAGCTTACCTGGCATTCGACAACAAGCGTACATACTTTCAAAGCGCTATGAAACGCCTCCGTCAAGCAGCGCTTAGGGGCCACGGCGGCGGGAGTTCTTCTGTGCGCATTCCTGTACGGCGCGATCACATATTTGAAGACTCTTACTATGCCTTGCGCATGCGTAGTGGTACCGAATTGCGGCGGAAGCTGCATATTTCATTTACGGGTGAAGAGGGTATTGATGCTGGCGGAGTCACGAGAGAGTGGTACATGATTTTGGCGCGCGAGATGTTCAACCCAAATTACGTGCTATTCACGTCAGCGGCGGACTCCCCTACTTTTCAACCAAATCCTCTTTCTTACGTGAACAAAGATCACTTAAGCTACTTCGAATTCGTCGGGAAAGTGCTGGGCAAGGCGGTAGCCGACGGTCAACTTCTTGACGCTCACTTTACGCGCTCGTTCTACAAGCATATCTTGCAGTTGCCGATTTCGTACCACGATATGGAAGCCATCGACCCGGAGTACTATCGGAATTTGCACTCTATCCTGGACAATTCAATTGCCGACCTTGGGCTGGAACTAACTTTTTCGGCGGAGCAGTCCAATTTCGGCAAGTTAGAGGTGGTCGACCTGATCCCAGGTGGCAGAAATGTACCCGTGACGAACGAAAATAAGATGGAGTATGTGAAACTAGTCACTCATCATCGAATGGCGACAGGCATTCGTCAACAAATTGACGCGTTCTTGAAAGGATTTCATCAGCTTGTACCACCGGAGCTGATCGCTATCTTTAACGAAAACGAACTGGAGCTGTTAATCTCGGGCATGCCTGAGATCGATATTGACGACTTGAAGGCGAACACGGAGTATGCCAACTACAAGCCTACGGACTCGGTAATCCGCTGGTTCTGGGACGTGCTGTACTCATTCACACACGAAGAGCGGGCGCTTTTCCTGCAATTTGTCACCGGTACTTCTAAGGTGCCTCTGGAAGGTTTTAAGGCGCTGGAAGGTATGCGCGGCACACAGAAGTTTAACATTCACAAAGCTTTTGGTAACAACAATGCGCTGCCCTCCGCACATACATGGTGAGTCTTTGTGTCTATCCGATTGATCGTTGTGAACGCGTGTATATCAACAACCTAACTTTGTTCTTGCTGCCGCAGTTTCAATCAGTTGGACCTACCGGAGTACGAAAGCGAGGAAAAGCTGAAGCAACGTCTTCTACTCGCGATTCGCGAAGGCTCGGAAGGGTTTGGCTTTGGCTAGTTTACCCATCCCAGGTTTGAATACATGCATATGTCAACAGTTCTGTCATCGGGTGTGTACTTCCTTACGTCGTGGGTGTTTGAAGATATCTCCAAGCCACAGATATTTTTCAGTCATACATTCAGGCGTTACTTGGGATCGATCGGCTCACTTGTTGAGTGCTATACGAACGATGAATACCTACGCTTCTCCTGATAGCCACCGAGCGAGCGCCTCTCTATCTACTTGCGTCGCTTGTACTTTGCCTTGGACTTGAACGAGCTCGAGCTCTTCTTGGCGTGTTTCTTGTAGTCCGTGAGCTTCTCCTTGAACTCGAACGACTTGTGGCCAGCGCCAGCATCCCGCTGCTTCCTAGGCTTTGAAGCCTCGTCACGTGTCATGTCAACATCAAACGCCCCCGACCCGTGACTACTTCGAGCTGCTCGAGCCTTCTCACGTCGGAGACGTTTTCGCTCGTGCATCTCTGCAATTGACTCCTCCTCGCGCGAGCGTGTAGACTCCTGCTGCACCTTTTTGGCGCGCTTAGCAGCACCAGCGACGTGTGTCGACGTGAATACTGCAGCTGTTTTGCTGTCTTTACCACTGCCCTCCTCGTCACGGTTCGCGTCCGCGAGCATCCGTTCTTCACGCTCCCGGATCTCAAACAGTCGACGCTTTTTGTGGCTCATTAACTTGAGCTTCTTCGCGCGCGTTACGGGATCATCAGTCTTCGATCCTTCCTTCAACGCATTCTCGTGGGCACGAGACTCATCATCAGCCCGCTTGTTCACGTTTTTCTTTTCCTTCTCAGACATAAACCACGTGCGTGCAGGACGGGAGATAATCTCGTCACGGTGCCGCAGCATATTCGTAGCACGGGTGGCCTCTTTTTCGGCTTCACGCACGCGCTTCTCCAAAGTCTCATCGTGCATCACTAGCTTCACGTCCTCCTGCATGCTCTCAATGCGGGCCTTCCATTGTGCAATCACAGGATCAGGAACAGCACGGGACTTGACGAATCCATTGCAATGCCGTGACACCTGCTTCATCACCAAGCGACGTGACTCGCTCGTAAGCGTGACAGCACGACCGTTGCGACCAGCTCGAGCTGTGCGACCAACACGGTGGACGTAGGTCGTGATGTCCTTTGGCATCTCATAGTTGATGACAGCGTGCACCCCACGTACATCGATACCGCGGGCTGCGATGTCAGTACACAGGAGGATGTCGACAGCGCCATCACGGAACTTTTGCAGCGCCTCAAGACGGTCTCTCTGCAGCAAGTCGCCGTGCAGTTCAGCAGCCTTAATACCAGCAAGACCGAAGATGATCATCATTCGGTGCGCATGCGACTTGGTCTCCATAAACACAATCGTATTCGTGCGGAACGTACGTGTACACAGTGCCAGGAGAATTGCCTCACGATCGTCTTCACGATTGGGGCGAATGCGCACAAACTCCTGTACCAAGTGCTTAGCCATGTCGAACAATGGGTCCGTGCTGATACGCACAGGACGCTTCATCGAGAGACCAATCAGCTGGTCGACCTTCGACGTCATCGTCGCAGAGAAAAGCATTGTCTGGCGTTGCACAGGACACATACGAACTAGCTCCAGCACTTCGTCCGTGAACCCCAGCTCAAGCAGTCGATCCGCTTCGTCCAGCACCAGAATCTCCAGATCGTCCATGTGAACGCTCTTGGAGTTACGCAAATGATCAATCATACGACCCGGAGTGCACACCACAACATCCGGACGATTGCGCAATTCAGCTTCCTGGGCCTTGAGCGGCAACCCACCCACTGCTAACGAGATCGTAATGTCGGTGAAACGCGCCAACTGTTCAAACATTGACTGACATTGCGTTGCAAGCTCACGTACAGGACAAATAATCATCACACGTGTCGACTGCACACGACGCGAGCGGAACTGAAGACGCTCCAAGATAGGTAACAAAAAAGCAGCAGTCTTACCACTGCCTGTCTGGGCACTCGCGCAGATATCTTTGCCCGTGAGTGCGATAGGGATCGCTCGCTGCTGAATCGGAGTTGGCTTCTCAAAGCCCACGTGCGCAATCGCACGCATGAGTGGCCGCGACAGCTTCAAGTCTGCAAACGTTTCAAACTTCGTCTTGGCAAACTCCTGTGCTGCAAACGGGTCCGAATCGAAAAACGCGGCAGCCTTCTTCGTTTCCAGCGCGTCCACCATCTTGTCAATCGCCTGCTGATCCTTCTTGTTGTCCTTGAGCGCCGTCTGCAAGCGCGATTCCTCCACCACATCGTCCTCTTCTTCTCCTCCGCGCTGCTCCCCAGTGTCAGTAAGTCTCTCTTCGGCCTCGTCTCCACTATCACTGGACCCTTCCGTCTCCACCTCTTCCTCAGCATCCTCACTCTCTCCACCAGCCTTCTGCTCCTTCTTCTTCTTCTTCTTCTTCTTCAGGTCCTCCTTCTCTCGTCGTCTTTTATCAATCTTTGTCTGGATCGACGTGCGCTTCAAGACGCCGCTCTCCATCTCGTCGATACGTGAAATGGCCGTTGTAAAGTCCCACGAACTGCCACTAGAAGCACAGAAACCGCCACCGCCGTCGTCAAACTCAAAGTCTTCGGCGATCTCGCACTCGTTTTGCTGCTCCGTCTTCTGCTGCTGCTGACTGTGACTGCCCTGGATCTCCGCTTCTTGCTCCTCTCCAGAGTCCGCGCTGTTCTCTCCATCTGACAGCTCGTCTTCGGACGCGATCGTCATCACCAGGTCATCGCTCGCGCGCGCCTGAGTCCTCCTGCCCATGGTCCGCTTTACAAGCTATGCCAGCCAGCAGTTATCGACCCTTGTTGTCGACCACTTTTAGCCAATGATCGACGCGTATTGCATTTTTGATGGCTACACTTCGGAGACAATAGAAACGAGACTTTTGCTTTGTTATGTCCTCAACACACGTTTTCTAAGGGCAGATAAAAAACCTTGTGACTTCTAGTTCTGCTTTTTTTCTCTCGCAGCGATACCAGTTTGAAATATCCATTTGGTACCGCAAAATCCACTGCCACCTTCGTGTTGACCGTCTACGAATAAATCCCTTTTGACAAAAGCTATTATTTACGCAGGCGGTTAACACGAACGGTGCAGTCAAGGAGACTACGGCCGCTAAGTTGTAGAGGGTTCTTAGTTTGGTTCGCGCAGAATACAGAAAGATCTCACTTCTAGATCGGAGAAGCAACTGACGAGGCCCCCGGTGCGCGTCTTAATATCGAAGTCCGTCGCCATGCTTTCTCTCTTTCCAACAATGTAATGTGAAGCTCAGCATAAAAATGTTGACTTTTGTACGGACGTGGACCGTGACATCGAGTGCGGACCAAACGTATCGGTACGAACGTTGTATCTAGATTGCTTTAATGATGGTGATACCATCGGACTAACCTGCAGACTAGAGATTGAGAGGGCAATCATGATACGGCTCTACCATGCTGTGCAGTGCACTATCGTGATCAGTCTTCTTCGTACAAACCACATCTGATACATACTATCTTTTCTCATTCATACAAACGTGCAGTTACGCTGATAAGCCGTAGATTACGTGCCATCGCCTCCAACTACTTTCGGTATTGCTACAAAGACAAGGTGTGCTGGTGGTTCGATAGTCGGATCAACTCATTTCGCTCGTCTGGCGGACATCCATTTTTCTAGTATGCGTAACGTTGAGCTCCTGGACACCACCATACATAAAAGCTTTCGTTCTGACACTCACGCCATCGACTTTTATGAGCCATAAAGTACTGGGAGACGTAGCACATGCGTTGAGTTCGTGCTTTTGAGAGCTGCTGGAACAACATGTCGTCAAGTGGCGGATCTGCAGGCGAACATCGTAACAAATTGTCGTGTCTACCACGGCCTCTATCACCCTTGAGTCGCCTGCAAGTGATGTGCCTAGTTGCACTGTATAGCCTACATCAAAGCCTTGTTACAATACATCAGCTTTGGTGTAGAGGAGTGGCACTATCGCTGCTCTGAATCTACTGGGACCCTTTGTTGTACCAGGTCATACCCTGACTTGTTACCTTGCAATCATATCGGTACACAACGACTTCCATCACTCCCTCCCTCAGATGTACCCAGCATTTCGACAAAGTATACACATTTTGCCATTAGCTATCGTACTTTTCGAAAAAAAGAGGAGAATATCAAGCTACTTATTCTCCAAGAGAGAGATTTCCTTTTGCGTTTCATCCGACAACCAACCTATTCGAATGAGTGCGCGGCGCGGTACTCGCTTGCGCCGCAAGCCCACGCCTATCTATCAGCTGGAGGACACGCGCGTCACTGCTGACGAAGGTAAAGACGGTGCAGAAGAAGACGAGAAGAACGCACTCCTTGCCGATGAACGAAGCGAGGAAAGCAGGTAAAGCCGTGCCGAACATCTGTTTGCCAGTGCGCACAAGAGTGATGGTCAATGCACATTGCCTTTTTGGAAGTTCGAAATCACTCGGTTTTTGTATACCAAGTGTGTCAACTATTTAACAACAGACGTCATTCTTGACTAGCGACGACGAGCAACAGAGCAACGACGACGACGAGTTTACGCCATTCGGCACAAGAGCTACGAGCACCCCTAAGGCAGCTCAAACGCCACGTGCTAAAGCAAGATCCAGTCGACGGAAGCGCTCGCCGTGGAGTCAAACGAGGAGCGTGCGGTCAACTCAAGAGAGCAGACGGGGCAAGCAGCGAAGTGCTGCAGCAACAGTGCAAGCGACAGGGAGCGCCGCTGCATGTCAAGCAAGTGCCAACGACCAAAATCGTGATGATGGCGTCCCGTTATTTGGTGTGTAGTACACACCATTTTCAGTGTCGTAGCCAAATTGTCGAGTCGTGTCCTTATCTACTTGTGGCTTGATGTGTGGACGATGTAGAGGCTGTTCGGAGTGGCAAAGCGCCACTGGAGAAGCTGCTGAGCGAGTGGCACGATCGCTTTGAGCACGACGAGGACAAGGCGACGAGGAAAGTACTGGAGTTCGTGCTGCAGGTACGAGCGAGTGCCGATGTGTGGATCAAGAGCTGTTGTCATGAGTTTAAACGCGTTGCTTTGGTGTCGATGGGTAGGCTTGTGGAAGCACTGGCCTGTGTCTTGATCGGTCAGTTTCACTAGCTGGATTGGATATGGAAAACGTGGTGAATCGCAAACAAGAAGACTTAGAAAGCGCAAACGGAGAGTATTGGATCATGTCTCGCGGAAGAGGTATCAAGAAGTCGCAGCGTACTTTTGAGGAGTTCTGGGAAGCATTTGTAAGCGAATGCTATGAAAGCGACATCTTGTTTGCTGCTGATGTGGCAAAGAAGATGATTGACTGGTTGACGACCTTATCGAGGTAGTAGAAGTGCTGTGTGGGTTGCATGTGAGGAAAGGGTTTGCTAACTTGATGTGATTGCACCGCAGCTCTGAACTTCGGCCTATACGACACACGTGTACTGTTGCTGTATTAGCGCTGGGCGCTGCGTTAGTGCGCACGACAGCGAGTATTTCCGAACAACTGGCGATTGCAAAGAGACAGCTCAAGGCAGAGACAAACTCGCCTGTTACGACTACACCTGGTACTCGCAAAAGCCTGAATGTTCGTAAAGTGGCTTTTTTAAAGGATAATGAGGTGCTCTATGAGAACCGGCTACAGCAGGTTCTGAAGCTCGTCAATTCCATATTCACCGAAGTAGTGGTACATCGGTATCGCGACGTGATGCCGGAGATACGTGTGGTGAGCATACAGTGCCTAGGCCATTGGATTACCACTCTACCCGACCAGTTTTTGAAGGATAATTTTCTGAAATATCTTGGCTGGTGCTTGAGCGACAAAGCAGCTGTGGTTCGCCTCGAAGTGGTTGCGATATTGTGCGAGTTGTACGAGAATGATACATTTACGGAAAGATTGGAGCCATTTAATTCTCGCTTCTTACCCCGTTACATGGAACTCTGCAACGATGTGGATGACGCTGTCGTTGAGGAAAGCATCCATCTCCTTATTGCGATCGACAAGCACAATCTCATCAGCTCTGACGTTGAGCTTGCAGCTGTTGAAAAGCTTGTGTTCGATGCTGAGCGTGATAACATTCGTAAAGCTGCTGCTGAGTTTGTATGCCTTCAGTACGATGCATTCGGCGTTGCTGTTTCAAAGACGAAGAACGCGCAGTTGAAGAAAGAACAACTTAATACTCAAGCAATCGCTCTGGTAGAATTTGCGGAGGAATATACCCAAAACCATGGTGTACCAGAGAGCGCAGTGGAGACGCTTGTGGATGCTTTTTGGGAGTTAGATGATTGCCGTAAGTTTAGTTTCGCACAACGCATTTGTGATTCACTCGGCTTTTGACACCGCTTTATGTTCATTACACAGCCGTGCTTCAGGACTGGAGGCTGATGACTGATTTGCTTCTAGTGGACAAGAGCGCGCCAGACCTGAGCGGCGAGCAGCAGACTATCTTGCTACGGCTTCTTGTTGCGTCCGTACGCAAGCTGGTGGGAAATGGTGCAAACCGGGGGGCTAGTGCCGCTGCAAAACGAGAATCAGAGCAATTGCAAGTACGTGGCGTCTGTCTGTTGTAATGTCCGCTCATTGCCTGTTGTGCTCAACATTTTATCCGCTGCGTGGTGCAGGAAGAGATCACTGTTGCGTACTGCAAATACATTCCTAGCTTGTTTGTTATGTACCAAGCAGACTCCGACAAGCTGTCGTTGCTTTTACAGCTTATTCCGATGTTGTCGCTGAAGAGTGAGATTATTGGCCATCACAGCAATCACATCAAAGAGCTTCTCGGGAAACTGAAGCACGCATTCTTGTTACATTCTGATGAGGAGCTGCTATCGAGTTTGTCGCTTTCCATAGCACATCTACTTCGGACAGAGCATACTTCACTGAAACGGGAAGTTGAAGTGACCATGCACGAGCTAGTCCAAGAGGTTATGGATAAAACTGATTGGCTTTTGGAATCCGATTTGAAGCTGCACGACACGTTTGCGACTACCAGTGATGGTGCGTCTACACCAAGAAACAAACGGGCCAGGAGTAACAAGAAGAGTGCAACGGTCAAGGAAATGTCGGACGTCGAGTACGCCTTGCGCATTGCTTTGTGCCGGCTCAAGTGTCTGGTGAGATATGTGAATGTTCGGGGCCATCTTCCCCCGGACTTATCATCTATGCTGGGAAAAGATAGCCAAACGTCTGCTTCAGATCCACAGCAAGGGCGAATGGAAAAGCTTGTTATGGCGATTGGCGAGTTAATGTGTCGGCGTACCAAATCGGTCTCCGAGCTACACGAAGAATTTCGTCATGTCGGCACAATCACGCACGGTTTGACAATAATGTTTTTCGATTTATTGTGGATCACCTTGCCGATATTTGAGACTGTTGCAGAAAAAAAGGCACGTGACTCCTCAGAAAATGCGACTGAAGTTGCCGAAACCGCGGTAGATCTTTCTACTCAGGTCCAGATTCAGAAAGTATGCCGATCGCGAGCTACGCTTGAGGAGGCGTTGATTTTGGTGTTGGAAATGCACTTGGCTAGACCTAATAAAGTATGCGACGACAAGCAGACGCGAAATGAAGAAGGTTCGGAACATCAACTTGTGGAGTCAATGGAAGAAATTGACTTTGAAGACGAGGAAGTGGCTGCATACGTAAATGACGCTCAATGTTTCGCATTCACTACATTTTGCGATGCGCGGTGTTTGTTTGTAGAAAAGTTTCAGGAAGCAACAGCACCGTATAACGCTCTGGATTGGGACTTGCCGAAAGTGCTCATTTTGCTTACGCAAATGTATTTCGAGAGGAAGATGGATGAAGCCGAAGAGGAAGAGCCGGAATTCGAAGCTGACTTGGAACCGAACGATCCCAATATTCTGAAGGAAAAAACGAGTGCTATTCGCGAGTGGGACCAAAAGCAGCAACGGAAAGCTGAGCTGCTGGTTGCGCTTGGCCGAGTTTCACTTTGTAACCCAAGCAAGAAACATCAGGCTGCGGCAGTTCTGCAGTACTTCACATCGAGGGGCAAGCTGAGTGTGGAGGTGGTAAAGGCCTACGGAAAGCAAGTGAAATCAGATGCTCCCGTGCGTTACCTTGAAATTCAAATGACATCACTTCGCCAACTATATAGCTCGATTCTTGTGTGGCAGCAAAACATTGAGGCAGCTGCATCAGGAAACGGCTGCGACCAGGTTTTAGAGGAAGAAGACCTGCAGGACAAGGTGGATGGCGGCAAACAGGAGCTAAAAGAGCTAGCAAGAAGGTTCAGTCAGTCTCTCGGTGTCGGGAAGATTCCAGCATCGCTGCGTGTGCCGTTTTTGCGCTTCTTACGTGAAGGCGTTCGCTATTCTCTGGAGCAGCCGTCGCAGTTCGAGTTCTTGGAAACCATGCGCGTATACCTCTCGCATTTGGACAAGTCGGGTATGGTACAGTTGAGCAATTATTTTATGGACCGACTACAAAGAGTCCGCGGTACACATGACGACAGTGGAGACCTGGATCCTAGGTGGCGGGCTGTATCAGACTTTCAGTCATCCATTGCCTCTGGCAGCGTTGCGAGAGGAGGGACACGAGTGTCAACTGAAATCATGCACTCGCCTCCGTTGAAAAGTAGAGTGCGGTCTGCGAGCTCCGAGCCTACACCAATGCAGACGACGTCCATTGCAGAAGAGGGTGAGGAGGAGGAGGCGAACACACATGATGCAGAAACCGGACGAGAAAGAGCTGCTGGTGACCAAAATGATTCAATGATGATTGCAGGCGGTAGTCCAGTCGAACATCATCATCGACAAGGGCCACCAGTACATGAGCGCACTACTGTGGCTGACTACGACACTAATTCGACGCAGTCCTTGCAAAATCGAAAGCGGCGTCAAGGCGATCGCAACGAGAGTCCGGGCGGTAACAGCAAGGTGTCTGAGCACAGCAAAGGTGACGATGAGCATCGCAATGATTCCGAACATGAAGATAGTGTGGCGTTATCTCGAAACGACCAGGATGTGTCGTCATTTGAGCGCAGAGGGGCGCTCGATAGTCAGAAAGAGGCAGAGGAGAGCGCGGGAAGAACTCGGCATAAACGACGTCGAGCGTGAACAACGCAAGGCAAGTATTTGGTCTTTCGGCGAAGACTTTGGGCAGTTTGCATACGTGGAAGCTCATTGACGAAAGAATCGGTTTCAATATATGGCAATGCGTTGTTATGCTTTAAAGCTCGATTCGACCAGTATAGTTTGATGTCGGAAAGTGCGACGGAAGCTCTAAGGACCACTGTGTCGGTGCTGCAGCCAGTCTCTGCGCAATTACAATCACCAGACTCGCACTATCAAGAACGCACATTCTTGACTCGCCCGCTAAGCCTACTGAAGCTGATTCGGCGGCAAAGAGTTTCGTATCTCGTGTCTTGACATCATCATCCTTCTGCCAATTCAGTCAAGTCATACGCAAATGATGACACGCTGTATTCATCCAAACCGAACATGCCACCCCAAGCCTGTGTGTCGAGATGAAACAGTATATCCAGCAGGTGTTGCCGGGAAGCAGCCGAGTACGCGAACAAATCGAGAAGCCTTTGCCAGGCCAGCAAAGCATCGCAGTCGCCTTAGAATGAAAGTCTCTGGGGAATGTGGTACTCCATCAAAGCTCGTATAGACGCGTGGTGACTCGCTCGGCGACTGTATCTCCAGAACGTTGCAGTCTCCGCAGGATATCGGATTAGGTGCTGAGCATGATCAGCCGAAATCACGATCTCGACCATTGCAAGCACACGATATCGATCCTGATCGCAGTCACGCTCGTGGTCTTGGTGTCTAACACGATCGCAATTCCTGCTGCTGCCCTTGTCCCGACATCCTTCATGCTTGCTTCCTTCGCCTGATATCAGTCGCGGTCACCACCACGCTCGTATGGTCAAGCTTGCTCGGCGCCGTAGTGACTGCGCTTGCTACTGTTGTCAGCATGTTCCCGAAATGTGCTCGTGACTTCGGCACTAACGCTCCACTCCTCACATGAAGCTTGCTTCCAATCATGTGCGCTGTCTGCCAGATGCTGTCAAATAAGCTTCTGGTGTGGACGCACAACTGAAGCTGCAGCATGGAGGTGTGGGCGACACCTTGTTGCAGTTGCATAACAACTGAGGCGGAACTACACTTACATGCACATCGTCCGGTGTAGCAGCTTCCATCGCCCTAGCATATGAACAAGGTAATCGACACATAGGGCAGCAAGGCGCGATGCAAAACAAGCAAACAGTGAAGTCTATGTACCAACGGAAGCGAGAAAAAATCCCACGCATAGTGCGACCGGAGCAGATCAAGCGATACCTACAGGACTGTTGCACACTGCGTGACAACAGCGGATCTAAGAAAAATGGATGTTGTTTGCGTTGAACCGTTCTAGCAGCCTACAGATCAAAAAGACAAGGACAGTGAGCACACATTCTGATCATGCTCTGGGGACACCGATATCCACGTACTGCAGAAAAGTCGTCCTGGTCCATCTTAGCACCACGCTTTCCGCCAAAGTCGTCAATAGCTAGCACCTCTTCCACCTTCTTCTTCATCTCGATATCGCCTTCTGGGGGCTGCATTACATAGCACACACGGACAGCAACAAAAACTTCAGTCCGGACATCCAAATATCGTTGATCCCAGGCGCTCGTTGCCAAACCTCATTGTTCAGCGAGCAGTACGTCTTGTAGTTCTCCTCGAGAATCTTCAGCACTGACTTGGTCACAAAACACGAGTGCAGCGTCTTGTTCTTGCGATTAAAGATGATCTTAATCAGACCGTCCCACTCCTGTCACAAGTCCACCATCCACCAGCAAAACATCAGCTCTCTCCTGTCAACACGTCAAAGAATAACAGCAACAACCCAACGCAACATTGTGTACCGTAAAGTTCACAGGTGGCGGTGGATTCCGCGGCTCAATGCGGACCACACGGGACTCGACTTTCGGCGGCGGGCGAAAGTTATTGCGACCGACTTTCAGCAGCTGATCCACCTTGGCCAGTAGCTGCGTATTGACCGACAACCGACAGTACAGCTCGTCCCCGGGTCTGCACACAGCACAGCACAAATCAAAAAGAAGAAGCACCACATCAGCACATCAGCAGCAGCAGCAGTAGTACCTCTCTCTCTCTCTGCAGAAAAAAAACTGTCGCGAGCTTGTCACGCACTTGGCACTCAGCCGCTTGGCAAACTCTTCTTGGAACATAATCACCGCACAGCGAAACATGGGCCGATGGGCCAGCAGCTTGAACACAAAGGGCGACGAGATCTGATACGGCAGATTGGCCACACACACGTCAAAGAACGGCAGCTGCACGCGCATGACGTCGCCGTGGATGATCTGCAAGTGGCTCAAGTGCTCCGTGTACCGGATCCGCTTCTGGAGCTCGGCGACCATCCGAGCGTCGAATTCCACGGCCACGACGCGCTTTGATTGGTCCAAAAGCTTCACCGTCATGTTGCCTGTACCCGGTCCGACCTCAAGACACACGTCCGTGCTCCGAATTGCGGCTTTGGCCACGATTTGCGTCACGATCATGGGGTTCTTGAGGAAGTGCTGGCCCAGGTTCGTGTTGGGCGTCGCGAGCGTCCGTCTCAGAGCATTCTGCGCGGCCGAGGCAGTGCTCACGTTGGCCCGCGCTCGCCTCTTCTTGTCCTTGGGCATGGGTGCACCACGTCACAGATTGTTGGGGTTCGGTGGTGGTGGTGATTGAGGTGAGGGGTCCTACTGGTGGTGGCGGGTCGACTCGTGTGCCGTTGTTAGGGGTGACGGGACTCGGATTTAGCTAAACCTGAGCGATGCAAGTGGTTTTTAGGTACTCGAGTCCCGCGTGGCCTTTTTTTGTAACGGTGCATTGCAGACGAGTCAACAAAGCACTTTGTTTTGCTTGCTTTTTTGTCGTCGTCGTATGATTGAGGCCTGTATTGAGTTACAGTGCAGGAGAGGAGGTGTCGGTGCGGCAGTCGCAGGTACACAAAAGCGTGGAGAAAATAGTCCCGGCACACAATTATACAATCACTGGCTAAATAATGGCGGCCATGCGCGTCATAGCTTCGAAATTCTCAATTTGATCCATCACCTGTTTCATGCGCGGTTAGGGCACACGCCCTCACGTTTCGAACATCACCGTGAAGGAAGTAACGGCCTCGTTGAAGTTACTCCAGCTTGGATCTCGTGGCAAAAGCTATGCGACAATGCGGCAGCCAGTGCGGGCGGCAGCGAATGAAATCGCTGCTCGATCACGTGACGCAATCGCGTCGGTTGTCGATGTCGCTTCAACAATGGGTCGTCGATCAAATTTGCATAAAACCCATCCTCATCCACCCAATCAAGTCCGAAAACAACCCACCGTGACCAACAACTGCAAGCACGCACATACAAACGTCAGCTCTTCTCCATCGCCCATCGCTCCAATTCGTCCCACCTCCTTCCCTCACCCAGCTCAATGATGAAGCACCCACCACCCATCACCCATCCATCAATGCGCCAGTTGAGAACGTGCCGCCAAGCCCCCAAGCGAGCGGTTCTGGATGTCCCCGTCCCGTAAATCCAATCGCCCCCACCCAGAAACTGCTACTCCGAATCTCTCCGCGCCCCACGCACCCACCGCCACGCCCACCACGCGACCACCAGTCCCTCTTCTTCCTCGTCTTCTTCTTCTTCTTCTTCCGAGTCTGCTGCTGTCGCTGTCGCTGCTCCTTCTCCACCCGCTCCTTCTCCAGTTGAAGAGCTCCCGACCCCTGTCGCTCGTGAGCCGGAGGAGCCAGTGGTTGACAGCACAGCTTCCACCCAGAAAGACCCACCCACCAGTCTCTCTACCGACTCGGCACTTGAAGACCCCGTCACGACCATGAACGGCACGATCCACGTCAAGGTGCTACGTGCCAAGAATCTGCCGAGAATGGAATTTGGCAAGCGTCAAGATCCATTCGGTACGTCCGAGCAGCTGAGGAGATACAGAGGCGATTGTTGTTGCTAACCTGACTGGTTTCATTTCTATTTCTATTCCGATAGTACTGGTGCAGCTGGACAAGTCGCGACCCAAATCGTGGGCGACGACGGACCCAGTGTTCCGTGGCAATACGGAGCCAGAGTGGAAGGAAGGCGCGAACAATGAACTGGAGCTCTTTTACGACCACGAGATGCATCAAGACGAGGCAGTGACGCTGACGGTCGAGGTGTATGCGAACGAGTCGGGCGACGAACTTGTTGGCTCGGGCCAATTGGACGTCTCGGCCATTGTGCACAAGCAAAGCACCGAGCCACAGCATGAGCATGTCCAGCTGGGGAACAATCGAGGCGAAGTCGAAGTGCTCGTGTGGTTTGGCCCACCAGTTCGCAGGGCTTTTCGCGCTGCTGGCCGCTCGATGAAGTTGCTGGATGCGCGAGACGCGGTCGTGGGCATGATGTGCTCGATGACGTCGTGGATTGGCCGCGTCCTATCGCGGTACACCCAGCCGCCAACGGACTTTGCAAAGAAGCACCGCAAATTAAGCGTGGCTGTGGCGGCATTGCTGGGCATCATGGGCGCTGGAGCGCTGGCTTTGTTCCTGGCCGTTGCTGTACCGACGATGCTGGTGGCTTTTTTTACGTTCCCGTTGTGGATCATCCCGTTCCTAGTGACGACGTTCTTTACGGCGCCGCTGTGGGTACCCATTCTGCTCTTGGTGGGTCTGTTCCTGCTGTTTATCGCCACGTTTGTCTTTGGTCTCGGGGTCACCTCGCGTCCCGTGCGTCGCAAAGGGGCTATGATTTCCAACAAGATTAAGCACTCGGATGTTGGCAAGCGCGTGATCTACGAGAAGATGGCGTAAGTGGTGCCGCCTTGAGCGTGACTCGTGCAGGACCAGGAAGTTTGTGATGCGCGCCTCCTTTTTTCTTTTTCATCGCCGTGTAGCGTGCAGTCCCATGAGCTGGGAGAGGAGCAAGAGATAACCAAAAACAAGGATGACTTTTTCAGTTATACAGTCGTGCGTCGACGCTTGGGACAATTGCCAGGCAAACTAATAATGAATGGGGTGTGACTGGAAACACGAGTAGCCGGCGTTTTCAAGATCTTGGCGACGTTCCTGCGCGTCGCAATCGTTTCTTGAGCCTGATGAGGAGCTTCACATTCGTGTGTTCGTTTTGGGTGCTAGCGCACCTTGACCCGTTCTTTTTGTCTCAAGCATCTTCGTAGCGTCTCGCGATCAGGATGGAGTTAGGAGCATCAGGAGAATGAAACGGGCCGTACGTCGCTTCGACCAGAGCTAGTGAGCTTCCGGCAAACGGCCGCCCATGTTTTCTGTTGGTCATTTAGCACTGCAGCTGCTCGTGTTCTGTGACAACATGCTCCAATCCCGTCTGGCGTAAATGCTCCTGCTGTTCCAAGTACATCACCTGCTTCTCTTTTCCTTCCAAAAACTCAAGGAGGGCGTGCATCTTCCTTTGCTTCTCCTTCAACGCCGCCACCAATCGGTCGTTCTCAGACTGTATGCGGGACATGTTCACGTTAGCTCCAGTCAGACGCGAAGACATCGACTTGAACTTGGTCTTCAGTTGTAGCGTGTTGTGCTCCTTCTCAGCCAGCTGGGCTTCGAGCCCACTCACTTCACGCTGCACAGACAACAGAGACGCCTTCAGCTCGTCAATCACCTTCTGCTTCTCTGCTACACTCTGGAACAGGAGCATGTCCATATCGAGACGGAGGCCCTGTACGAGTGCCGCTGTCGTCTCTTTCGAAGATACATTCAGCGTCGTTTCCAGATGCTGTGCGACTTTTTTGGCGATCTCGGCGACAAGTTCCCGCTTTGTGGACAGCTGAAGGTTCAGACGACAGATCTCACGATCCTTCTCCAAGACCTCCTCTTGAAGTCGAGAGACTTCATCGCAATTTGTTGCACTGTACGCAGACGGCTGAGCATCCTTCTGCAGCAGCAAAGCAATCTGAGAGTCCTTCTTTGCAACGTCCTGCTGGAAACGAGCCACAAGCTCCGACTTGCTTTGTAGCTCGCTTTGAAAGGCCGCTTCAGATTCGCGGCGATATCCCTCGTGCATGCTAACAGCCTCCTCGCTTAGCGCAAGACGTCGCCTGAGTTCTTCAATATTTATGTCGATAGCCCTAGATTGTGACACTTTCTTCGTGAGTTGGACATTCTCGGTCTGTATCTTGAGATTTTTGTAGATCAGCTCGTCTACTTGGGCACGGAGTTCACAAACGAGCTGCTCGTCTTCATACACTGACGTGTCACCATTTCGCCATTCCTTCAGGTGATACTCGACCAGTAAAGCCACACGAGCTTGATTCACTGGGTCAATCAACCATTTGAATTTCTCATTGTGCTCCATGATCCCGTATAGCACCTCCATCACGACTTCCGTCGTGCTTAGTGCGACGCGCAGTTTGTTTTTTCGCTTCAAAACGTTCGTGCGCGGTGACACGTCGCCAGCAGGTTGTCCTTCGTTTGCAGAATAGCAGACATTGGCACTGCTTCCAGAATGCAGATCGAAAACATTGAGCTGCGCGTCCTCAGCATGGTTCAATCTCTGGTGATAGACTGATCTAGATACAGGCGATTGCTGGACAGCATCATCTGCAATGCTTCGGAACGACGAGCCCATGCCGTTCCGGTCATCGCACGACGGTCTCCAGTCCATCGTTTCAAAGGACGATGTGCGATCACAGACCGAGCGAGTGTGCCGCTGCATCGCCTCGGAACCCACTGCGTAGTCGCTGTACATGTCATCGTAGTACGAAGCCATGGTCGAAGTCGTGGACGCCGTCAGATCCACTGCATCCGGCGAAGCTGGACGGTAGAATTCTCGCTTCAGAGACGAAGCAGGACCCACAGCGGGGGAAAGCTTCATCTGAGGAGACACGTCGCGACGCACGTGATGGTGCTGGCACATCTTCACTGGGTTCACCATGACTGCCTCATCCCTCACCCCGCCCGTCACTGCTCCTGTCGAGGGCGTCTTAAACCAATCCTGAGCCTCAGCATCGACAGAGTCCATCGTCGACACGGTCTTGTTTCTACTCTGCAAGGGCGAGGTCCACTCATCCATCGACTCGCTTGCAGTAGTAGATGGGAACCGACGCAACCTCGTCGGTGCATCCTCGTAACTGCCATCAAAAGCCTCCATCGGGTCGGAGCTGCTCGCAGGATCCGTCTGTAGCGATAGTTTTCGGCGTTTCAAGACGCCGTCTGTAGCCACCAGCTGCTTCTTGACGTCCTCAATCGTCTGGTCTGTCTCTTGCTGCTTGCGAAGGTGCGCGATCTGGCGACCGTGCGTCTCGAGCGCGTCCACGAGCTCGCCGTCCTTGAGCACGTTCTTGTCCTGTTGGCAGGCGCTACTGAGGGCCATTACGAGACGCACGAGCTCGTCCCGCTTCACGTCCATAGCAGACCTTTTCCCAGTAGAAAGAGAGAGACTGACTAACAGACCGGTCGTGGTCGATAGAGACCAGAACACACGACCTACCTACCGACGTATGTACCCACTTGTCTGTCTCTGTACGAATGGCTACAAAAGCACTCGAAAAAGAAGACACGGCTAGCGGTCGCTTCTGAAGTGAATGGAGCCACTCGATGACGTCGCCCCTCTCTCTCTCTCTCTAGCAGCTGCCTCTGGCGTCTGTTCAGGAGGAAGAAAGGGAGTGTGACCCGTCGTCCCCCCCCCCAGCTGCCATAGTGGAGTCAGCGCCAGATCTTGGGGCTCCGTGCTGCAGATTTGGCTCGACTGGCCCCAGTCTCTGTGACATGTCATCGTATGGTGGTCGTCGACCAACTGGGTTGGGTACATCGGGCCACCGCCTGAACTGGCTACACCAAGAGGAAGGTCGTTTCGAACTTTAGCCGTGTCTCTCTGTCTGCTTTATAGTTGTTACTTCAGCATGTTTGATGATGATGATAAAGAGCTACAATTTGAACCGCCACTGATCTGAAAACCGCGTGCGAAGTGTCAGCTGTTGTGTCACTTCAACTTGGTGCCGGCTCGGCCTTCTACAAGGGGTGTAGGAAGCAGGCACCGATAGCTGCTACGACTACTTCATGCCTTGGATGCATCAAATGTATACACTCGGCAGTGGTCAAATAATAATCCACGACGCTTTGACTGGCACGACGCCTTTGGTAGTGTTCCAGACACACTCGAGCCGTCAGTTTCCCCCCACTCGTACAAAAGCAGCCTGGTCGTGTCTTGCCAGACAATCAATCGATAGCGCTGCTCAGTGGTACGCAACGTGCTGCTCGAACGTGTGCATGATATCCGAGAAGGACGGACGGAGACTCGGTTCTCGCGCCCAGCACGACTGGATCAGCCGTGCAAAGAAACGGGGACACGAGCGAGGGATCACCGGCCGCAGGTCGTGGTTGAGCACGCCCAGCGCCACTTGGATCTGCGTCATGCCGTCGTACGGGCACTGTCCCGTGAAGATCTCCCACACGACAATGCCGAACGAGAACACGTCCGCTTTCTCCGTGTACTTGCAATTCCCCAGTACTTCGGGTCTATATCGTCACACACAAAAGAGCAAGAAACATGAGTGTGAGTCTTGTCGTTCCAAGAGCCACCAGCAAAAGACACTCTAAAAGCGTCAAGTAAAGCAACGTACGCCATCCACTGCACCGTGCCGCAGTTGCCTGTCATGGTCTGGATCTGTGCCTTGACGCGGGACAGCCCAAAGTCCGAGATCTTGATGGAAAAGTTGCGCTCCACAAGCAAGTTCGGACTCTTCATGTCTCGATGCAAGATCGGCAGCTCAAACTGGTGCAAGTAGCGCATGCCACGCGCAGTATCCACAACAAAGCGAGTCCGCATTGCCTCCGAGAGCTGTCGTCGTCGCGTGCGAAGCACCGCCCAAAGCGAGCCGTGCTCGACCAGCTCGATCACCAACGCCCGACTCTCGGGGGCTAAACACGCGCCCAAGAGGCTGCAAATGTTGGGATGATGCAGTCCACTCATGATCTTCACTTCCGTTTCAAACTCCCGGACCACATCAGCTGTCAAATTCTGTCGCACGAGCACTTTCATCGCCACGTTGCGGCCCTTCCACGACGCCTGGAACACTTTCCCGAACGCGCCTTCACCAATCACACGACCGATCGTCACGTCTGCCATGTCGACGTTCTGCTGGGGTTCAAGAAACCGGTCGTCCATTGCATCCTCTGCTTCATCAGATTGCTGCTCGTCCTGTAAGCTACGGACGGTACACTCGGACTCGGGCTCGTCTCTGGACTTCATTGTGGTGGTGTTGATTAGAGCGTTCGTCTGTCGACAGCGCTCGTCGTCCTCGTGCTTGATCGGATCGAACCAGTCGGACAAACAGAGCGGGACACCAGCTCGTCGGGCACTGTCAAGTCTCCTGGACGAGTCGTTTGAGTCCGTGATCGTCACGAGCGAGATGCGAGATGCGTAGCTTGCAAACGGCGTGATGCTGCTGCTTGGGACGACGCCATAGAGACTCCGGTTGTGGTAGTAATACGCGTGGCCTTCCACGTCCAGCGAGCTGCCTAACGGCTCTCCTTCAGACTTCTTCTTCTTCATCATCATCATCTTGGGTACAGGAGAAGGTAGTCGAGGCAAGTCGACAGTCTCTGCCGGTCGCACGAAGGTGGACGAGCTCGGAAGGAGTCGCTTGCTGCTGATGCCGTGGATGTCGTCGAGGTCCATTGCGGATTTGCGCGTGTGCGTGCGGATAGGGGACCCACAGAGGTGGAAGAAGTCGCCACGGATGGGGTCGGGACTGGGGCCACGTCGAGACGTGGACAGGGGCATGGGACACGCAGGAGAAGAGAGAGAGAGAGAGGCAAAGGAGGCAATGATGGATGGGGTGGGGATGGCACGGGAAAATGTAAAGTGAAGAGCTCTTTGGGTCTTGTGTGTGTATTTATCGTGACACCTTCGGACGGTTTTGTGGTGTCGATTAAGTTGACGTCCGTTGTTGTTGAAGTAGAGATCGGCAAAGTCGCGAGGCCGTGTACGACGTCGGTGTGAAAAGCTGCTGCTGCGTGTAATGGGGAATGAGCAAAAGTACTGATTTATGTGACGGTGTGTCAAGTTCGTTGTTTATACGGCTTTTCGTGTGGGGCACTTGGTTAAGTGACAAGACTCGATTAAGTTCGTCTGAGATACGACGAGCTTCAAGATGGTGGAAGTCCCTCGTCATATGGAGTCGCTACGTAGATGGGGCGAGCCATGACGGGCTCCTTTTATGTCCCGATAAGGAGGGGATTGTCGTCGCGTTTTTTGACCATCTCTTTGGACCTCGTCCTTTCGAGCACTTTATCCGGACTTTTTTTTGGAGCGAAGGCTGGTTAGTGACTTGACGCGGACTGCCGCTTTTCCATTAGTCGTCAGATATCTTGTCAGTTGATCCGAATGCAATCGACAAACCATCAGCTGGTCAGGATGCATCCATTTGTTTGCCCTCTTCTCGACTGAAGATCACTTTTGGGGTATTTGATCGCCTGTCGAGTAGCAATCTGGTCAGCGATCGTTTCTCTGTACACACATCTCCCCATCAGTACTGCGTGATCGGCACGTGTCTTGTAAATAAACACCTATCAGTGAAATAAATGTCTCGGTCCGAGCGAGCATGTGAGGTGAAGTTGAAGCTTTTCGCAGACACCGCGAATGTCTGGACTGCATTGGCAAACACGAACGACAACGATGAGAAATGTTATCCAGCTGTGATCGGGTTTTTGATGATGTTGAAGGCGTACGAGCCATATGATGCTCCTCATCAACTGCGCTTTTGTCCAAGCTGAGAAAATCAACTGAAAAAAGGTCTGTCATTGCAGGCGATTAAAGACGTCGATAGACAAGGAATGCTTCACTCATTAGCGAACGTGACGCAAACGCTGTCAATTGGCGATTTCAATCGACCCACGATGTACTGATTCGAGCCTGGTAGCTTTGCGACTTACTGCTTCATCCTCTTTACCCAAGAAATGGTTCGTGTGCTGGATACATTCAGGCACTATTGAGGCAATTGTGTAAACTGGCGAGAACGAGAAGGGAGACGCTTCCGTCGACAACTACTAGTCAAGGTACAATCGGATAGACTACACGATGCTGCGATAGCACCTTTTGCTTGCAAAGCTTCATATCCGATACCATTCACCACTATGAGGCAACGTCCATTCATCAAGCAGCACTGTTGTTATGTGTATCCGCGTGAAAAAGCCAATTTCTGTCGCGATCGACAATGGTGCGGTATTGTCTTCAACAGGAGGTGATACAACCGTAAGATTGGGTGTAGCAATCCAATTTTATAGCCACCCGAACGTCTTTCATGCTACAACGATCCCCAAGTCATTTGCGCCCGCATGATCGGTCTCTGATCCGCCACCCCGATCACAGGCGTTGACTGGAAGTCTATCGACTGGAACAACTTGATCGCTGGGATCGGGTCATCCTGAGGACAGATACGACCAGTGATTGAAGGTGCAACGGCTGTCACTTGTAAATGGCTTCAACATCCAACAACGTGACATGGAGAGACTCCAGCCAGCACCTGGTTGGCATAGTAAGCGCCAGCACTAAAACCAACAGCATTTACCTCAATTCCTACAAGGAGGAGACGCGGCGCATAGCCTTACCGCCGCTTGTTCTCAACGATGTCAAGGTACTCCACTAAGACAATTCGATGTCCACCCTCCTGAGCAGCAGGACGCCAACGCGCGACACCGATTGGTCTATCACCAACTGCACAAAAACGGCTCAGCAAGTCCGACGTAGATGATACCTTTACCACATGATCAAGTTGTGTGATTGTTAGAGCAACATAGTCAGAGCTCCGGACTATCCGCAACCGAATGGCGCACTATCGAATCATCCTGTGAACCTCTCGCCACCGCTAGAAAATCCTCTTCGCGATAGCTAGATAATTGTCCACAGAGCGATATTTGTCGGTTTATGAGCAGCTCCTAATGCCACATGTTTGCCCTGCCACTGACTGATAGTCGATAAGCTAAATCGTAAACTGAAACGTTATGCATCTTCGCTACGGAATAATCGCATACGCGCATCAATGCCTCATTCATTCGTAGCTATTGCGTGTTGCTGGACTAGGTACTTCTTATTTTAGGTTTCTCACAAGAGCACGAACATGCGCGTCTTTTGCCAGTATGGCCATAAATAGCGCATCGTGTGCGCTGCAGAGTGACTGCATATCAGTCAATACCTGCCGCTACAGACGATCATCCAGCATAAAGAGTAGGAAAAAAAGGCAGTCCCGTACTTGCTCGTGGTCGTGCTTACACACACTGCAGCGCTGTGACGTCATATCGAATTATCCGTCGTATTATCCAAGCTTGTTTCTATCCGCTTGATGGGATAGTATCAGACAAGCGATATCTTCACTAAGTATCGTGTCTTCACCGACACACTTCAGGTAAGTATCCATTCCTATTGAATGTCGACTCTCGATGCCGTCGAAGTGCGTCGAATTGCGACGCAGTTAGCGGCGCTCAAGCAGCAGCGCAACGAAGCCACTTCACTGGATGATGACGAGCCGATCCGACTGTACCGATTGACCAACAGCAGCGCTTTTGTGCGCGTCCTGGACGATTATCCCGAGCCTATTTCATCGGATATGGTATCGACAGTGAATAGTGCTGCAGTTAAAGTGCGATGAAGGGGCTAATAAGGTGCTCTAACTGACTGTGCAACAGCTCGCGACAATTAGCGCTTTTATCGCGAAAAATAAGGAGGATGGCGATTGTGAGGAGATGAATGCGACTGTAAAGAATGAAGCAGACGAGAAGACGACGCGTAAGGAACAGCAAGACACTTTATCGGTCGCAAGTTCGACGTTAGGACGACAGAAGCGCAAGGAGATCGATACGGATAACGATACCGTTAGAGTAAACGGTGGCGATAACGTTAGCGAGGACACTATCGATAACGCTAATCGTGACGTTAACGCAGACGTTACGGGAGATACGACAGTAACCAGCAATTGCGCGGCAACAGCCGTGGATCAAGAAGATGTTGGTGTTACAAAGCCGGAACTGGTTCAAGTCTCAAGGGCAGCGGACATTGTGCCACCGTGGGAAAAAGCTGCTGCTGTGAAGAATATACGGGATCTGGTGCTGGACCAGAAGGAAGGAATCAGTGACGTTCTGAATCAGAAAGTGGCGATCAACAGGATGCAAGAGCTGGACTGCAGTCGTAAGGATGGACCTGTCGCTGCAGAGGTTGGGACCAAAGACCTGGAGTCAGTGGACCATTCGACGCTGTTTGAACAGTGGCCACATCAACTCGAGGAACAACGGAAGTTGTGGTTCATGCCTCGAATCTCTGGCAGAAAAGCGAGTGTCGTGGGTGTGAAGAATCAGCCTGTTGTGTATTGGATGCACAACACGCTGCGGGTGATACAGGGAAATTATGGACTGGAAGCAGCTATTATGCTTTCGCGACGCTTGAGTGCACCGTTGGTGGTTGTCTGTCTTGTGTCGTCTTCTATCATCCATCCGGTCTGCCACGCGACGACAGCGAGCGATGCGTACGCAAGGTACTCGCTGGTGGAGTTGTATCAACAGTTCAAGCAAGCTGGGGTGCCGTTCTTTGGTCTATCAGCTACAGAAAGCGAGATGTCAGAAGCGTCAGATGATTTGCAGTTCTCTCCAAAGCCCCACCCGCTGTATGAGATGCTGGATGCATTCGAACCACACGTGGTCGTGACAGACGCTATGTTTGATTCTCCGAGTAGGAGAGACATGGTGCACTTGGCTCGTTATTTAGAGCTGCATCGTTCTTCTTGCTCGTGGTCTCTTCTGTCAATGGATTCAATGACGTGCTGTCCCGCGTACCAGCTGTCAACGAAGCTGCAGAGCACATTTGAGCGTGACACTATGTTCGCGAGTGAAGAGCAATTTGGAGTCGAGTACGCATCATGTCTCGAACTGCGCGATCAAATGTACATCTTCAGTCCTTTGCCTCGTGTTGGCGCACTAGATCCAGCGGCAGATAAACGACGATCGGAAATGGTATCTGCAGTGATGCAACGGCTTCATCTGGAAGAAATCAACTGGCAAGTTGTCAAGGCAGAAAACGCGCAGTCCAATACTCGCATGCAACGGTTCAGTGAAGGCGAAGGACTCCAGAAGCTGAGCCAGCTGTTGTCGGATTTGAACAGCCAGCCAGCTATTCAGACAGAGCTGCACGGTGGGGGTGTCCTGAGTTTGTTACCATTCATTCGTCATGGCACACTGTTCGTTGGCTACGTGTTACGACGCATGACGGACGCAATCACTGCATGCCCAATCCCGACAACCCCACAAGAACGAAAAGCGCTTGCGATGCGGAAGGTAGGTACCGAACAAGCTGTCTGCCTCTGCATCATAGTCGTTGTTGTAACGTGTAGCTTATACGATCAGGTCATGCGATCTCGAGCAGTGAATCACCTGGCGAAAGAGCGTGATTATATCCTGTATTTATCCCTCTGGTCTGCTTCTCGCACGGAGCCAAGCGGGTCGGCTCTACCAGACATTGCGCTGCTTTCTACAAGCGAGATCATCGCAGGACTGAAGAGCTACGCACCTCGACCTTCGGCATTGTAAGTTGATGGTACACGTATCAAACCTTGTGTACTCGGACGGAGCTAAGCAAGGTTGCAATTGTGTGTAGAGAGGCATACCGGAAGCTGCTACCTGGTTGGGCTTACAGTGCAGCAAGAATGGTGGACAACTGTAACAGCCATACGACGGGCGCAGCCAGCTATGATCCGCTTGAACTGGAAAGTGCACGGACAAATGATCCCTACTGGAATGACATTCAAAAGTCGCTCGTCGAACAGCAGTATTTGCACCCTCTGTTGATTGTATACTGGGCTTACCGAGTATTCACATGGAGCGTATCGTGTCGAGCAGCGGTAGCGGTAAGTTCCGGTTGACTCATAGTTGTCGTGTAGGCACTGTTGTCTGAACTGTTCTTGGTCCTCTGTTTCTGGCAGACAATCGAGTCTCTCATTTCTCAGTGCGCGCTTGGGTCTTGGAGTTCTCCTGATGCTGTGTTCATCGTGTGGAAACTACTGTTTCGTCTCGGATCAAACAGCACGAACACGACCAGCATCGGTGGTGACGGCAAGACAAGTCCGACTCTGGAGGATCTCCGGCGATTCCAGAGCGTTTTAGAAAACGAGCTCGCATCACAACCAAAGCTGCAGCTGCGTCCGTAGCCGAAGAGATGCCAATGCATGCAAGAACTATTTATATCTACTCGCCGTGAAGAAGGTGCTTCCGAAGGTGATCATTCTGCTATTCGGTATCACTGTTCAGCAAGGGGCCATTCGTCACAGCAGTGTGATTACATGACGTCTACGAACGGTCAAGAGCCGTTTGCAATGGTATGCGCGCTGCAAGTGCTTGGTCGCGGCAACTCCCCATTTGACTCAGCATCTATCACTCAACGCTGTAAAGCATTTGAGCATGTGAGCATCAGTTCCGACCTGAAGCAAGTCACACCTTCGCTCATTTTTGTCGCGCAGGCAAACGATCATGTACGTGGCACATCCTTTTTATGGCACGTTGCAATCGATACAGCTTCGCAGACTGCACTTCAGGTGGACTGCAGGACAGAAAGATGCTGTCAATGCACCACAGCGATGTCGCAGTCGTTACAGTGAATATTCGAGCGCACGCTAAGACAGGACAAGAGAACCGGGCATGTCGAGACTTCCAATCATCAGCTGTAGAATACTGATGGCTTGCTTCGTAACAAGAATGCTGGGCTTGGTCCGCCTAGAGTATCATGCCGGCTGTCGGTCAGTTCTTGGGCCGTCTTACTCGGAGAGTTCCATCCGTGAAAACGGAGAAGCGATTCGAATCTGACAAAACTCCAGTGCCGCCAACTCGAGCTCAGTTCGAAAGGGGGTTGTGTTTGGCAAAGTTGTGTGCCTGTCGATCAGCGAAGACACCTGTCGCAGTTCAGCAGCAGGTTTTTCCAGCGTTGTCATCGTCGACCAACGGATGCGAATCCGACGAGAGTCCGGTCCGAGCATGTCGAGTATATCATCGAGCTCATCGTTGTCATCCCGAAGGTGCATCGTGGTGGACGGTGCATGCGGCCGTAGCCACAGAAAACAACTCGCGAAACACAATCCAACTTGTAGCAGCACTGCTCAGCCTTTAGTCGAGCTTTCCACACCCATCAACGTGCTTGAGCCGTGCTGCTACATCTCACATATCCTTCGTGCACGCGGCTTTTGTTGCGCTTGCTGTCAACTCCATTTCGATCAAGCAGGAGTTCGGTTCAGGCAGCGCTACCATCGTGTCACAACCCTCAACGTAACTCGGTCGCCGCACCTCGCATCCACTGCGTCGCCCCTTTTCATCAAGATGTGACTATCAAGTGAGCTTGCAGCATGCGCCAAAGCTTTCGTTGCTCATGATCATGTCGGGACGAAATCCGATGACTCGACACGAGCTAGACGCGGTGCCCGTACGAGTTTCTCCGTTGTCGTGTCCCGAAACTCCTCCATCGTGAAATTCTCGACAAGCTTTTTCCAGCTTGATGCTGCAATCGAAAACAACGCGAGCAATGGACTGCATCAACACGACAATCGAGACAAGTTAGACGCAATCCGGACATTCATGTCGAGACTATTGCGTGCGTACCTTGTAATCCGATCGAGCCAGCCGCGCTGCGGGGCAGCTCCATTGATGTAGAAAATGTACAAGAACGCGTCGTGCCTTACCCCGTCAATCATGTAATAATCTGCTCAACACGCGCAACGTGGCATGAGATAAACGCACAAACAAACAAACGAGCGAGCAGCTACTTCCACCTCTCTGCTTTAGATCAACAAACGGTAGGTACCTTGCAAGTACCGCAAGTTCCGGAACCCATGCTTCTCATAGAAACGTCGCGCACTCAGGTTGTCTGCTTTCACATGGAGATACACTGCTCCACATTCTGGTTGACGACAGGCTTGCGCAATACATTCTTCCAGCAATCTCGATGCAATGCCCCTCCTTCTCACCGACGCTCTTGTCCCCAACGTCAAGATGTACATGACCTGAGTATGCCCCCCATTGTCCGGCTCGATCAAGTCCGGGTCTTCCACTTTACTCAATGGCAACGTACTGGCTGTAACAGCCCCGAGAATGGTCCCTTCTTGTTGAGCAGCTGCAGCGGCGGCGGCTAAAGGAGGAACTGGCACAAACTCGTGCATCTCCACTGCAAGACGCGCAAACAATTGGCCACCCGTTTCCAGCCATAGCCCTCGAGCCGCGCCGTCGTAGAACGCCTGGTTATAGCGAATAGGGAACCATTCCTCATGCAGTCGACGCACTTGCGGGATATCTGGCAAGTCTAAATCTCGGAAATACACGACGCGCTGGGGAGACGAGACCGGCAACAGGTTACGCTCCGTCTGGTCCACTTGGCGCTGCAGATCCAGCGCGACGACGCGCAGGGTCCGAGCGTCTGCTGCCGCTGTCTCGTCAATCGACGACGTGCGGTTCATCCTCGCCGACGAGCTCAACAACGAACGGACGCGAGTTCTCAAGTCGGTGAGAATGCATAATTCGTGTCGTTTAATATCGACTGACTTTTTGGGACTAGTATGAAAGTATAGTGAAGAGACCCTCGGAGAAAACATGGCTCAGTTTTGAAAAAAACACGCAATGCTTTTTAGACGTTTGCGACCATCGGCGACGTGTGACATGTGGCGTGTCAAACTTGACGGAGCTTTCGACTTGACTTTCTTGGTCGCACTCGGACTCGCAGCTTTGTCAGGATGCAAAACGAGCTTCAAGATCTTCTTGACGCCCGTTGTGATGCCCAATTGTTGCATCTCCGTGACGGTCATCCAACGAATGTCGTCCGACTTGGCTGTGGATAATAGCTCGGGCTCCTGCTTGAAGTGCAAGTGCTCAATGCCCATGTGGTGCTTCACATGCGAGAAAACGTGCGTCAGTTCTCCGACATTGCGTCGATCAACGAGCAAGTTGCTGGAGCGAGAGAGTGCAGACTGCTCGAGCACTTCCGACAGTCGCGTGTCCATGAACGCCTTCCGTTTGGAGAATGGAGGAATCGTGTCGCCGTCGCTTATCTGTGTAAAGCGCAACGAGAATATCGTGAGGAGGTGCGTGTTGTCATCGCATCGCTTAGTGTAGCACCGCACCTTGCTATGAAGGAACTCCCATTGTCCAGCCAATAGACCACCCTCGGGTCGTTTCGACATCAGGAACTTCCAGGTAGACGAACAAGAAGACTTGGACTCCGTATTGCGCCTTGTCGTTGAACTCCCTTTTCCAGACGTTGCTGACTTGTCGGATGGCGACGAAACCACTGCAACGCAGATGATCTCCTGTCTCGAGTCATTCTTCTTTGCCTTCAGTGGATACTTGGTGACCTTTGATCAAGAACGACATCAACAAGCCACAGACAGAGTCAGGCAGCAGGTATCCGTCGATGGCGAAAGACACATGTTTCCAAACTTTACCTCAGTTTGACTTTCGTTCCACTCCAAAGAACGCACAAAGTCACAAATAGTGCATGCACTGCTCGACTCGACAGGCACATGGGAGGTAGCGAGTCTTTTGCTCTTGGGCGTGGCAACATGTTTCTCTTCGTATGCGAGGCACACCGACTTCACAGGACAGTCTGAACATTGAGGGTTCTACATGCAGTCGAACATCGACAGTGTACGTCAGAACCGAGAGCTCGTCGAACGTAACACTCGCCACACATGGCAGCGTGTGTGCATTACCTGGACCGTGCACATAGTAGCCCCGAGCTCCATCAACGCCTGGTTTAACGCTCCAGGACGATCACATTCACGTACGAGCTCGCTCGCTGTCCTCCACGAAAACTTGATCAGCTGTTTATTCTTCGGGTCTGCTCCCACAGCCCGCATTCGAGCCACCACGCGAATCACATTGCCGTCGACTAGCGGCTCACGAATTCCAAAGGCGATGGAAGCAATAGCTCCTATCGTGCAAATCGCGTCATAACGTCAACCTTCTTGCGATAAAGGAGAATAGAGCGAGCGCAAGCGCCAACAGGGTCAACTGCTTTACGAACCTGCCGTATATGGTCCGATGCCGGGTATCAGGAGCAATTGGTCAACTGAAGACGGTAGCTCTCCACCACACTTCTCTACCACGTACTTTGCACCAGCATGCAGCATCCTAGCACGTCGATAGTACCCCAGTCCTGCCCACAAAGCGTTCACATCCTGCACCAACACGATCGTCACGTCAGCATTCTCTCTACCGTTCATCACAACAGAAAAAGACAGCACGACACAAGTCAGCAGCAAGTACCGACTGTACCTCTTCTTGAGCTTCCGCGAGAGCAGCAACTGTAGGGAACTTGTCAATCCAGCGCAAAAAGTACTCCACCACAGTGTCCACGCGCGTCTGCTGCAGCATAATCTCCGACACCCACGTCTCGTACGGCGCCACTTTTCTCGGTTCTTCGACTTTCTCTTTGTAGTCGACAGCTCCAGTAGCTCCGCTCGTCGTGTCTCTCTTGACCTCCTTCTGCCCTGGCACCTTGAAAAACGCATGTACCCCTGACTTCTTCACCGCAGTTGATCTGGTCTTCTTCTTCTCCTCGTTACTGTGCACTGAAGTGGTCAAATACGGCGGCAAATCCCCTCGCCACGGAAGCTTTCGACGGTGCACGTCGTACCACTGGAGCAGCTCCGCGCGAACTGTTTGGAGCTCAAGGGACTGGAAATCATGGCGCGAAACTTCGTGTGGAGAGGCAGAGGACGTTGGCGGACACGATGTTGCCTTCAGAGCGATCAGGTCTTCAATATCTGGCTCCGTAGCGGCCTCAGTAGTCGACGGAAGCAATCGCGTTCTTGACATGCTAGACGCAATTGGATGGCCGGTGCGTGCGCAGCAATTATGAGAGGCTCTTTGAAACGCGATTCGAACAGTTGCATATTACCAGCGGAAGTTAGAGGTTTCGTTTTTTCGTCAACTATTTGTGGCGTAAGTTATTTTTATTTTCCTGGACGTTATAAATTACTGTAAGTTTACTTCAGCCAACATGCCGCAGCGCGTGGCCGTCTTGTCGCACGTGAAGGCGAGCTCGACTCAACCGAGTCACATGAGCAGTAGCAGCAGCGCGCGTCGCATTGCGTGGCACGGCGGCAAGATCTCGTCGAACAAGACTGAGGCGCTGCAGAAGTTCTACCAGCGCAAGCTACGAGCGGGTGACTACGATTTGGCGCAGCAGATTGAGACAACACGTGCGTGGGGTTTATTTTACTTTCCTGAAAGTTACGGTTCCAAGAGACAAAACTGTTTGAAAGTTATTTTAATTTCTGACGGGTATTTTTGTCGTGTGAAATATATTGCAGTAAATGTAGAGCCAAGTCACGACGAGGCGGTATTCAAGCACCTGACGACGACCAAGTATCAGGAATCACAGACGACAGGGACAGTAACGGGGAAGTACATGGTGTTAAAGACTGGACGTGTCCTGGGACCCAAGATGCACTCGAAGTCGAGCGTGAAAAAAGCAGACGGGTCCCGTCGGCAGGCGAAACAGCACGACTATGTGCAAAAACTGGTAAAAACGAGCAGACAGTCGCCAAAGAATGTGGCAGAGATTCCACTGGAAGACAAGTTGGGGCTGCCATTGCATGCACTAGTTGGGGACAAGGCGAAGCGCACGCTCTGTGTCGTGAAGCGGAGGTGAAAAACTTGCAGGGGAAGCACGACGACCGGTGACTTGTGTATTGTTTGCTGGTTGGTGTTGACAGAGGACGGAACGGGTGGGGTGTTTGTTTGAGAGAAAAAAGAGAGAGAAGAAGAAGCGAGACTGCTGGAGACTTGCGGTCGTGCATGTGTGAGTGAAAGAGAGAGAGAAAGAAGGAGAAGAAGAAATGAATACAAGACATCCGGGTGTGGTTATCGCCTGGAACCCATGCAGCCTAGGAGGACCTGTTTGTTCAGCCTGACGCTGTAGTTGGCGTACGAAACGCAATCTTGAGAGCTTGTTGCAGCGTCGATACTTCGACAACAGTTAGCGTGTCGGCGTACTTCTGTTGTAACGCACGACGCGTGGCTTGATCGGGCTCTCTTGGAATCACGCAGACTTCGAGCCCAATTTTCTGTGCTGCAGTGAGCCGTGACTCAAGCATTTTGACTGGACGCAGGTGGCCTGACAGCGCCACTTCGCCAAGAAATGCCGCACGCTCCAACACAGGACGGCCAAGAACGGCGCTGGCCAATGCTATAGCCAGTGCCAAGTCGGCTGCAGGTTCCTGAATCGTGTATCCTTCTGCAATGTTCACGAACACACTCTGGTTGAGGCACGAGACTTTTGCACGCTTTTCCAGCACGGCAAATAAAAGGAGGAGTTTGTCGTACGCGACGCCGACCCCTCGTACCCGTGAGAAGGACTGCGCGCCTCCACGGCCAGCGTCGACGTTGTATGCCCGGTTTGACAGGGCTTGAATCTCGAGAGGAAAGGGGCGCTTCCCTTCCATAGCAATAGTGAGAGCACACCCGTCGAGCTCTGTCTCCAAGTCTGCATTGTTGTCAGAAGAGTCGTCATTGTCCTCGTTGCGTGTCGAAACGAACGCCAGGAGAGGATTTGGTAGCTGCTGAAGGCCTTCGTCAGTCATGTTGAAGACGCCAACCTCGTTGGTGCTTCCGAAGCGATTCTTTTGGCACCGCAGGAATCGCCGCGTACTTTGTGGGTCACCTTCTAGTTGCACCACAGTGTCGACGATGTGTTCGAGCACTTTGGGGCCAGCGATATCGCCGCTTTTGGTCACGTGTCCGATGAGGATGACGGGCACGTTTCGTGACTTGGCGAGTCGAAGCAATCGGAGCGTGCACTCTTTCACTTGGTTCACGGTACCCGCTGGAGAAGGCACGTCTTGCACGTACACGGTCTGAATCGAGTCCACCACTACAGCACCAAAGCCTCGGTACTCGTCACTAGCCACGTTGGGTCCGCAGCCTGTTTCCAGCAGCTGGAACACCGAGTCGAGATTCGTTTCGCTCGCCACGAAGAGACTATTGCTCACCGGTCCAAGACGTTCTGCTCGCATCCGCACTTGAAACGCCGTCTCCTCACCCGAGACGTAGAGCACTCCAGAATCCCGCATCGACGACTTGTTGGCCAGCATGTTGGCCATCTGCAGTGCGAGCTGCACAGTACGGGACAAGACAATTATCAAGCGTATCGAGTCAGGTACTTCGACTAACTTTGTCTGCCTTGCTAGAGCAGTCAATGCAGCAGCGGCAGGCTCACCGTGCTCTTGCCAACACCAGGGTTTCCAGCCAACAGCGTCAAGGAGCCAGCAACGATACCTCCCCCGAGCACCCAGTTCTACAACAAGACCCACAAATGAGGTAGTATCCCTTGTACCATGCACTCGTTCCCGCATTTCTACTCACCAATTCACGATCTGGCAGCTCCAACCGCTCAACGGACGTGTGCAACTCGACTTGGTTCATCCGTGAAGCCTGCGGTCCATCCATTTCCGACGTACCCGGTCTCAGTTCTGTTTTCAATGGAGCTGCTCGACGCTTGGACGTGGCTCTCGGAAAAGACGCTGCATTGGACTGGCAATAGAAGGGGGTTTCCATCTCAGCAGCCACGATCGAGCCCCATTGGGAGCACGACGAGCACTTTCCCTGCCACTTGACAAACGTCTGGCCACAGCTTTGGCACTTGAACTCGTTTGACGACGACGCAAAGCCGCGGACGAAAAGGGCACGACGAACAGCGAGTGGAGGAGGAGCGGGTGCTTTTGGTCTGCGCGGTGATGGAAAGAGCGGGCAAAGGCGACGGGAGGCAGCAGGATACACGGAATGAGGAGCTACTGGTCGAAGCAGCTTGGGGGTCCACATGTCCACGGACGAGAGAGATTGAGAGGAGGTCCGACTTTGGTCGGACGATCAGATGCTTCGTTGGTTGTCACTCAGTGGTGCAAGAGAACGCGAACAATATCAAGTTTGGGTCTTTTTAGCACGCTTGTCCGATAGATTGGTATCGAAACTCGTGCGACCTCTTCATGCACGACGTTTTACGACGACGACGACGACGACGACGTCCGACCCCATCAAAAGCATATTGTTTCACCAACAAACGACCACCTTGTTCCTTCCTTTTCGTTGTCTCTTGCTCGTTAGCCGACCAGGACATCAACAAAGTCGGCCGGTTGAAGCAAGCAGACATCCTGAAGACCACCTGAAGAGTGTCACCTGCCGTCTTCATTTCCACTCTTTGCAGACTTGACCACGATAGTCACAGAGATCGATATCGGTCATGGGTAACTCACCGCTATCTCGAGGGTGCACGAACCGGCGTCTGTCAGTTCGAAGAGCGCAAAGTCACGAAGCGGTTCCAGGCTGAAGAGATGCGAATGCTGCGTCGGACTTTTCGGGGACTTGCCAGTTCGACAGACGGCGGGAGTGTCGACAAGAAGACGTTTCTCAAGTGTTTTCCAATGCGTGGACTCCTTGGCGAGCGGTTGGTTGACGTCATGGACCAGAGCAGCTCCGGGTCCATCGACTTGAACGAGTTTGTCTACGGCCTCGCGATTCTCTTTCGTGGCTCACGGGAGGAAAAGCTCAAGTTCGTGTTCGACCTCTGCGACCTCAGCGAGTGCGATACAACCGTAGTGCTGTGTCTCCTGCTGCTCGTGCTGGACGAAGGGGGTGCTAACAATGAGGAGCGTGAACTATAGGACCCAGGCCATCTCCCGGTGCGAGCTCAGGACGATGCTGTACCAATTCCCGGATTCGGCGTTCCAGTTGATCAAGCTGAAGACGAATCGAGAAGACGCGAGGGACTCGCGAGAGAAAACGCCGACTTTACCCAAAGCTGTGCGTACTTGAAGCTGTGCTGGCTAATGCACGGACATGGTCTAACCTGGTCGTGACTAGATGCACACGATTGAGGCGTTAGTTGACTCGGCTTTTCCTTCGCCATGGCCACCCAGCACGCGACTCAGCTTCCAGCTATTCTATCACTGGTGCGAGAACACTCCGGGTGTCGCGAACGTACGTCATCTGGCACTCGATCTCATTGTTCATCGCCTCGCTCGAACTTATTGTGCTTGTGCCTGTTGCAGTTCATGGTGAGTGTCCTGCCTGTAGAAGACCACGCAGTCCGAAGTGCTGCAACGTGTTTCCATCAGATCGATGCCGCAACACTTGCGACCTTAGCAGATCGGTACATCTCGCTCCTTGCTGATTACATCGGAGCACATGCGACGTCTAACAACGTTTCGTGATGCCGTAGATGGCCGTCACAGCCTCAACGTCTCTGTCTTGGTGAGCGCGCAAGACGTTGCACGAAGCAGAGCTCGTGTGCGAACCTGCATGTCAAGTACGTCGGATCTTGTGATCCTCAAGTGCCCTTGATACTAACAACGAGCTGTCTCTAGTCGGTTTGCTGCACAGGCAGACGCGATCTCCTTTGCCCATGGACACAACCGAGAGGAGCTGGAGAGGACTCGCACAGCACGACAGCGTATGAAACACACTTGCGATACCGACAGCGTGGCTTCGTATGTTCAAGCAGCTCACGCTGGAGCAGAAGACTTGTGCTGGACAACCGGTCAGTTGTGGAAGCGGGGATCACGTCTGCACAAGATGATCAGGCGCCACTACGCATTGCGGGGCAATTTCCTGTACTCCTACGCGTAAGGCCATGCTGGAATGTGGCAGCAAAGAGGGTTTCTTGAAGCTTGTTACGGACTAAGGAGTTGTGACCTCGTCTTACTTGTGTAGCTCTACGGACGACCGAGCACCTCGTGGCGTGACCTTCTTGAGTGATTGCTACGTTGCAACGCAGCCACTGCAGATCGAGGTCGTCGAGAATGGAGTGCACTACTTTGGCATTGACATCGTCCCGGAGCCCGGGAGTGCACGTGCAAAGCGAACCGTGTTTGCACGCTCGCAAGAAGCGCAACGACGATGGGCAACTGCGTTACGCCAAGCTACGGAAAAAGTCTCGATCGAGGAGGTGTACAGCATTGGCGCACAGCTAGGCTGCGGACGCTTTGCCAAGGTGTGCGAAGCCACCCACAACCTCACTGGCGTCAAGTCGGCCGTGAAGATTATCGACAAGAGCACGTTGAAAGGCCACGAACGGGAATTGTTGCGGACGGAGATCGCGATCTTGAAACTCGTGCATCACCCGAGGATCATCCGCTTGTCCGATGTGTACGAAGACCGTCAGTTCATCTTCATTGTCATGGAACTCGTGTCCGGTGGTGAGCTACTCGATCGCATCGTCCAACGTGCGAGATATACTGAAGCCGAAGCTCGTGTTGTCATGCATTCGCTGCTTGAAAGCGTGCATTACTTGCACCAACTGGGCATCGTACATCGAGATCTCAAGCCGGAGAACATACTCTGCGGTGACAGCCTGACAGAGATCAAGATTGCAGACTTTGGACTGGCAAAGCTCGTTTGCCCGGACGAGGTCATGAAAGTGCCTTGTGGCACGCTGAACTATGTGGCGCCAGAGGTGCTAGCCCTTGCGGGTTATGGCCGTGAAGCCGATCTTTGGTCCCTCGGAGTCATCATGTATCTACTACTGCGAGGCGAGCTGCCTTTCAATGGAAAGACCAAGGGCGATGTCATCAAGAAGACGTTGCACGCAGTTGTTGATCTCGAAGCGGATCCAGCTTGGAGACGTTTGTCCAGCGCAGGAAAAAAGCTCTTGCGTGGTCTGCTCACGAAAGACCCTGCGAGTCGTCTTACGGCTCAAGATGCCTTAGGGCACGACTGGTTTTCCAATTGATTCACTACGACCGTCCAGTGATAACCTTCTTCACTTTGGATCTCCAGTCAAGATGATGCATCCAATTTCAATGTTGTCTTCCCCTTGTGAGCATTCGTGCTTGCTGCTTTCATGTGGATGTTCAATTCATGCGGCACGCTACGAGCATCATACTAGGCCAGCCTCATGAAGTTGTCAGAGCTATACCACCTGTGACAGCTCAATGTACGCGGTCTGTAATCATGTCATGAACTTGCACTTTTGTTAGAGAAACCTGACCCTTGCGCCACTACTTACCAGCGCATCACACTATGCCAGTCTCATCAATGCAACCTCCGAATTCAGCATACTATTGGCATAGCAAAGAGCTGTTTCGAGATTGATTCATTACCAGCGCTCAAGATGAACAACGTCAATGCGAACGCATGTGATGCGCATCCAAGTTCCAAGTTCGACATGTTTGACTCATCGTTACTGAATGAGTCGAAATCGACAGCTTTGAGCTGCAGATGCTTGAATGGAGCAGCATCTGTTCACAGGCACGCACAATGGATCGACGAGGACAGTTCATCATAGAATACTTCCGCGCTGGTCGAAGGTATCGATTGATTAATAACGATGCATCATCCCACACATACTAGATGAACAACCAAACCTCTCTTCTGTCACCCCAAGTCATCATCGGTACAAACGTCAATCGCGTCCGCACCACATTACTGAGCTTTTGAACGAGCTCATGGATGTCTCCGTGGTGCGGCACTTTAAAACTTGCCAGGGCGTTTTCTGCCCGTGAACTTGCTATCTGACTTGACCTTCTTGCCCTGCTTGCGATAACGCTCCTTCTTTGCCATCACCCAGTCCCTACGAAGAGAAGAGCAAAGCAGTTGCAAGTAAGCAAAGGAGGCAAACCACAGCCAGTCTGTCAGTATATCCAATAACAAACGTACTTGGCTTTAACTTGTTCGCGTCCCTTTCCTCGGCGTGGCTGCAATCATCAGTAACAACAAATTGCGTTGACATCCATACACTAGTCAAGAAACAGCTTCGGCCACATAGAAATGAACATCACGCAACGCACGCGTTGGGTTCGGCCGCGTCCTTCGTACGAGATCTCATTCGCAGTGGCTCCTACACCGAGACCTTGTGGAACCTGCTGCTGCTGCTGCTGCAGGTATCCAGCAAAAAGACACAAGTAGAATTTCTTGGCCTTGGCGCTATTTGGAAAGTCAACCACGAGACCACCAGAAAAGCCGCAGCGCATAGCGGTGCCTGATATCTCCTCCATCTGCTCGGGCGTTTCGGGATACAGTTGCAATACGGCTCGACTGCCAGCCTTCAAGCACGTAAACAGCGACGTAAAGAAGCGTGTAAGACGCTTCCGAGCCGTGTGTTCCTTCTTGTCCGAGTAGCAGAGCCACTGCACAGCGGATATACTGATACAGCCATCAAAGACACCCGGACGAAAGGGTAGGCCGCCGCCCATGTCTTGCAGAAACACGTCCCCACTGCTGTCTCGCTCCGAAGCAATTTCCAGCATATCTTTGCTGATATCGACGCCAACCCACGCATGACCGTGTTCCTCGAGTGCCACTGGTTTTTCCATAGCATTCACACGTCAGTCAAATATAACAACAGTTTATATTTAAGAAAACAACGGTCCAAAAAAGGAAGAAAAAACACAGTGATACAAATTTAAACAAGGGCCTTTTTGTCTTTTTGTAATGATGACACACCTCCGCTTAGACCGCTCCCACAGCCAACGTCCAAGATAAAAGCTTCGTGGTCTTGAGGCAGATTCAGCAACTCAATCGCTCGAGTCGAGAGCTCCTGCTGTACTTTGACGATCCGCGAGCTGGAATTGTACTTGGCAGCCTCTTTCTCATTGTAGTAGAGCTGCAGACAAACGTGGGTACACATGGGAGGTTACACACACAGTAATACAGAAAGAGAGAGAGAGAGGGAGAGAAATAGACGTGAAGCTAGAGAGAGGGACGCACTTCTGGTGGCGAAATGTGCTCGGGACGACTCATGCCGTTGGCGTTTGTCAACCAGCGATTGGCCTCTAAAGTTGCTCGCAAGCAGCTGTTATCGATCGTATGTTGCTCTTTAAGTGCGCTTTTGAAAGACCCACAAGTCTCGAGGATAGAGCTACCATTCACGTTTTTAGCGTGCGTTTTTTAAAAAGGAAAAGATGTGTAAAATACGGGCAGATCCAGCAGATGTTGTGTTATGTTTGACTTGTTACGGTGCTGTGAGGCACTAGTTGTTGGGTACATTATACATGGACGCGAGAGGTGTATACAGACTTCTACCACATCCCGCAACATCCTTCGGTAGCATGCATGCTGTGTACTACACTCACGACCCATCACCGCTCCTACTTGAGCAGGTCGACATGGTACTTACAGCCACCACCAACAAAACCACCTTCCATTGTGTTACTTGCTCGTCTCAGTTCATGAAAATGCATTCCCTCACTTCTTCAGCGATGGCACAATGATCGGCTACTCTTGAATGCAGACTGACGCCAAATGCTGTGTAAGGAGAGTGGCGTTCTCAGCCCCCTTTACCCGCTGCACTCCACCTTTCTGCGACCTCTCGTTGCAGCTACTTGATCAACTTAGCAATGATCTGCTCCACACGCATTCGAAGCAGTGCGATTCAAGTATCGCTGGAGCAGTGCCTGACGCTTTTCAGTAGCAATTCCGCTGCTCTTCAGCGGAACGCGGTACGCTGCCTGGCCTCGCACGGGGGCAATCTTAAAGTCGCCCAGCAGCTCCGGACACTGCTTCAACCCCTCACCAATATGCTGGCACTCATTAAGGAGGTCAAACGCCGTCGAGTGAGGCACCACAGAGTCGTGGCGGTAATCCGGGTGTGCACGCACAAAGCGACGCATCCAGGTAGCAGCTGTGGGCAACTCGCCAGTTGCACGCTTCGCAATGAGGCACATGTATTTCTCCACAAGCGTCCGTGTGGCTTCATCGCACTCGATGTGATCCAAGTAAGCGTAGACAAGTGGAATGAGGCCTGGGAAATACGACCCCTTGCCCAACATGATCTCGGCAATCGTCATGAGCTCACACGCATCGGGGTCTTCGTGCAAGCGGCATGGATCACTCAACAGACAATCGTCGACTTGCGGTGGAGCCATATGACAACGAAAGTGGAACTTCTCGTCCAGCACGGCATTCACGCGATGCGCAGCCTCCATATTATCATTCACCTTGGACAGCGGAGTGTACAGGTTCAGGTCAAACGTGAGAATCACGCGCGACACGAGCGCGATAAACACCGTGAAGGCGGCATTCTCGAAATCCGTGAGCTGAATTTCCATCGATCGGAACTCGGTGCGCCAACCGATATGAGGTCCCTCAGCGCTCGGTGAGACTGGCGGCGGCGGTTTCCACCGCACAGTCTGCCAGTTCGTGGATTGAATGTTCTCAAAATGATCGGTCTCGCACTCGTTGTCCAAGTGCAGGCGTTGCTCGTAAATGACCAAAGGGTCGCGGATGAACAGGTGCGAAATATGGAGCGCAAGAAGACGGTCCACACCTGCGTCAATCAGAGTCTTGTACGAGTCCTCGTCGTACGGAACCTCGACGTCATTGTACTTGTCAGTCGACGTATGCGGATCCTCGCCTTGCTTGTGGTTACAAATGAACGTCGAAATGCCTTCATAGCGAGACTTGGGCAGACGTTTGATACCATTGCCCGCCATCTTGGCATACTTCGCCACGGTCTCTGGGTCTGTCGGAGCCGGGGCCTCTCCTAGCTCTTGAGGCGTTCGGTCATCGACCGCCGCAGAAATAGTGGCCCATCGCACATCCGTGTCAGCCAGTCGACCCTTCAGGATGGGCGTCGCCGCGGTGAGTGCCAACAAGATGGGCGAGAGAACCCCTAAATGATCATACAAGTGCCTCGACTCGCCCACGTTCTTCGCCTGAAACGTCACCTGCAAACAGCACATGCCCATGCCAAAAGCCATCGCGTCCATATGAATGAAACCCGGGTACGGCTCAGCCTTGTGGTTCGAGTCCAGAGCCACAAGCCTGCGAGCAAACAACTTCGACTCGCCGTCTATAGCTCTTCCTTCAGAGGTCAATGCTAGTGGTGACTTGGACTGGGTATTATCTTCCGAGTTGGTCGTCGAGCTTGGCGACGTCGGTACCGAGTCGTCAAGCAGCGCCAGCAAGTCTTTCTTCGACTCATACTTTGGTCGCGACTTCTCTGCATTCCACGTCGCATCTGCCTGCTCCTCCTCCAGTCTAGCTTCCGTGTACACGTCCTGAAAGATCGGAACACGAATGTCCACTTTCCTCGTCCGGCGCTGACGAATGTTCCTCGTCAACGTCGCGAAACGCGGGTGCGGATTAATCACAGCATCACTGATGTAGTCCGAGAGAGCCACCGGGCCATGGGGCTGACTAGACGGCACAGTAAAGTCTCCGACGCCCATCATCGGAAACGCCGTGACCGACGGCGCAATCTCGTCTTCATGCAGCAGCGCCAAGAGCCGCGCCCGACGGAGCCGCATGTTGCCCTCCACCTTGCGTAGATCACTGGTAAAGCCTCCATAGGGGGCACTTGGGGTACCTTCAATCATCCACGAGCCGTACTCGGGGACCCAGTTACACCCGTCCACGAAATGGCCAGCACCAGCTCCAGCTGGTGAACTGCAACCCGCTGAATCCCCGTGCTCCTTAGACGTCTTCTCTTTGGCTTGTAACTGCTGCAAGATCTCCGCACCCCGTAGCGCCAGACGCGCGCGTTTCCGGTATCGATCCAATTGGAACACGCCATACTCGAGCTCGTCGCCCCACTTGAGCTCGTCGCCCTCAATGTCCTTCACGCGGTTGTACGTGTGCAAGAACTGGTCGATGCCCTGCGTCCGGACGTGCTGCAGCCATTCGAGGGCATCCGGCCAGTCCAGTGGACTGCCTTCGACGAGCAAACCCATTGATTGACAAGGTAAAGAAAGGGAGGCTCAACGTTGGACCACTTGCGTCCTGGCGTGGAAATTCACGAATGAGAGTCAAGCGGTTGTTTGCGATCGAGTAAAGGGAGAGAGAGAGAGGGGGGTGCGAGGTGCGGAGCAGAGTCACAACTTGTCACGACTGTTAGCGACTGTATTGGTTTTTTCGAAGGCAAATCGCTGGTACGAAAACAACGCGGTGACAAAAACCGAGCGAAAGTCTCACTTTGCAACGACATCCACGAGCTCATCACGTTTACCACGTCATCGAGGGAGCCAGGCCGGTGCTGAACCAGATTCGGTGGAACAGTCCGATGCTGAACATTTGCCAGTCGAGCGAGGTTCAGATTCAGAGCTCTCGCAACTTTTGTTGCAACTTGTGACGCGGCGGGTCACCATAACTGAGAAGCGGTGGATGGAACGAGACAAGCTCCACTACAATTCGTGGCAAGATGTATCCTGGATCTACTGCCGTCTGTTTACTGCATGTGCAACAGCTTAAACTATAACTACCTGTCCATGCATACGTAGAAGACCACTCGGTCATTGATATTTGGTGGACGGAATACTTGCAGGAAGCAAGTAGTACCGTGCCCGCAAGCAACGAAAACACTGCATGTTGGAAGAACGAGAGTGCCACAGGCGGCGAGGTGCATTCGAATGTATTCAGGTCTAATCGCAACCTCGTGTTTGTCTTGCTAAAGATTAAAGCACTCGACATAAGATCTGCGTATGTGAGCAGATCTGCTCGTTTCATCCTGCGACCACTGCTCAAAGATTACGCCACATACTCGTCCAAGAAAGTTCCGATTTGGGGGGAGGGGTCTGAAAGATACGCACATCAGTCCGCCCCGAAGCTATGCTTTAATGTTGACATCAGAAGGTATCTAGCGTGACCGTGCCTACTCATTTCAACACCTAAAACATTTCCATGTTGACGAAGTCATGGGAGTTCTCAGCTATATTGAAGCTACATTCAACACTAGATTACAGAGATGGCTTGTTGTGGCGCGGCTGGAGAGAGTGGATTGCAAATGAGTAGGTGAGACGATCCTCTTGTAAATGGAGCACTTGAAGTGAGCACCCAACGATGCCCCCATGGTATTGGCCGGACGAGCTTGGAATCATCGTGGGTAGTGAGAGGACGCGGGAACCGGCGCAAGACGACCCCACCATCGCACAATTCGTACCCATACGTCAAACTGCTGTAGCCCTTTGTCGTACCGGTCTCTGCTGTCGACAACAGCAAAGAAATCGTCGCTGTAATAACGCACGGTGCGTGCAGTCGTTGCGCATCTTTGAACCAGCTACGGCACGAAGAGCTTGCGCCCTTGTGTCCACTGGCTTGAGGTGCATGCATATCGGTGTTTAGCAACTCCTTCTCGGTCGACCAACACATGTCCGATGGTAGCCAGAAATTTGTGCTTGGACATTCTGCAATAGCATGACCCGCAGTGCAACTGGACCTGCTCAAGCATTGCACTTCCACCTCGGAAGGCAGACACTTCTCCATCACAAGGACCTTCATAGTTGTTGGGATACCCTGATCCACCTGCACTATCAATCGATCAAGTAGCCCCCCCCTCTGTCCATGCTCAAGAAGTAGCGGATCTTTACACAATCGCGCATGACCGGAGCAAACTTATTCCTACTTCGTGTTCAGTCACATGGAAACCAGCCACACCATGTACGAGGCTCGGAATCGCGTACGGCGTCACGTATTAGCTACTAGCAGGGATACTAGTAAGGTCCTTTCTTATTGTAGCTGCTGTTTGCTGCCACGTCTACTCGGCTGAATAAAAGATATGCGAACGTGCTGTACGACAACCCTGCCGTCAAGACTAGAGGATGGTTTCATACTTACGAGCTCTACCAGTAACACACGATCGGTCATAGGCGAGGTCAAGAACGTATCACATCGGCATGGCAACGATGTCATCGTTCCCTGGACCCACTGGTCGACAATCAGGTGTCCAGACGACGGAAGCTGATGTTAGGCTCAGCGACACTAAGCTGAATACCGTTAACAGTACGATTTCAATTACTACTCACCGCGCCTTTGCTGGCGAATGATCATTCTTTCGTCCCGCTGACTTTCCATCCTACGAAATGGTAACAAACGAGCATGTGGCCAACAAATGCAGATCCTTTTGAATAGCGCAAACAAAGTAGTGCACAGCTAATAACGATCAGCTGCCACTACCTAGCCGTAAGCTTAAACCGTTCAGCCCGCCAGAACCAAGAGATACAATTTATCGAGCATCCTCCTGAACAAAACGCTCTCATAGCTCCTTTGCAAATCCCCTCATTGGACCGAGATGTACGTACATGTGAATGGTCGTACTGCGCATCATCGACAGGGTCGCACTACACCGTCGCAGAACAACATATCGCTCGACCGGCACAGCTCGAGCTACTTGCTGAACTTTCATATGCGGCGTCTTCGAAAAGTCGTGAAGGCAGTGAGAAAGTTAAGAGAAGCTCAAGGTTAGCAATCGCCAGGACACCATGGAAAAGCACAGCTAAGATGCCACAATTTTGCCACTTTTGCTACCCTGCCCCAATCTTTCTGGATGACCAAGATGCAGACAGCTAACCATTGATTAACATCATCATTTTTGTGTCTATTTGTACAGAGAATGCAAAGGCCGCACCATCGCTGCGATGCGATATCAATCCATGGAGTAGAAATATCGTAAACATGCGAGAGGTACTAACGTGCTTTTTGAATCAGCTTGTTCATCACCACAGGCTTGACATTTAATCAGCAATCCGACGTTAAAGCGCTTACAGTCTCTGGCTTCTCTTCTGCGCGTCAACTTTGTCGTTCGCCACCTCGAAACTACAGCCTTGCAATACACGGACGTCGCAAACTAAAGGCCTATCATAGGCAGTCGAATAACTGCTTTTCCGGAAGCGAATGGGTGGCATTGTGTCTGTTCACTGCCTCTTTACTGCATTGTGAAATTGTTACTGCTGGTCGTTCTACACATGGCGATGATGAATATACTCGCAAGCCATCTATGCTATGCTTTCACATGTATGATGGATGCCACAGCTCAATAGCAAAAGTCAGGACATTGACGTGGCGCTCGACAAACATGGGCTTCACGAGGATGCCATGACTATCGTCTGCACAGCACGTTCGAAAGCCAGCGCAACGATCGTGTCACCTGCCATAAGAGCTGCGACGGCAAGCTGTGTCTAGAATAATAATAAAAAGACGAGTCAGCCGAATCAGTCTGCGCAAGAGATAGCTGCAATAGTACCTGTTGGTTTGGCATTGTCACCAACTCAAGCATCGCGTTCACAGGAGTGAACACTTCTGCGATGACCATCGCCAATACGGCGTAAGTAAAGAGCACGCTGCGGTGAAGCAGCTTGTTCTCCCAAAATCCCTCCATAAACGGTTGTCCACGATAGTTGGCCACGAAGGTGTTCACTTGCATGATGGAAGACATGAGATACATGATACTGTTGACCACGTTGGGGGCAAATTTCCCATCTGGATGCATCGCTGGGTCTCCGGGCTCGATGAAAGGTTGAGCCAGACGTAGAGCCGCCACTAGAAAAGCCAAATGGATCAAAAACTGACCAAAGATCGACACCATCACGTTCACACAGAACACTCCCGGTGGTGGCCGCTGGTGGGAGAGCTTGCGCGTGGGTTTCGCTCGCGACAGAATCAGGAAAAACATCGCAACGGAGAGCTGTGGATCAAGCAGCACAAATATCAGCATTGTGAGTTAGCACATACGAGAGAACACACTCACCCCTGATATAGTGAGCTGTTGATCGCCATTCTTGACACCAAGGACAAAGAGAGAGCTCAAATAGTACGCCGTGATGAGACAGTTGATGCCCAGGATCTTGTACATCTGGATAGTTGTCACGAGCGTGCACCGCCCCTGGCGAATCAGCTTTTTGATCACACGAATGCTCGAGCTCTTCGACGTGAACGGCGAGGCGATAGAAGCGTCTCCCAATCGAACGACCTGGGAATCGTCACTGCCGTAAAGCGTTTGCTGCAGCTCGTCCACAAAATGCTCTTGACGCCCAGGTTGTCGCCGATGACGAAGACCACCTGTGCCGACAACATTACTGCTTGTTTTTCCAGATGTGACCACGCGAGGACTATTCCCGGAGCTGGACGAGTTCACGATTGATATACCGATGTGCGCTTGCTTCAAGGCCCCTACATCGTTGGTGCCGTCGCCACACATGGCAGTCGTTTTGCCACACCGTTTCATTGCCAGAATAACGTGCTCTTTCTGCTGGGGTGACGTACGAGCAAACACGGAGGTGCAAAGGCATATTTTCTCAAGGGTGGTAAGAAATTCTTCAAGCGCAGCCGCTTTGTTTTCGCACTTTTCTTCCTGCTGCCTGTAAAGCAATGTCATGGCCTCGCCCGTCACACACATGTCATATTGCACTTGCATCTTTGCAACTTCATTGACATCAAAGAGAATGACTTCCTCGTCCATGCCAGGCGAACCGTCGTCAATCGACTTCCAACAAACAGACCCGTCCTCCGCATTCGGCGTCAAAATCAATGGCTGTTTCGAATACCCTGCATTGATTCCCACTTGCCGGGCTACGTCGCACGCTGTCAGCGGATTATCGCCAGTCACCATGATTACCTTGTGCTTCGACATCATCAGGTCCCGAATAGTTTGCGTTGTATCCTTCTTCAGCGGACAGTCCAGAACCAGAAACCCTGCAAACGTTAGCGCGCTTTCCAACTCATGGCGTGGCTTCCGTCGCAACTCGTCCGGCGAGTGATTCATTGGCAACACCCGGAAGCCCAATGCCAAAACACGGCATCCTTTGGATGCATAATGGCAATACACACGGCGGTAATTTGCAGGCTTCTGTGCAAACAAAGACTCAAGCACTTCAGGTGCACCTTTGGTAAGAATACGTTGCTCGTCTTGTTCATCATTCTCCGCTTTTCGCACGCACACGACTGTCGACATGCGCTTGAGCTCCGAGGAAAAAGCAAAGCTGTGCAAAATATCAACTGCTTGAATCTTCCCTCGGTGATCAGAAGTCCAAGATGGCTGAACACTGAGAAGGCTCTCGTCTCCGCCCTCACGAGATGTTAAGCACCAGCTAATGCTTCGAATAGCAACCATCTCAAGCGGGTCTCCAGTGATCTTTCCGTTCAGCATGACCAACGATTGGCATCCAGCAAGCACTAATTCCGTATCGAGAGGGAGGTGCTCCGGTCCAATTGTATCTAGCTTGCTGCAATGCTTTTTTGTGTCGTTGGGCTCCGCAAGCCTTTCCAAGCCTGCTACACCATGCAACTTGAGCTCGTCACTCGTTAACGTCCCAGTCTTGTCAAAACAGCAGATGTCAATGCGACCCGCTGCAGGAATTCGAAATACCTCCGTGCAGAAAATGTTGCTTTTTGTCAGCGCAATCAGCGAGTTGGTGACGGCTAATGATAGCTCCATGGGGAGCTCCGGCGGCACGACTGAAGTGATAATCATAATGCAGTGCAGAAACAGCTTGAATTGGTTGCGAGTCGGATCATCGATCCCATCTGCAAGCACAAACGCTGCTGCGACCACCGCAAAGTTGAGTAACAGAAGGATGAACCACATTGCCTCGGAGTTGTTGGCCGTAACACGCTGCGATGAAAACAAAATTGTGCGCATCAAACTTCCTTGAGTCGTCCCGAATCCCGTCTTTAGCACATACCCAATGCAGCCTCCATCAGGGGGTACACATACTAGCGGCAACTCCTTCACACGAGGAGTCGTGTGCTGAAGGATCTTGGTGCCTCCGTACAGCACATGTCGTTTGTGCTTCATGCTAGATCCGTCATCGATCTCGAGATGCTGGAGCATGTCCTCCTCATTTAAAATCGATGCGCTGATAGCCTCTTTGCGCAGAGGAATCGACTCACCGGACAGCATCGACTCATTGACCACGCAATTTCCACGGAGCAACAGCAAATCGCACGGTACTACGGTATCGCGGTCATTGTGACCAACAGAGCACAAGTCGCCGGGTACGAGCTCGTCACTCAAGGCCTGGACCCACCGACCAGAGCGAAAAACTAGACACGGTTGTGGTGCACGCCGCATGTGCAGCAGCGTGGCCAAGTTCTGCTGGCGTTGCTTTACCACCGTGCACTCGAAGATCACGAGCATAAGTAGTGTCAACAGCGAGTAGTACATGTACTCGTCGAGACACCAGAGCAGCATGCAGAGAAACTGGAAGACAAAGAATGGAGCCACCAGCTGCTCTTTCAGCAGCTCTGCAAACGTGGGCATTGGCAATTGAACGTCATTCTTGCCCCACTTAGTTGTGGCATACTTGAGCTCATCCGTTGTACCCACGCCTTTGCTCTGCAAATAGGATGCCAGCGTTCCAGAGGTTGGGAACTCGAGACGACGGAACTGAACGTCTCGGCTGCTACAGACCGAAGCCACGTCTTTGTAAAGACAGAACTTGACGTTCTGGTACGAGAACCAGAGCGTGTGCATTGGCTCGTGCTTCAACAGCTTCGTCCTCTTGTCCTCGATCGCTGGCGTCCAATGGCAGTCACAGAGCTGCTTGGGCGTCATCGCGAGCGACGGCTCCACCTTCACCAGCAGTCGGACGCGACCCGTCTCTGCCACATCTGAAGGCGATACACGGGCGCAGGACATCCAGCAACGCACGTCCACGCTCCACTCGACACTGAGCAGCGCCAGCGCGTGCCAAAAGACGCTACAGGCGCCAACAATCCACGGGACGACGTCGCCCGGTGGCCGCACTGTGTACAGATACACAGCTGTGACGTAGAAGAAGCAGAAGGGAAGGACATCCAGCCGCAGGGGCCATGGCAGCGGCGTGTACAGCCCGACGGACGTCAGCTCCGGGTCGGTTACGCCACGAGTCATTGTCGTCATGAATGTAGCCAAGTGGAGGGCCAGAACGAGTCAAAAGACGGTGTATTTGTGGAAGCACAGGGTCCGAAAATCTAAAGCTGGCTACCTTTTTGATTATTCCGTGGATTGTTCTCGTCTGGTCATCAGAGTCTGTTACGGGGTTTATGCTTCGTAAGCTCGCACGAGCGTGAAAGGTTAGAAAAAAATCTAGATAAACGATTGTCACTCGAGCAGGCTTTTTTTGCACGCTTACTGGACTCCAGGCCAGAAGTAAAGTACGCTCGCCGCTTTTCCAAATATCTCAGCGACTATTACGAATTTAGTACAACTATTTGAATGTGATCGACCTGTAAGTGTGTTTAATAGAATGCATGGGTTATGGACCCGGTTTAGGAGTTTGTGGGGGTTCTCCCATACACATGTCGAAAAATGGACGTGGCCAAAAGAAAAGCCATCGTAATCCATACAATAAACAAGATTGAATACGAGAGAAGGGCTGCTTTTGTTGAATAATGGGTCTTGTTGGCCACGCAGCTCGATGACTTCAATGCACTGTAACGGGGTAGCCTGTTACATGAAATTGACACCGAACGGTGTCAATAGGAATATTGTCTAGCATGAATATATTCTACCGATATTATCTGAGATAGATAATATCGAAGGAATATTATCCTCCTTTGATACTATTCATGCGCTGCTTTAAGATTGGTTGCTATAAGACATATCAACCATAGATTGCCACAACCGCTGCTAGACGCGCGCAATGAGTGGAGAGCAGTTGTCGTCATACGACGGCGTAGTTTAATATAGTTAGATAAGGATTAAAGTTATATTGATAACTTAACTATATTGAATACAGTTCTCTTTCTACCTGTACTTGACCGAGTCTTTCAAGTAGATTAGCTTCCTCTGCACGTACTAGTATACGTGAAGTTTCGTGGCACCCCAAACAAAAGGGTGCCCCGTTACACCTGGTAGCTCTGTGTAGTCCGTCCAACGACTACTTAGTGTTCGTCTAACATGAACATGTTGGACGTAGAAGACGACAGCTTTCACGTCACACGTGAAGGCTACTCCCATCTGAGTGACTCAGAGTGGGAGATAGTCGACCGTATGAGTGTGCTCATGGGTGAACCCGCCATCAGTGGTATGTTAGAGTCTCTAAGCAGAGACCAGCAACATGCTGCTATCAGCAAGTTCCTACAAGAGGAACTTGCCGTCGAGACTGACAAAAAGATAGCCTTGTTACAGCAGCAAGGCTCTCATCAGTCGATGAAGGGGCCGACGCACATGTGTCGACCCAAAACCTTGAAGATTGATATCTCAAGGTACAAGGGAACCGATGAAGGTTCCCTTTTGAGATGGTTCGTCGAGTTAGACGATGCCATCAGGGCCCGTCATATCGAGGGTGACGAGATGCAAGTCACCTTCGCCCTGTCAAATTTGACGGGACGAGCAAAGAATTGAGCCCTAGGGCTCAAGCTTCACGACCCAAACGTGTTTGAGTTGTTGGAGATCTTGAAGTCTTGGCTCAAAGAGACGTTTGAACCGCCGAGAGCCGAGTCCAGAGCACGCTATGCACTCCTGAGGCTAAAGCACGGTAAGCGTGATGTGCATGCTTACACACAGCACCTGCGCTACCTTGCGAGTAGCGTCACGAGAAACCCTGTTGATGAGCACACGCTCATCAAAGTGTTCATCTACGGCCTTGTAGATGGGCCAGTGAAGGCCTACATGTTCCGAGAGGACTTCCATACGCTGGAAAAGGCGATAGCGTATGCGGAACAAGAAGACTTCAGCCTGAGACAGTCTCAGGCTAACTCGTCCAACTATCGTCCGACGAGACGACAGTAAACAGGATGTCACGAACCTATGGACCTCTGTTACATCGAGAGCGAGAACTCTCGTTCTCTGAGTCACAAGCAAAAGGCAAGATGCCATCGCTTTCAGAAGATTGGACACTACGCTCATGAGTGTAGTGTCCCAAGCACCGCATCACGTCCAAGACTGGACGTGGTGACCTCCGTTGGCCAAGGAAAGGTCAGAGGCGTGGGTCCGACCATGTCGCCAAGCCGCGACAGCAAGTCGGACCATCAAAAAACGGACAAGGTCAGTAGGGGTGGAGCATCCTGCTGATCCAGCAACGTCAAGAGAATTTGCAGGACTCTTGACGAAGATTGCTCCCAACACACAGTCGCTGAGTGTTACTGCCCCTAGTGATGAGGAGTCTCTCGTCACTTTGAAGATCGAAGTGACAAGTGGAATGTCACTTCGCGCCCTAGTTGACTGTGGGGCGTCGAACAGTTTTATTCGACGTCAGTTGCTAGGGGATAGTAGCCTCAACTATGTCGAGCGAGAGTTCCCTCCAACGAGGATGATGGTGTGCCTTGCTACAGGCGCATCCGTTACAGTGAACAAACGTGTAGTGGGAATCCACTACACGCTAGAAGGAAAGTTGTACGATGATGGCTTTATAGTATTAGATTTGGATGACAAATTTGATGTCATCCTTGTTCTGCCATGGCTTAGAAAGTACCGGCCATGGGATAGATGGCAGCATCGATCCGTGAAGATGCCTGCCGTTTGTTCATCGGATAGCCACCTGATGAACGTCTTGGAGCGTCCACAAGCGTGTGGATGTACTACGAGTGGGTGCGATGGCCTCACTTGTGGTACGGTCGTTAGTATGACTGCACAAGATCACAGTGTAGAAGGTCACTGCACTGTGGAACCAGCTTCCGGCACCTGTGTAGAGACACAGGCTGCGCCGAAGGTTCACCACTCGAAGAGATCGAGTGGACTGGAAAACGGATGCACACCAAGAAGGGTGAATCCGAGAAGAGAGACTAGTGTTGTTCAGGATGAAAAACACGTTGAAGCGAGATCGACTATGAGAGTCGGTCGTAGAGCAAGCCCGCTCGACTGAAAGAGAGTCGATCGAAGAGGACGTGACCGTGATAGTACCCTTAACGGAAGAAATTTCCGGCGTTCGTGAGAGCTATAACCCCCGGGAGAGTTATGTTGAGGGTGTGGATCCCCAAACACCTGCGGATGTGTTTTCCCAGGGAATAACCGAGACAGTTAATGTCTTGGTGAATGACGGATCGAGTGTAGGCGCTTATACACTTGATCTGGTGACGCCCCCGACGTCACTTCGGAAGTGGTCAAGTTGCCAACAATAGAATACAAAAGATTCTTGCAAGATCTGCGTGGTGACAAGATCAAGCAGACCTGCTTACTCGTCACAGGGGACGAGTACGTCACCGATATTCGGTCAGCACAAGTGTTTGCTGAGAACGAACGGGTTCTCAGTAGTTCATCTATGGACGAGAGTGTCCCCGATGAGAAGACCCGGATTGAGCGATACACGTCTCAATCTTGGGAGTCTTTAAAGACAAATCCTTTCTATAAGGATTTAGTGGAATTCAGGGATGTTTTCCCGGAATCCGTGCCATGCGAGCTGCCCAAGTATAAAGGCACTCGGGATGAGATCGAACTAAAACCCGGTTCGAAATACTGTGTCATGAGCAGTGGCCACTGCCTCGTGAGCAGGTCACAGCGATCGGCAAATTCTTTACTGATCGATTAGCGGCTGTCATGTGATGGAAGCAACATCCCCACACAGCTCTCCGACCTCCTGTGTGCGAAAGGCCACAGGAGGGTGGCGGATAGTGCACGCGTTCAACAAATTGAGCGCTGCAACAGTACCGGCTCAAGCTCCGATCCCAAGAAAGGGCGTCATCATTGATGGTATGGCAAAAAGTACCATCATCCGTCCATGGATTGATGAATGGTTTCTATCAGATCCTCATGCGTGAGCGGGATATCCCTTACACAGCAGTGAGCACCCCAGTGATATGCTCTGAGAGTGGCTAGTGATGCCACAGGGGCTAAGTAAAGCCCCCGCAACCTTCAACAGATGTGTTACAAACCTGTTGCGATCATTGCGCGATTTCGCACCGAGTTACTTCGACGATGTCTTCGTCCATAGTCGGTCTGTGGATGGAAAGACGGACGTGGAGGTTCATAGAATCTACGCCCGGAAGGTTCTTACTCTAATGCGAGAGCATAAGTTGTTCGCGAACCTCAAGAAGTTTAGATTCCCAGCGAACGAAATACCACTTCTTGGCTGCATCGCGGGTAAAAACGGTGTACGCCCTGATCCGGAAAAGGTCAAGGCGATTAGCGACTGGCCTGTGCCAGTCGACGACAAGGGGCTTCGAAAGTTCCTTGGCTTGGCGGCGTACTTGCACAAGTACTCACGCAACTATGCCGAGATGACTGTACATCTCTCTCGTCTACTAAAGAAAAACGAGAGGTGGTCATGGAGCGCTGAGTGTCAGCACTCTTTTGAAGGTGTCAAGAAAATCTTGGTGCAATCGCCTGTATCGGCGATTGCAGAATAGGACAGACTATTCCATGTGGTCTGTGACGCCAGCAATTTTTGTAATAGGCTGCGCGTTAATGCAGTACGACTCAGACGGCGTTGAGCGCGTCGTCGGTTATCAATCGCGTCAGCTGCAAGCAGATGAGATGAATTGCCCGGTGCATGACCAGGGGCTCATTGCCATGAAATATGCACTGGCTAAGTTTCGGGTATATCTCTTAGGAGATATGCCCTTCATCGTTTATACCGACCGTGCGTCGATACGCACGGCCGTAAACAGTCCACACCTCTCGCAACGAATGGCGAGGTGGCTGCCTTTCTTCGCAGAGTACAACTTCTCCATCGAGTATGAACCAGGACGACTAATGTTGTCGCTGATGCTCTTTCGCGTCGGACCGATTTCGATCCGACTGCTCAACCCAACAGTAGGGGTGATCCCACTGTCGCAACACTAACAGTGAGTGTTCCGTCGTCGAATCTGCTTAATGACGTGCGAAAAGCATACACAGAAGATGAGTCTCTTCTGCGGTTGATGGATTACGCATCGAATCCATGTAGTCAAGCTTTGAAAAGATTGTCGTCTCAATACCTCTCTTCAACCGAACGGTATTCTGTCCGTGATGGACTGCTGTACTGTACAGCAGTCAACAGCGACACACCTCGTGTCGTCGTTCCGGCTTATAATGATTTGCGATTGCGCATCATGTATGAGTGTCACGATGCCCCAACAAGTGGTCATCGCGGTAGAGAAAAGACTTACCTCATGGTGAGTCGTGACTTCCACTGGCCCCGCCAGTATGAGTTTGTGCGCAAATGCATTCGCACTTGCAAAGTTTACCACGGGTGAAGCCTAGTCCTTCATCCTGCGCACCCTTGCAGACTCTCCCGATTCCGGCAGAGTGTGTTGGCAGTCCGTATCGATGGACTTTGTCTTTGGGTTTCCCAAAGACAGTCACAAGAATACTGTTATTCTTGTGTTTGTTGATCGGTTCAGCAAGATGGTACATCTTGTTGCTTTACCAGAGTCAACCACAGCCCAGGGCTGTGCTCGTGTCTTCATCGATACTATCTTTCGACTTCACGGGTTAACCCGTGAGATCGTGTCTGATAGAGACCCCCGCTTTACGGCGGAGTTCTATGAATCCGTGTTCCGTTCACTTGAAACAGGTTTGAAGTCACTTGGAACAGGTTTGGAGATGTCAGCTTCTAACCATCCAGAAACCGATAGTCAAACGGAACGCGACAACCGCGTCCTCGGAGAGATACTTCGAGGTTATGCACACTCGTTTACGAGCTGGAGTGAGTTCTTGCCGATGGTGGAATTCGCCATCAACAACCCGGTGCACGCGTCGAAAACGCCTACACCGTTCTTCGTGAATGGCCTACGCCATCCACGTTTACCCGCCTTCTCAAAGTGTGACTCTAGTTTAACGAGGGGGGCGGACTCGCTCGAACAAAAACCGATCTGGTTCTTGCTCATCACCCGTCGACAATGGTGTCGACGCGATGGATGCTGATGTCGATGCGATCGATATCGAAGATGAAGATGACGACGATGCTGGTATATTCAGCATCGCCATTGACTGCCGAAGTGATGACGATGATACCATCACTGGTGAAGACAACGTTCTTTCAGCAGTGAACACGAATTGCACTGCTTTTGACAAGGATGAATCAGTAGAGGAATTTATGCTGACTCGCGAAGCGGTTGTCCGCTTCGTTCAAGACTCTTTTGCAGATGCATTCGACAGACAGAAGAGAAACGCAGGCAAACATGGAAGAGCAAATGTTCTTTCATTTGATGAAGGAGATTTAGTTATACTGTCTACAGTAAACTTACCGAAGCACGCAGTGACAAACGTGGGCAGCAGTAAATTACTGCCCAGGTACATCGGTCCATTTCGTGTGTTGCGCCGAATGGGCAACGCATACACGATTGAACTGCCCCATAAGATGCGCACGCGTATTACAATTCACGTTGGTCGTCTCCGCCCGTACTATCAGTGCGAGCCCGTTTCGAGATGCGAAGAACACCTCCGCGGCCGAGAGCCGAGACCGCCGTCGAGGGGTCCCGTTTCAACGAGCCAGTCTGGTCGACTAGCGAAGCGACATTTTCACGCAGCTGAGCGATGTCTTGACGAGCAGCAGCCAGCTCATCACGTAGAGAAACGAGTCGAACGTTCGTTTTCAAGTTGCGCGAACGCAAAAGCGGCACGATCGTCCGAACGATCGTGCGTTAAAGAATTATAATTATCCCTCACAAGATCCTCAAGCCCATAACGCCGAGATCGTTCGTAAGCCATGTCATCTTGCAACTGTTCCGTTTGACGGTTCAGCTCTTGAACATCAAGTTGATCCAACCCTCGAGCCGGATCAGGTGTTCTTACCGCCACCACATCCCTTGGTGGAATCAAGCGGTGGTCAACACTTCCTAGTGGAGCGTATTTTGAACCACCGAAATGTGAATGGCGTCAAGACGAGTACCTCGTCCGCTGGCGTGGCTATCCACCGGTGTGGGACAGCTGGGAGCCTCGTGCCCAGCTGATTGTTGATGTCCTGGGTCTCGTCGAGAAGTATGACGAGACCCGCCCGCTTCGTTTGAAGAAGGGCATCAGAAAACGACCTCCCCGAACGCGAGTACAGGGATTGCAAAGTGTCGATCCCTTCGGCCATTTCGGAAGAGATGTGCGCCCTCCAGTAAGTATCATTAGGGAGGTAGGCCTTCCTAGGGGCACTGTTCGAATTTTCCAGGCAACCTGGACACGAATCACCCCACGAGAGACAGGGTAACCCTGTCTCTCTTGAAAGCTGGTGCAACTTGTATCGCGCCCCGAAGGGGTTGCGTTTCTCTAACCTGATGCGAGCTGCATCAAGTTTGGCGAGCCAAGCCTCACGGCCAATACACCCGATGTTGTGGATGAGGGCATTCTTTCTTGCACCAAGGCTTGTCGTCTCGATCACGGCTGCCATTGTACCACCGATGTTTGAAGAACGCATCGGTGAAGAACTCTTCCTCAGCACCGATAGTTTCCGTGCTGGAATCGGGAGGGCAAATCTTCCTGCAATCGAACAACGGGATTCTATCCGTTCGGTAGTCGTGCCGGCCAACCGGTCCAACTCTCTGGATGGCGGCATCCACGGAGACTCCACTTGAGGAGCTTGTCGCAGGACATTTCGGTCCCTGGCCTCTTTATTGGTGTCAGAGTGAGCACTGGCACCAGTGTTACCACGATCCCTTGAGTTACTTCGCTCGTGGTGATGCATAGGTGCATCCCCACTATCCCCACGCGTCCTATCACTGGATAGACTTGCGTGAGGCGGAGATTCGTCGGAATAATCACTCAATCCGAAGATCTCGGTCATGATGATGCCGCTCTAACCAAGCCTGTCAGCCTGGCTTTTGCAGCGTCCGTCCCAGGTGATCCAGAGGCGTGAGGAGTCGCCTTCGAGTCGGACGCATCATTCGACTCGCCAGAATAGATGAGCTCTATCTCAGACTCGCCTTGATTACGACCCGAGGTACCCTCTGCAGACGCAACGGATGTACCTGTCGCACGTGGTGACTCACCACGTGGAGAATTCACGACAACAGACGACGAATCGCCTGCTGCTGAGTCGTGAGAGGCACTTATCGCGGCCGCACGCATGCGTGCAGCCGCTCTTCTTGCTGCTACAGTACAACTCGCGTAGTTTTTGAAACCATGCGTTGGATTAGCAAATGAATGGAATTTGACCAACAAGTGCTTCCTTTCCTAGAGTGATTCAACGGTGGTCACCCTGTCCCAATCAATTTTTAATTCAATCAACGAGTGATTGATTGTTAAGGGGGGGGGTGATGTAACGGGGTCGCCCGTTACATGAAATTGACACCAAACGGTGTCAATAGGAATATTGTCTAGCATGAATATATTCTACCGATATTATCTGAGATAGATAATATCGAAGGAATATTATCCTCCTTTGATACTATTCATGCGCTGCTTTAAGATTGGTTGCTATAAGACATATCAACCATAGATTGCCACAACCGCTGCTAGACGCGCGCAATGAGTGGAGAGCAGGTTGTCGTCATACGACGGCGTAGTTTAATATAGTTAGATAAGGATTAAAGTTATATTGATAACTTAACTATATTGAATACAGTTCTCTTTCTACCTGTACTTGACCGAGTCTTTCAAGTAGATTAGCTTCCTCTGCACGTACTAGTATACGTGAAGTTTCGTGGCACCCCAAACAAAAGGGTGCCCCGTTACACCTGGTAGCTCTGTGTAGTCCGTCCAACGACTACTTAGTGTTCGTCTAACATGAACATGTTGGACGTAGAAGACGACAGCTTTCACGTCACACGTGAAGGCTACTCCCATCTGAGTGACTCAGAGTGGGAGATAGTCGACCGTATGAGTGTGCTCATGGGTGAACCCGCCATCAGTGGTATGTTAGAGTCTCTAAGCAGAGACCAGCAACATGCTGCTATCAGCAAGTTCCTACAAGAGGAACTTGCCGTCGAACGACAAAAGATAGCCTTGTTACAGCAGCAAGGCTCTCATCAGTCGATGAAGGGGCCGACGCACATGTGTCGACCCAAAACCTTGAAGATTGATATCTCAAGGTACAAGGGAACCGATGAAGGTTCCCTTTTGAGATGGTTCGTCGAGTTAGACGATGCCATCAGGGCCCGTCATATCGAGGGTGACGAGATGCAAGTCACCTTCGCCCTGTCAAATTTGACGGGACAAGCAAAGAATTGGGCCCTAGGGATCAAGCTTCACGACCCAAACGTGTTTGAGTTGTTGGAGATCTTGAAGTCCTGGCTCAAAGAGACGTTTGAACCGCCGAGAGCCGAGTCCAGAGCACGCTATGCACTCCTGAGGCTAAAGCACGGTAAGCGTGATGTGCATGCTTACACACAGCACCTGCGCTACCTTGCGAGTAGCGTCACGAGAAACCCTGTTGATGAGCACACGCTCATCAAAGTGTTCATCTACGGCCTTGTAGATGGGCCAGTGAAGGCCTACATGCTCCGAGAGGACTTCCATACGCTGGAAAAGGCGATAGCGTATGCGGAACAAGAAGACTTCAGCCTGAGACAGTCTCAGGTTAACTCGTCCAACTATCGTCCGACGAGACGACAGTAAACAGGATGTCACGAACCTATGGACCTCTGTTACATCGAGAGCGAGAACTCTCGTTCTCTGAGTCACAAGCGAAAGGCAAGATGCCATCGCTGTCAGAAGATTGGACACTACGCTCATGAGTGTAGTGTCCCAAGCACCCCACTACGTCCAAGACTGGACGTGGTGACCTCCGTTGGCCAAGGAAAGGTCCAAGGCGTGGGTCCGACCATGTCGCCAAGCCGCGACAGCAAGTCGGACCATCAAAAAAACGGACAAGGTCAGTAGGGGTGGAGCATCCTGCTGATCCAGCAACGTCAAGAGAATTTGCAGGACTCTTGACGAAGATTGCTCCCAACACACAGTCGCTGAGTGTTACTGCCCCTAGTGATGAGGAGTCTCTCGTCACTTTGAAGATCGAAGTGACAAGTGGAATGTCACTTCGCGCCCTAGTTGACTGTGGGGCGTCGAACAGTTTTATTCGACGTCAGTTGCTAGGGGATAGTAGCCTCAACTATGTCGAGCGAGAGTTCCCTCCAACGAGGATGATGGTGTGCCTTGCTACAGGCGCATCCGTTACAGTGAACAAACGTGTAGTGGGAATCCACTACACGCTAGAAGGAAAGTTGTACGATGATGGCTTTATAGTATTAGATTTGGATGACAAATTTGATGTCATCCTTGTTCTGCCATGGCTTAGAAAGTACCGGCCATGGGATAGATGGCAGCATCGATCCGTGAAGATGCCTGCCGTTTGTTCATCGGATGGCCACCTGATGAACGTATTGGAGCGTCCACAAGCGTGTGGATGTACTACGAGTGGGTGCGATGGCCTCACTTGTGGTACGGTCGTTAGTATGACTGCACAAGATCACAGTATAGAAGGTCACTGCACTGTGGAACCAGCTTCCGGCACCTGTGTAGAGACACAGGCTGCGCCGAAGGTTCACCACTCGAAGAGATCGAGTGGACTGAAAAACGGATGCACACCAAGAAGGGTGCATCCGAGAAGAGAGACTAGTGTTGTTCAGGATGAAAAATACGTTGAAGCGAGATCGACTATGAGAGTCGGTCGTAGAGCAAGCCCGCTCGACTGAAAGAGAGTCGATCGAAGAGGACGTGACCGTGATAGTACCCTTAACGGAAGAAATTTCCGGCGTTCGTGAGAGCTATAACCCCCGGGAGAGTTATGTTGAGGGTGTGGATCCCCAAACACCTGCGGATGTGTTTTCCCAGGGAATAACCGAGACAGTTAATGTCTTGGTGAATGACGGATCAAGTGTAGGCGCTTATATACTTGATCTGGTGACGCCCCCGACGTCAGCTTCGGAAGTGGTCAAGTTGCCAACGCTAGAATACAAAAGATTCTTGCAAGATCTGCGTGGTGACAAGATCAAGCAGACCTGCTTACTCGTCACAGGGGACGAGTACGTCACCGATATTCGGTCAGCACAAGTGTTTGCTGAGAACGAACGGGTTCTCAGTAGTTCATCTATGGACGAGAGTGTCCCCGATGAGAAGACCCGGATTGAGCGATACACGTCTCAATCTTGGAAGTCTTTAAAGACAAATCCTTTCTATAAGGATTTGGTGGAATTCAGGGATGTTTTCCCGGAATCCGTGCCATGCGAGCTGCCCAAGTATAAAGGCACTCGGGATGAGATCGAACTAAAACCCGGTTCGAAATACTGTGTCATGAGCAGTGGCCACTGCCTCGTGAACAGGTCACAGCGATCGGCAAATTCTTTGCTGATCGATTAGCGGCTGTCATGTGATGGAAGCAACATCCCCACACAGCTCTCCGACCTTCCGTGTGCGAAAGGCCACAGGAGGGTGGCGGATAGTGCACGCGTTCAACAAATCGAGCGCTGCAACAGTACCGGATCAAGCTCCGATCCCAAGAAAGGACGTCATCATTGATGGTATGGCAAAAAGTACCATCATTTGTCCATGGATTGATGAATGGTTTCTATCAGATCCTCATGCGTGAACGGGATATCCCTTACACATCAGTGAGCACCCCAGTGATATGCTCTGAGAGTGGCTAGTGATGCCACAGGGGCTAAGTAAAGCCCCCGCAACCTTCAACAGATGTGTTACAAACCTGTTGCGATCATTGCACGATTTCGCACCGAGTTACTTCGACGATGTCTTCGTCCATAGTCGGTCTGTGGATGAAAAGACGGACGTGGAGGTTCATAGAATCTACGCCCGGAAGGTTCTTACTCTAATGCGAGAGCATAAGTTGTTCGCGAACCTCAAGAAGTTTAGATTCCCAGCGAACGAATTACCACTTCTTGGCTGCATCGCGGGTAAAAACGGTGTACGCCCTGACCCGGAAAAGATCAAGGCGATTAGCGACTGGCCTGTGCCAGTCGACGACAAGGGGCTTCGAAAGTTCCTTGGCTTGGCGGCGTACTTGCACAAGTACTCACGCAACTATGCCGAGATGACTGTACATCTCTCTCGTCTACTAAAGAAAAACGAGAGGTGGTCATGGAGCGCTGAGTGTCAGCACTCTTTTGAAGGTGTCAAGAAAATCTTGGTGCAATCGCCTGTATCGGCGATTGCAGAATAGGACAGACTATTCCATGTGGTCTGTGACGCCAGCGATTTTGTAATAGGCTGCGCGTTAATGCAGTACGACTCAGACGGCGTTGAGCGCGTCGTCGGTTATCAATCGCGTCAGCTGCAAGCAGATGAGATGAATTGCCCGGTGCATGACCAGGGGCTCATTGCCATGAAATATGCACTGGCTAAGTGTCGGGTATATCTCTTAGGAGATAGGCCCTTCATCGTTTATACCGACCGTGCGTCGATACGCACGGCCGTAAACAGTCCACACCTCTCGCAACGAATGGCGAGGTGGCTGTCTTTCTTCGCAGAGTACAACTTCTCCATCGAGTATGAACCAGGACGACTAATGTTATCGCTGATGCTCTTTCGCGTCGGACCGATTTCGAGCCGACTGCTCAACCCAACAGTAGGGGTGATCCCACTGTCGCAACACTAACAGTGAGTGTTCCGTCGTCGAATCTGCTTAATGACGTGCGAAAAGCATACACAGAAGATGAGTCTCTTCTGCGGTTGATGGATTACGCATCCAATCCATGTAGTCAAGCTTTGAAAAGATTGTCGTCTCAATACCTCTCTTCAACCGAACGGTATTCTGTCCGTGATGGACTGCTGTACTGTACAGCAGTCAACAGCGACACACCTCGTGTCGTCGTTCCGGCTCATAATGATTTGCGATTGCGCATCATGTATGAGTGTCACGATGCCCCAACAAGTGGTCATCGCGGTAGAGAAAAGACTTACCTCATGGTGAGTCGTGACTTCCACTGGCCCCGCCAGTATGAGTTTGTGCGCAAATACATTCGCACTTGCAAAGTTTACCACGGGTGAAGCCTAGTCCTTCATCCCGCGCACCCTTGCAGACTCTCCCGATTCCGGCAGAGTGTGTTGGCAGTCCGTATCGATGGAATTTGTCTTTGGGTTTCCCAAAGACAGTCACAAGAATACTGTTATTCTTGTGTTTGTTGATCGGTTCAGCAAGATGGTACATCTTGTTGCTTTACCAGAGTCAACCACAGCCCAGGGCTGTGCTCGTGTCTTCATCGATACTATCTTCCGACTTCACGGGTTACCCCGTGAGATCGTGTCTGATAGAGACCCCCGCTTTACGGCGGAGTTCTATGAATCCGTGTTCCGTTCACTTGAAACAGGTTTGAAGTCACTTGGAACAGGTTTGGAGATGTCAGCTTCTAACCATCCGGAAACAGATAGTCAAACGGAACGCGACAACCGCGTCCTCGGAGAGATACTTCGAGGTTATGCACACTCGTTTACGAGCTGGAGTGAGTTCTTGCCGATGGCGGAATTCGCCATCAACAACCCGGTGCACGCGTCGAAAACGCCTACACCGTTCTTCGTGAATGGCCTACGCCATCCACGTTTACCCGCCTTCTCAAAGTGTGACTCTAGTTTAACGAGGGGGGCGGACTCGCTCGAACAAAAAACGATCTGGTTCTTGCTCATCACCCGTCGACAATGGTGTCGACGCGATGGATGCCGATGTCGATGCGATCGATATCGAAAATGAAGATGACGACGATGCTGGTATATTCAGCATCGCCAATGACTGCCGAAGTGATGACGATGATACCCTCACCGGTGAAGACAACGTTCTTTCAGCAGTGAACACGAATTGCACTGCTTTTGAGCACTGCTTTTGAGCACGCAGTGACAAACGTGGGCAGCAGTAAATTACTGCCCAGGTACATCGGTCCATTTCGTGTGTTGCGCCGAATGGGCAACGCATACACGATTGAACTGCCCCATAAGATGTGCACGCGTCCTACAATTCACGTTGGTCGTCTCCGCCCGTACTATCAGTACGAGCCCGTTTCGAGATGCGAAGAACACCTCCGCGGCCGAGAGCCGAGACCGCCGTCGAGTGGTCCCGTTTCAACGATCCAGTCTGGTCGACTAGCGAAGCGACCTTTTCACGCAGCTCAGCGATGTCTTGACGAGCAGCAGCCAGCTCATCACGTAGAGAAACGAGTCGAACGTTCGTTTTCAAGTTGCGTGAACGCAAAAGCGGCACGATCGTCCAAACGATCATGCATTAAGGAATTGTAATTATCCCTCACAAGATCCTCAAGCCCGTAACGCCGAGATCGTTCGTAAGCCATGTCATCTTGCAACTGTTCCGTTTGACGGTTCAGCTCTGTAACATCAAGTTGATCCAACCCTCGAGCCGGATCAGGTGTTCTTACCGCCACCACATCCCTTGGTGGACTCAAGAGGTGGTCAACGCTTCCTAGTGGAGCGTATTTTGAACCACCGCAATGTGAATGGCGTTCAGACGAGTACCTCGTCCGCTGGCGTGGCTATCCACCGGCGTGGGACAGCTGGGAGCCTCGTGCCCAGAAGATTGTTGATGTCCTGGGTCTCGTCGAGCAGTATGACGAGACCCTCCCGCTTCGTTTGAAGAAGGGCATCGGAAAACGACCTCCCCGAACGCGAGTACAGGGATTGCAAAGTGTCGATCCCTTCGGCCATTTCGGAAGAGATGTGCGCCCTCCAGTAAGTATCATTAGGGAGGTAGGCCTTCCTAGGGGCACGGTTCGAATTTTCCAGGCAACCTGGACACGAATCACCCCACGAGACACAGGGTAACCCTACCTCTCTTGAAAGCTGGTGCAACTTGTATCGCGCCCCGAAGGGGTTGCGTTTCTCTAACCTGATGCGAGCTGCATCAAGTTTGGCGAGCCAAGCCTCACGGCCAATACACCCGATGTTGTGGATGAGGGCATTCCATCCTTGCACCAAGGCTTGTCGTCTCGATCACGGCTGCCATTGTACCACCGATGTTTGAAGAACGCATCGGTGAAGAACTCTTCCTCAGCACGGATAGTTTCCGTGCTGGAATCAAGAGGGCAAATCTTCCTGCAATCGAACAACGGGATTCTATCCCGTTCGGTAGTCGTGCCGGCCAACCGGTCCAACTCTCTGGATGGCGGCATCCACGGAGACTCCACTTGAGGAGCTTGGCGCAGGACATTTCGGTCCCTGGCCTCTTTATTGGTGTCAGAGTGAGCACTGGCACCAGTGTTACCACGATCCCTTGAGTTACTTCGCTCGTGGTGATGCATAGGTGCATCACCACTATCCCCACGCGTCCTATCACTGGATAGACTTGCGTGAGGCGGAGATTCGTCGGAATAATCACTCAATCCGAAGATCTCGGTCATGATGATGCCGCTCTAACCAAGCCTGTCAGCCTGGCTTTTGCAGCGTCCGTCCCAGGTGATCCAGAGGCGTGAGGAGTCGCCTTCGAGTCGGATGCATAATTCGACTCGCCAGAATAGATGAGCTCTATCTCAGACTCGTCTTGATTACGACCCGAGGTACCCTCTGCAGACGCAACGGATGTACCTGTCGCACGTGGTGACTCACCACGTGGAGAATTCACGACAACAGGCGACGAATCGCCTGCTGCTGAGTCGTGAGAGGCACTTATCGCGGCCGCACGCATGCGTGCAGCCGCTCTTCTTGCTGCTACAGTACAACTCGCGTAGTTTTTGAAACCATGCGTTGGATTAGCAAATGAATGGAATTTGACCAACAAGTGCTTCCTTTCCCAGAGTGATTCAACGGTGGTCACCCTGTCCCAATCAATTTTTAATTTAATCAACGGATGATTGATGGTTAAGAGGGGGGGGTGATGTAACGAGGTAGCCTGTTACATGAAATTGACACCGAACGGTGTCAATAGGAATATTGTCTAGCATGAATATATTCTACCGATATTATCTGAGATAGATAATATCGAAGGAATATTATCCTCCTTTGATAATATTCATGCGCTGCTTTAAGATTGGTTGCTATAAGACATATCAACCATAGATTGCCACAACCGCTGCTAGACGCGCGCAATGAGTGGAGAGCAGGTTGTCGTCATACGACGGCGTAGTTTACTATAGTTAGATAAGGATTAAAGTTATATTGATAACTTAACTGTATTAAATACAGTTCTCTTTCTACCTGTACTTGACCGAGTCTTTCAAGTAGATTAGCTTCCTCTGCACGTACTAGTATACGTGAAGTTTCGTGGCACCCCAAACAAAAGGGTGCCCCGTAACAAAAGAGCACAGCTGCACAACCTACTGATGGTAAAACTGCGTCACCAGAGCCGTTAGTAAACCTTTTTGGTGATTTTTGTGGTAAGACAGGAGGAGTATTTTACTTTTTTTGTGCAGCTGCTCTGTCGAGAAAAATGGTATTAGTAGATTTGGCAACAAATGGAGGAGGAAGTGAAGACGAAGAGGAATAGATGAATGATATGAAAAAGACAAGATATTATAAGGCAGTAGAAAACCTCTTTTTGGTTGCTGCAGCGTTACTGCTGTAAGTTCGTTATCCACATTGTTTAGGGGGCGCTTGTGCAAGGCGTGGAGTCTTGCAAGCATCACAGTTGACCGTAGTCGCTTCTCGTCGCGGCTTACGGACATTTTGCATTGTTTGACCTCAGTCACGGTGACGATGTCTCTGGATGTGGGTGAGGATGAGTTAGATATCATTCTGCTTAAAGTTGGTGGCCAGGGTGCGAACAAGAACTAGCGGTCGTTTAAACATTAGCACGTCGGCATTACTTCAAGTGCTTGACGGTGATGTAATTATACCAGTCATATTTCGACGAAGGGTATGTGCACAAGGCAAGGCGCTGCTGTATAACTTAAATAGCGTATGGAACGATGACTTACAAAACCGACTGGTTTCGGGTAGCTGCCGATGTAAAGTCTGGTCCGTAAGGGGTGTCATTGAGAAAAACTCCCACGAGGTGATGCGGATTGGTCGCGGGATAGAATAGTTTACAGTGAGTGCCGCAACTGCGGTGTTGTTGCAAAGCTGTTGTGAATGTACGCGAATTCGATGGTAGTCGGAAGTAGCCGTCTAGTTGGGAGTGGTAGCCACCTTGTAGAAGCCCAGGACCGAGCAGAGTTCACTGAAGAACAACTGCGACATGTGAATGATGCTGCTGCTATAAGCAAGTTACAAGAAGGACGCTTACAAAAAATCGATGCAGCACAGAACGTGCGAGCAAGTAATCTGCAACTCATTCACCTCGCTCCAATTTTTTTGCTTTATTCGTCAATTAATGGAACCGCAACAGACCCAAATTGCTAAGCTTGCTTCGTCTCCAGATCAGTTATTGGCTTTTTTGCGTCTTCCCTCTTTACGCAAAATTATTTCTCGTTTACGAGCTGCTGTGTCCACTCCGTTTTGTCCGAATTCCCGACTCTTGCTCTGCTACCTGTTGTACCACTCATCAACTCATTGCAGAAACCTAACGTCTATGAATAACGTACACGCGCGCCCGATTCCGCAGCCAAACACATACCTATCGACTCTTCTCCACCTGTCTAGCGTTCACTAATATTGCTACTGTTGCATGTCACGTCGTCACTGTTATCTTAGCGGATGTTTTATCAATAGATTAAACCTCCTGTGCCTGCACACGATGTGTTGGACTTTCCATGTTGACATTATCACACAACGACCCTGCATCCTGCTGTCTTACCACAAAAAGCACTATAAAGGTCCACTAAAGGCGCTGGTGACGCAATTTACTATCAGTGTTTGTGTGGTTTGTGTATCGTTACGATATTTACGTAGGACGAGGAAAGTTAATGCGGGGATTGTAAATAGGTTCCTTTTTGAATGGATTCACTTCCTCTTCTTTCTTAATGTAACCACGTGTAGCAAAAAGTTGTCATTTGTTACTATTAGTTGCCAAGTATACGTGTTTTCTCCTTTATACCCTCGCAAGCCGAATTATTGTTATGGCTATGTGGCATCGTCTGGTGGTCTATATGCCTCACCAATTGTGATTACCTCGGGAAAGGGCGATGTTATAGGAGGTTAAGATGGCGGCAACGCTTTTGCGTACGCTATCATTATAAATTAATCGGATACGCAAGCAACCATGTTCAGTGCTAGCATACAAATAATACTAACTTTACAAAAGAAAGTACCCCAAGGCCACGATACTACACCTTTAAGGTCAAAAAACAATCCTAACGATATTTAAAATCCACATGACAGTCAAGCATGGCTTTGAATGGCATTAAACGGACAAAGATAATTTTTTGATCTTAATAACAAAAAGATGGAGCTGAAAAGGATGAAAGCAAAAGACAAAATAGACGGATGGTGGTGATGAAGACGATGAAGTGCATCTATGCACATTTTACAGATCAGCAGAAATAGCAATCTAGATTTAACACGACGAAGAAAATGAGGCCGTTTAGAATTACTACAAAGTTTATGATCACTTAGCTATAGTTATAACTCGCGATTATCATAAACACCACGTGTCCTACAGTTTGCTATTCTTCTTCTTATTGACACAATTACGTGAGTAAACGATAGAAATGCGCGTTTACATGAATACGACATCGGCTCATAATTGTGTCGTATAGTTATGTCGTAAATGTTATCTTGTCGTCAAACCGTCGCAAAAATTATAGCCGCTACAGCATCTAACCCAATCTCAACAAGTTTAGGTCACATCATTTAAAGCGGTGGCTTTTTTGTGTCACGAATAATAGCTAGTGCAGAAAGGATTAATTTTACTAACTAAACATGTCGTAGTACGAAATCTGGAATTTGGAAATATGTGGACGACTGTCATCCTAGGTACGATTTTGTGATGTGCACACTTACGTGACATCTCTTTTAACTAGGATGGTACCGCAATATATGTTATTCTTAACGGATAGATGTTGCACAGTTATCGAAAAATCAATATTTGATATTTTGAAAGTTTACTTGATGAGAGAAAAGGGATGGAATAGTAATAGAAAGGCGAAGCTAGGTACATTCGCCGCCCGATATTTACTCGCCCTTCCTAAACAATGTACATAAGATTCACAATTTTTTGATCATCTAAACACTTCACCTAAGTCGGCAGTGGCCCTTGTCTCCGCGAACTGCTTGTAATGTGTATTTCGTCATTGTTAATGCCTTCCCTAACCGATAGTACCGCTCCCGCTAGTTCTGAAAGGGCTATGACCTTTGAATGCGTACGTGATATTCCCATATGCATGTGCATATAAATTTCCATAATATATGAATTGATTGAGGAGGTTTTTCTGTACTCGAATATGTATTTTTATATGCTGGACTTCTATTTCGGAATGCTAGTATCGCCTAGGTATAAGCATGCTCTCCTCCGCAAGGACGATGGGTAAAGACACCAAGCATGCGCTGTAGGCTCTCTATTGCCCGTAACGAATATTAAAATTTGTAGTCCACCAAGAAGGAAAGGAAGTGAGTAACAAGTCGAGGACTTGAATGTAAGTAGTCAAGCAAAAAAGTGAACAAGTATCTGGAAATGTGCGTGTAGCTGCTGCAATAACTTCTGGTCCATTAGTTTCAGTAGGTCCATCTACCAGCTAGGTGTCTCTTTTGACTCCCACACGTCCGTAACATGTGCCTTTTGAATACGTCTATTGGACTCCAGGAGAAATATCGGCCTCTATTATCCGTTCATTACGCTTGTTTTGAAAGAACAGTTACATGTTCGTCACAGTAAATGTGCACTTTTCTTGTTGACCTTCCCACGAAAACTGTTTCGTTTGATTTTCTCGTGCTACATTGGTACAAACAAGAAGGCGACGTCAGAAGATGTGTCCTTGAGTGTGTGTGTGTAAAAACCAACTTGTGTTGTTCGTACGTCTCATCGTGGATATCATATCACAACACACGGACGCAGAAGAACGATTGATCGAAATGCTTTGACACGGTGTTCTCTAGTTTCCATCTGTCCAAAGATTTTCTGCCCGAGCTTCTCTTCATGTACGTATCGAGTCGTGCGCTCGGCATTCGACGTCTTGTAGTCCGCGTTTCAACGAGTTAAACTATTTGATGCTAAACGACATGTTATAAGTAAAAGAAAAATTTGATCGGGTTAAAGTAGACGCTAAAGAGCTGCTCTTGTGGCTTAGGTTAGATGTTTACGCAGGGCGGGGAAAATAAGGGCGGGTCGTAAATAGTTTCTAAAAAGGAAGTGCATCTAATAAAGCCTTCAAATAAAAAAGTGCTAAAACGATGGCGTCCTCTTTGCCAATGTTCAGCGGATCCAGGCTACGTCAAGAAATAGGACCCATCACCATAATATTGCACAGTCTTGTTATAAACGTCAGCGACAAGATACAAGCCTCGTGTTGGCAGGTCAAATTGCAATACAAACGGGCTGTACACGCCCAATAGAATCAGCGTGTGACACTGTAAATTGAGAGTAGTGAATTCGACAGAGTTTTACACACGTGACATCACAAAAATGGACGAGTTAGTTACGCATAGACTTAAACACTTTACCGGCAGCAATTCCGACTTACAAGACCACGACAATGCTCTTAAGTATAGCTATGGAAAGAAATAGTGGGACGCGTTCATTACTAAATGCTTCGGGCGAATCTCATTTAACGCTTCAGCGAAGTTAAGGTGGTTGAGGGTGGATGCTGTATTGCCGACTAGCTGAAAACATCATGGCTGAATTCACACGCTTTTGTGTCTTGGTAGTAGTGATAGTTGCGTGGGGGCAATTCTGCTTGAGCTACGTCAGTGTGGTACCGTGGCACAGACTTGTCTCAAATTTGTATTCCGAAAGATTGGGTATACTATTTAACAAACTAACTGAGAGTAGCTGGTCATCTGTCACCAAATGCGTACGTTGCAGTGAGATGCCATATGTTAAAAGGCGACCACACTTGACGACAAAAAATTAAAAGAAACTTTTAATCTCCTTTCAGATCTCCGGTTAATCCCATTAGTTCGATATAACTGTTGGAAGTGCAAGATGCACCGTTTTCGACTCCAGAGATTCGACCCATGATAGGGTATGTGTGGAATGTTCTTTAGGGTTATATGCATTACAATAGGTCGTACAGCAGCTAGATGTATGGATAGTTCTCACTTGTAGATTGGCAAACCACCGATGAGGCCCCTGGCGGGGGGCCGAAACGCGTCTGGTGCGCGGTAATATACAAGTCGTTTGCTTTACTCAACTTCTACATTTTTAACAGGCTAACAGCCGCAAGGGTGTTGACGTAACTACTTTCGCGAGACAAGCTCAAGCCATGACCATCAAGAGCTCCGAAGTCATCCTGGGAAGTAGTAACTACTACCACTGGGAGTACAACATGCGGATGACACTAGCCCGAAAGGGGCTACTGGCGCATGTTGAGGTCGTGAAGCCCGAGCTCGAGATCACCGAGGCGTAGCTTATTAACGATGCAAAGGCTCTTGGGATCATCGCTCAAGGTGTGGAACTGCAGCACCAGACCAAGATAAGGTCTGCGACACGTGCTATCCATGCATGGGCTACGCTACGAGACTTCTACAATCGCTCTACGCTCCAGAACCGTGTGAACATGACGCGCCGTCCGCACCAGTTCAAGATGGAGAGTGTTTCGACTATGGCCAAGCATCTGGATGATTTCGACGAGCTTATCGTCGGATTGCAGACACTGGGAGAGCCCGTCGATGAAGCTCGACAGCTGGTAGTGCTATTAAGCAGCCTTCCTTTTGAGTATGAATTAATTTCAGTAATCGTGGAGAACGCCAAGGATGTGTCTCTGATCGAGGTGAAAGAAAACCTGCTCAAGGAATACGAGCAACTAGAAAAAAAGGACGCCACCATGGAGTAAGCGTTTCGAGCTAACGGAAATGCTGGAAGGTTCAAAGCGGGCCGAGGATACGGTCGAAAGGGGATCTCTTCAAGAAAGAATGGTGGTAAATACAAGGGCAAGTGCTTAGGATATGGCCAAATTGGTCATATGAAGCGGGACTGTCCTGTGCAGAAAGGCGACAGTGGGAATGATGATGGTTTTGCTGTGAGCGAGAAACGACTCGACGGTTGGCTGATTGACAGTAAAGCTACACCGCATATGACTCCGCATCGTTTCGACCTGTTCGACTACGAGATCCTGAACGATGGCAATGATGTAACGATTGCCGATAGCAAGAAGATACGCGTTCATGGAAAGGAACAGTGAGGCTGGCTGGTGTGAACAACTGACGAATCAAGATGACAAATATATTGCACATTCCAGGACTTGACAGACGTCTATTATCAGTTGGAAGACTCGCTGAACACGGTCTAAGTGTCAACTTTGAGCGTTTATCGTGCACCATTTAGGACGACAGAAGTGCAATTGCTGTCGGTAGAAGATGGGCAAAGCGTTCATGCTGGACTGTCAGCAGGGGAAAGCAATATTTGTGCAGTTCTCGGGAGCAGACAGTGAATGAAAGCTATGGCACGCTCGCTTGGGACACCCAAGTAAGGACGCACTGACCAAGACACAGCGTTGCGCATGAAGGAATTCCTGCGGTAAAGCAAGGTATCGAGACGCTATGCGAAGGCTGTATAAAAGGAAAATAAACCGTAGCCTCTTTTCCATCAAGAACACTGTCAAAAACATCAATAGTATTGAAATTGGTAAATACCGATGTGATGGGACCGATGCGAACACTTTCAAAAGGTGGAGCCGAGTATATTTTTACAATCGTGGACGATTACTCGCGGTACGTTGTGGCGTATGTCATGAAAAACAAGAGTGAAGTTGCCGGTAAGCTGAAAGAGTATCAAGCGCTGTATGAAAATCAGTGGGGAAAGCGTATGAAGTGTCTAAGGTCAGACAATGGAACGGAGTTTGTGAACAACACCGTGGCTGAGATGTGCACGTGAAAAGGAATCATGCACCAGCGATCTGTCCCGTACAGCCCTCAACAAAATGGAGTGGCTAAGCGTATAAATCGCACAATCATGGAGAAGGCTCGTAGCATGCTACACTACAAGGGTGTTAGTATGGAATGGTGGGCGGAGGCTTTGAGCACAGCAGTATACTTGATCAACCGTTCCACTAACACAGCATGCCTAAACTCGACTCCATTTCAGTTTGCCTACGATAGAAAGCCTCGTCTGGACCATTTGCGCGTATGTGGGTTGCAGGGGTACGCCCACATTAAAGATGTGAAGCTGACAAAGCTCGATTCCAAGAGCTTTTGCTGCATGTTTCTAGGGTATGCTGAAAAATGTTGAGGGAATTCGTCTCTATGGCTTGGACAATCTTAAGTTCAAGACATCACGTTCTGTCAAACTGGAAGAGCGTGAGGTGGCCGGTATATACGACACGCGGCCGCCGCAGCTTGAAACAATCGTCCGTTTGACCACTGAACATGATGATGAAAATCTTTCACCTGTGGAGATAGAGCAATTAGCGGACGAGCCCATGGAAGTCGATGAAGACCCTGGTATGAATGTGGAGATGGATGAGGTGGATGAGATGGTACATGAGCAGATGGTTAATTATCCTCGACTACGCTCATCAGGACCTACACCAGTTGGGCATGAACTGACTGAATATTCTCCTCCGCAGCCAATTTCGAGGAAGACCTGTTGGTGTTTCACCCTGAGACAACATTCTCAAGGCGATTCAGGGAGCCAGCATTGCTACTCGAGGACGAGAAATATAAAGACGAAGCACATCAGTCAGAATGGAGTGATGGACCGCCATCCTCAAAGCGTGCCAGAATCGACGATGATGGGTTGCTGGATGAGGCAGTATTAGCATATGCTGCATATTTTGACGGCATTCCAGACACACCAAACACGTATGCAGAAGCCATTGCTAGTGGTAAAGCAGATGATTGGAGCAAGGCTGTTGATGCAGAGCTTCATTCTCATGCCCAAAATCACACGTGGACCCTCGTTCCACGTAAAACGAACATCCGTTCGATTGGGTGCCGTAGGGTTTTAGCTAAGAAGCTGGATGAGAGCGGTCAAGTTGTTAGATACAAGGCTAGACTGGTGGCTCAAGGGTTTAAGCAGAATTTTGGGGTCAACTTCTTCGCAACATACTCGCCGGTGGCCAACGTGAACTCAATTCGAGTTGCGCTTGCTGTGTGTGCGGCACACGCCTACAAGATGAAGCAGCTGGACGCTGATACAGCGTTTCTGAACAGTACGTTGGTGAAAACCGTCTACATGGAAGCTCCATGTGGTGCGAAGAACGCTAAGGGCATGATATGCAAGCTAAACAAAGCTATATATGGGATGAAACAAGCAGCTAGCGCTTGGAACAAGACAATTCGTCATGTGTTCCTGCTTAACGACTTCAAAAGCTGCAGAATTGATCAATGCGTTTACGTAAAGCGTGCCCGAGATGGCTTCGTGTACGTGCGCCTATATGTAGACGACATGATAATTGCGGCAAAAACAAGCGTTGAGATTCAAGAAGTCGAGAAGGCGCTCAAAAACGCTATCAGGATGAAGGAGCTGGGTGCTACAAAGTTCATTCTGGGTATGGAGTTCAATCACGACATAAACGCCGGTGCGCTCATGATAAGGCAAACTCGGTACATAGACGACGTGGTAAAACGTTTTAACCAGCAGAACGCGAAGATGGTTGAAAAACCATGCACTTCGATCCTGAAGTTGTCAAAATTATTGTCGCCAACTACGGAAGAGGGACGTGCTGAAATGAGGTAAAAACCCTATCGCTCGTTGATCGGATGTTGATGTATATAACGACATGCACCCGACCAGACATCGCGTATGTGGTTACGCAAATGTCGCGTTTCCTCGAAAACCCTGGAGTTCAACACTGGAAAGCAGCCATTCGTGTGCTTTAATACCTCAAGTCGACTCGAGAATATGGTATTGCGTACCAAGGAGGTTCCGGTAGCGTCATTGCCGAAGCACACACGGATGATGAATGGGGCAGCAACACTGATGACCGACGCTCAGTGTCAGGTGTCATGGTGATGATTGGAAAAGCTCCCGTGGCATTCAAGTCGAAATACCAGAGAACAGTTGATCTCAGCTCAGCCGAAGCTGAATAAATGGCGCTAAGACTTTGCACTCAAGAAGTACTTTGGGTACGGTCGATGCTTAAGGACATGGGTCAAGAGCAAAAAGGAGGAACACTTGTCTGGGAAGACATCCAAGGTGCCATTGCATTGGCATGTAATACTGGGTATCACGCACGAACGAAGCACGTCGACATACGTCACCACTTTATTCGCGAGAACGTGGAATGCAGATCGATTTAAGTGGATTACACTGAAACGAAGCATCAATTAGCGAACATGCTGACCAAGGAACTCGGAACGAAGACTCTTAAGAGCCTGCGTGAAGCAACTGGCATTAACGACAAATTCACCGTGCCAAAGCGGTGAATGGGAGTGTTATAGTAGCACCGCTCTTGCACGGTTTATCAAAGAGTGTTTCATGGTGTTGGTTACGGAAGAAGGTTATGGATCGCGGTAACATGATGAGATCACAGGATGTCGTTACATTAAGGCTCAGACTTAGCTAGAGGTAGTGAGCTAAGGACCTTCAATATATTTACTTCGGAATTTACAATCAACACCACAACCTTCATCTCAACAGGTTAACAGCCGCAGTGCTCGCAGCAGACATCTCACCAAGGACCAACTTGTGCGAGGGACACCCCACCAGAGAAAGCGCTCGATGCACAAATAAGGCGCCGAAGAAATTCATCGACAGGGATTGTGGACGGTGCGCGTGCAGTTGAAAAGGGTTTGTGCAAGGGTGGTGACGCCAGATGGTATAAATGCGCGGGTGCTATCGAAGGAAGAGTCAAGTCAAGTGGTGACGAGTATATTTGTGGACAAGAAGAAGTGGAAACTACATACGAGGCAAACGACGACTACGAGGGGTCAAGATGTGACGTGGTGCTGGACGGTGGAAGAGCCGGAATACCTGGAACGCTCGGTATCATCGAGGTTGGCTGGAGCGCAGGGGTAAATCTCAGCTAAGATTTCCATGGAGCGCGGATGCAGCAGTGAGGATTACAAGCGGGTGGATACCCAAGTGGTCTGCATCTCGATTCGTCGAGGGGAAGTGTTGGAAGTGCATGATGCACTGTTTTCGACTCCAGAGATTCGACCCATGATAGGATATGTGTAGAATGTTCTTTAGGATTCTATGCATTATAATAGGTCGTACAGCAGCTAGATGTAAGGATAGTTCTCACTTGTAGACTGGTGCGCGGTAATATGCAAGTCGTTTACTTTACTTTACTCCTACTTTCCTACAATAACACTACATAATTGGCTAACTCATACGCATACCTTGAGGGTATTATATCACAATGAACTTTATCAAACATCTGTTTGACCTAATTTAGCATGGTTCGCAATTGTTCTTGTGTTCCCTAGCGTAAGATTATGTCCAGATTTGCCTGGAAAGTTTGCGGACTTGAAGCTTTTACGTCCACAGATGCACGCGATCGCGCACATCATTAAGGGGTTAAAGATTTTACAGCAGCGAGCCATCCACATCGCGCTAACATGCAAAGGTTTCTGCGCTAGTGAGTGGTAATACTGCTACTTTCTTTGTAATTTACTTTGAAACGTCTTCGGTTTCGTTCGTTTCGTGTTCACGCGACGCGTGTTATGACGATTTGTTGTTTGCGTTACTAAATAGTTTCATGAATATTCTCGTGCTGTTTCTGGTCTGTTGATATGTAATGTAGGCCCACACAGGAGCATACTGGAGAAATTAACATGCACAAGGAGCTTATTGACCAGCGTGCGCGTAAATCTTAATTGAAGGCTTCTAGTATCACGAAGGTGTTAAGGGACCGCAACAAGTGAGATGCTGCTTCACGATAATCAAGTTGCTGGTTCTACCAATAAAGCCGAGGATGCGGTATGCCGGTGTAAGCAAGATTCTGTTACAGTGATGAATCAGTGATAGCAATATAATAGGTAATCAATTCATGCTAGTGGACGCAGACACATCACCGTGCACTGTGACCTACAATCCCGCGACGACCGCATATTTTTTTCATGGGTACAATTAGGAATGCTGATACGGTCTTAAATTCAGACGGAATTATGTGCATTATGATGCAGACTCTCTCTCTTGACTCTCTTAAGTCGATCTTGATGGACTTTCACGCACTTGCACGACTTCTGGATCAAGTAAATCGTTTGCGGCATCTGGATTGCCGACAACGGTGTTAAGCAAACGGCGTTTCTTGTGCAACGAGGTTCCACAAGTACTTGATTCTTCTACCACTTGTAACTAACTGCACATATTTATTATATTTAAGACACTGCCCGGACGCTTGGGCGCTGGTTGAACTAGCCACCACTGCGGATGGAAAGTCTCGTACCGAAGTATTTAAATGCTAGAATGATAGAAATTTGAATAAATCTCACAGTGACGAACAATAATTTAGATCTTTGATGGTTCGTTACCACGAAGCTGAAATAAGGGAGCACACGGGTATCACGTTGTTTTCCTCCAGAGGTCGTGACAGTCCCTTCCCAATTCCTTTGATCGATAGTCTGTGCGCGCACTCCGCAGGGCTACCACCGAGACATATCCCATTACAGCAGCGAATATGGCAAAATCTGCATGTCGCCAATAGCACGTTCCCTGGCATGTAGCTGCGTTATACTGGCAACCTGCCCATCACATACAAGCTTGATCGCTGTATTCCCTGTCAGGAGGTCATCTAATAACAAACATCTCGTGATTAAACACACTGGAAGCATCACAAAGCCGCTGTCAACGGTGGATCTTTTCTACTTATTTTTTTAGCCGCATGGTCAATCTCGACGCGGATGTAGAAGTGTGACCATAATGGGAAATTTCGTGCATTCAAGCATTGAAAACATTTTCCTTAACGATAGTGGAATGAGAATATGTTGTTAGGTGGGTCAGGTAAGACAAAGCATGTGACAAACTGTTACGTTTTACATCATCCATGTGCTTGTCAGATAATGCGTTGTTTGTACAGGCAAGAATCCACGAAATTTCTCGAGTCGGGTTAAAAGTTTTACTTTAGTAGAAGATTCACAAGCGTGTTCCATTCTTGAATGAAATGGTAAAATTAATACTTCTTTTGAAACGCTGTCCGTTGTCTAGCAAATATGTGTTTTTGCGGACATGCCAGCGGCATAAAAACGCGTTTGATCTCGAAAAAATTCTGAAAGTGCTGTCGTGAGCGCGAATTCCCGGTCCTTTACGAAGGTAAGTTGGCGGGTAATACCCCAGGCGTAAAATAGGTCTTCGGCTTATTCATCGCCCAGAAACAGTCCTTTATTGTTTCCTTTCTCATGAAACAGTTTCATAGGAAAATGTGGCATTGGTTGAGGTTATACCAATCACACCCGATCAAGGGAGACCGTAAATATTTGTTTTATAGCTTGCATCAAGCAACTAAAACTGCCTTTGCTGAACATGGCGCAAACAACTCGTGCTCCATGCGAAACAATGAACAGATACAATAGCTGCATGCTTCCAGGCGTTTGCTGAAACAATACACCACAACCGTGTTTTTAAGATTCTCGAGTAGTGCTTGAAGCGGTGAACGACCAGAAAACATCTCGACTCTGTACAATCGACGCACATTGTAAATATCTTGGGATGTCTCATGAAGGTCAGCGTGGTGCTGTTATAACGATGTGAGAATGCGTCTTGGTTAGATGTCCGCTTGCACTAAAGCTAGAACACAAGTCTTATCTCTTGGCGTCTGATCCCTCCCCTTCGGATGAGCCGAAGGGTGTTCAAAAAAGCTTCGTAGTTATAATGCGCAAAAACGACCGTGACAATACACTTTACGTGCATCGTTTTCATCAGAACACAGAACGAACACCCTACCCTGCGGCTGGCAGACACGCGCATGCAGGCAAAATTTCCGCCTCTTACAGCGGCTCCAGCCTGTAAGAATTCGAGGTCTTGGTCCTTCACGCCTCCGACCTTACGATTCCCAACTCTTCGCGTACTGCGTTGCCTAGTTCGAGATCGTGCCCATTAATCGCCTTCTTGCCTCATCCAGTGTGCCATAATCATCCTCTTCTGGACGCGCGGAGCGTTCATTGCCGTACGGGTGTGGGTTATTGTGCAATGAACAAATTAGAAAGAGTCTGCTAAGAAAGATGAATCGCAGAGAACAGAAGTGATAAAGGTCGCTATTCTAGTTGATAGGGGAAGTAGTCATCCAGTAATTAACCAATCATGTGCCGGTATATAAAATGAAGGAACTTTACCAGAAAATGAGGGGAGGTTTACGGTTTCCATATTGACTGATTGTAAGCATTTGTGTACTTCGAGCTAACACCTGGAAAGAGGTAGTATTTCAGTAAAAGGGTTCTAACCCGACGCGACGCGGTGGTGTGAGTACAGGTAATTACTTCCCTGTTAGCCAATCGCCAATATTACTTTATAAGTACTGTAATCAGGGGTGTGCGGAGAGCAAAAATGGGTGTGTGGATGACCATTCCCAATATTTTAATGCATTTTCATCGAAAAAAGCAGGACCGAATGTTGATTGACATACCAGAACGGCGATGCACCGGGACCTCGCATGATGCCCTTTGATGTGTAGCTCAGACGTCGCCACATGTACATATACTTGACGTCGCAATTCGAAGTACTAGGCATAGCTTGTAAATCCAGCATGTACGAAATGAAAGGGTCGACTGTGAAGTCATGGCCAACAAGTCTTTTCGGTAGCTGATTAAATGCGTACAATTCGTCTTGATGATGGTCTGTGATGACGCAAGATATTGCGTCATCCATCCCGTGCAATACTGGACAACCTAGCCGTCTCGTCCATCCACTTTCAAAACCACCATTAGTACATCAATTACACCTCTATTTTTCGGTATAAATCGTGGTCCCGGATTCATTTACTGGTTTAACCTCCGTCTTGCATGATTCGCATCAGGCTGCACGGTGACAATCCTGGTGTCGTACGGTAACAACACGTCCAAGTAATTAACTTGGCAACGACCCGCACTTTTTCGTGACAAGTCAAACAGCGGACGATCGGTGTCGCAATATCTCGTCAACAAGGTTTTCTCCGTGATCACCTCCTCTGCTGCCGACACAATCGTTGCCATGTTTGCTTTTCCTGGCAAACAGTTGCGTACTTCGGCAACCTCCACCATCTTTCATCCGTAGTAAAACAAATGCGACTTCCGCACCTTAACAAAACGTATAAGTTCGTTATTGTGTTCTTCTAGCCAGCATGATGGCAGCGTTCTGATCCAGCGCAATCGATAAGTGACCGCTTGACAAAAGAATGGGCAAAGACATAGGTTCGCATGTGGTCATCTTCTTTCTCCGAGTAGTTCCAGCTCGTCTAGGAAGAGAAATGATAGACATATTACCTTGTCGATTGTCTTTATCGATCAGAGCGAATTTTATGTTGGCATATTTCGGACCCTCGGTGACAACAAAAGGTAGGGATGTAGGACGATAATGTGCCAAAGACTTTCGGTTTTGTACCGGTACCGTTGCATTTCGATTGGCTGATCAATTCGATGGTTCAGTGAATAGCGAATCAGCTGACGAGCGTTTATAGCCATCCGTTCATCGAAGTCGCTGAGCGGATCATTGTGCTCCTTCTGTTCATTATTATTGTAGTGACGTCTCCATCGTCCGCGGGAGCCAGTGACGATTCAAACTCACGGACCAATTCATGTCGATACATCAACTTTTTTCGGGTACCAGCTGAGGCTCCGTCACGCATCACAGATGTACAAAGCAGTAGAATTGTTGTGTATGTCTTGAAGAATGCATTTTTGCTGGCATAGTATCGCTGTGTCTATCGCTTGCTGGTAAGCTGGTCGTGAGAATCTCCTGATGTTCCAAAACAAGCGTATGTCTGACTTGCATGAAGACAACCTGTTTCTCTGAAGAAAAGACGCAGCCACTTACTAGCCTACATTTGTGCGTAGTTATCAACGCCTCTCATCCTCGTCGTAGTAAGAATAATCAAGTAAGCTCGAGTGATGATCGTTTATCTGGTTTTTCATACTTCTCACTCACGTGGGAGCTGACGAAATACAAACATATAAGACTACGATGATCTGACGAGTAGACCACAGTAGCAAAAGACAAAAAACGTAGCCAGCTCTTGTTTTCAGCACCTAGTGTCTTCTCCAAAACACCGACCGTCATCTAACTCGCTCAGACTCTCCACTTGGCTACATTCATGACGAAAGTGACTCGTGGCGTGGCCGACCCGGAGCTGACGGCCGTGATAAGATAGCGCTGTGTTCAAATCATTCCGTCGTATCGCGCCAATTGTGTTTCCATCGTAAAAGTCAGCTCTATACCAAGTACCAGTAATAACCGGTGAAACCGGATACGCCGAACGTCATCTCAGGCGCATTTGAGTCCCAAACCGTGGTCCATCCCTTCCATTGTTTCAACCACCGAAGCATGACCGGGACCCCTGATACCTCGGAGACGGGTAAGACCGCAGCACCTGAGCTGCCGGCGCTGCAGGAGTTCACGCTAGAAGACGTGAAGCCACACAACACGGCGGAAGATTGCTGGATGGTGATTCGTGACGGGGGGATCCGCAAGGTCTATGACGTGACGCGTTTTCTGGACGACCACCCGGGCGGACCAGAGATTATGGTAGACGTGGCTGGACAGGACGCGACCGACGAGTTTGAGGACATCGGGCACTCCAATGACGCGCGTTCGCAGCTCAAGAAGTTCGAGATTGGCAAGATCAAGGGTGACGTGGTCGAGGCAGTGGCTACGAAGGCTAGTGGTAGTGGGAGCTCGACCACCTTCAGTGGTCGACAGGACATTAGTGGGCAAAACGGTCCGCTCTATACCGTGCTAGTAGCTGTAGTGGCTATTGCTGTGGTCTACTTTAAATACTGGTAACTGCTGGTCTGGAGGACTGCAGAGAGACGAGACGTCTTTTGCTGGTGGATAATCAATAGCCAGGTAGAGGGAGGCTCTTGCTCGTGCTGCAACGCGGTTAGCTGTATCACGACCAAAAGAATCAACTAGCTTTGCATTCGATCAAGGAGCTTGTAGCGGTTGGTATGCGAGACTGCTAAATGTTGTGACTGGATTGGATGAATGCTTGCTCCGTGGTTGTTCTCGTGGACATCCACTGGAGCTACTTGTCTTGTCGAACAGTTGCTTCAACGAAGTACCTGAGAAAAACGCGCAGTAGACCGGATGAAGCTAAAGGTGTTCGCTGTTGACAATCGATCCGATCCTATCGCCCGCCACGCCATTCTGTGCTCGGGATACACATTAAGATTGCGACGACGGCGCGGATGCACTCTTTGCAGCGTACAGTTTGTTCCACTGCGACTGGGCGTCTCGCTTGTTTTCCTTGCTGATCGCATCTGCACATTTACGTTATCAAGCGACGTCAGCAACGTCAGCTACCATACAGAGGTGACAGTCAACACTGCAATTGACGTACGAGACTGCGCATCGATCCGAAGGCTCTCTGTACGGCGCTTCATTCTGGCTGTCGACGTCGAGATCTCCTGCATCGCCATCGTTATCCCTTGCAGCTTCCTTGAGTAAAACGGTAGTTTGTCTAGCACTGCAGCTGCATTGGCGAATCGCTCGTTCGTCTGAACGCCAGCATTTAAGCTGGTCAACATCTGAAGCAGTCGCTGCAGCAATGCAATGATGGAACAACACAGTCAGTCGTCGTACTACAATCAACTGGATTGCATCAACTGCGTGTGCATCGCACCTGTTGACTCTCCTTCAACTCGGTGATCCGATGGATCGTGCCGTCTAACGAAGGCTGCACGATATCAACAAAGGCGTTGCTCATGACGTCAATGCCGTTCATCGACGCGGCCAGCTGCCACTGCTCTCCGTTCTCCCTCTTGTGTTCAGCATCCTCTTTCATCAACAGCTGCGCTCCTTTTGATTCTTGCTGCCCTGCACTTTTCTCTGCATCATTTCGATCTTCTTCGTCGTGTTCGTCCACCCTCTTCTGCTCGTCCTGTGGCCTTACCCACCCCATAACCTTCAGCTCTTCAACTTCCATCTCTCCATCACTTTCTTCCTCCTCTTCTTCGTCTTCTTCTGCCTCATTGTCGTAGTCTTTTGTAATGTGGGGCACAGCATTAACTGTTGGCACTGTAAACCGAGGCGCTGCGGGGGACAGTCGCGACCCAAAACCCTTGAACTGCAGACCCATTTCTGCAGAAACGCTTCAAATTAGCGCCGACGTTCTCTCGATCGTCACTTATCGCACGGTACCACGCACCGCTCAGCTCACCTTCGTCATCTTCGTCGTCCTCTTCGCTGTCTTCACCTGCAAGCACTCGACCGCCGTAAGTACTTGCCATTGCGATTGGAGGTTGCGTATGGTGAGATGGAGGTTGCGGTTTATGACAGTGCGGAGGTTAGTTACTTGCACAGACTCGAGGTTTATTCCTATTAAGAGGGTATCCGGTGGTAGTGGGCTGGATACGCACGGGGAAGACAGGACTATCCCGACAACGACGATGGGATGCAGTCAATGACTATTCTGTATTCGGTATTCGGTATTCAGTATTCAGCGACGTAGACGCGTCTCCGAGATGACACGCAGCGAATCCCGCGCACGATCCATCCACCGCTCTACGATCACATCAAGCAGCAGAAGCGTAAGCGACATCCATCGAACCACCGGCTTCGAAAATAACGAGTGCGTCCGCTACCAGCTTCCTCGGCGACTTGACGAAGCGTCTGGGCCTCCTCTTCACTCTGCATCTGCAGTCGCCGCATCGTCTCCATTTGCTCACTGTTGCATTACAATCGACACACCACTTAGGACCTTTTCGACCGCTCTCTTCACTATCTTGCAGCTGAAACACATACGCTTCGGTCTTGTCAAGTCCCGGGAGATCGTCAATGAGCACGTCTGTCTCCTGCACCATCTTCAGAACGTCGTTGGCCAGCGTCCCAATCTACAGACGAGCACCAGCCCATTTACAAGGTTGTTCATGACGTCATTAACACCATCGAAACAGCTAGAAATGGAGGCTATACTGCGTCCTTTGCGACCTGATTCGTGGCGTCGTCTCCAGTCGAAGCTGGGAGCAGTCGGAGCGCGTTGAACATGCTAAGCGCCATCTTGTCTACGCTCTCCTGCAGCAGCGAAACCTTGTCCAGCGTCACAATACCGGAATCAACATCATCTGCGTCCGTCATATCTGCGTTGTCATCTTCGCCGGGCTGCATCGTCGGCAGCTCCTCTTTTACGCCGTTAGCATTCATGACGGTTCCGTCGAAATAGTAATCTCGTGATAACTCGACAGGCGACCGATGGGTATCGTGTCTTTGACGTATTATGTTTCGGAATGAGCGCATGTATCGCAGTGTAACCTGTTTATTTAGAAATGATCGTAGAAGTGAAACGGTTTAAGGGAGCTCGACCATTTCAGCATCACGTTGGATTTCTACTGCATTCGATCCCCAAATCAAGCAGCCAAGAGCCCACTGTTGCCTATTTTGACGCAAATCCTTTCAACAACCGCCTAAAACAAGTTCTTGCAATGTACTAACACAGCTTGACGTCAACCAAATCTTGGACAAAGCAACTCTGCCTTAGTGCTCTACAGTTGTCAGATTTTACTCTGGTGTCGTCATGTCCACGGTTAGCACATTAAGTCACAATCCAGCTCTTTTCCTAGCATAGCCAAAAGGACGTCTCGTCCGGATACACTCAACACTCTAGCCTTTTAGCTTGAAATTCTTTGGTGTAGCCTAGAATTTGTCTACCTAATCTTGACTTAGATGCTGCAGCTCAAGACAGTCTTGGCATGTGCTTCTAGTACGTTATCAGTTGATTGAACACTCGTAGTAGATGCAGATTGGAAGACATCGTTCAACCAAGTTTCCGTCACAATAGGTTGACATACAGCATATGAGTTTGCGCCCAGCGACAACTAGCACGGCTTGGCTCACGTGACAATCGTGGAAATCGCGACTGCCGTAATAACGAACGTCAGAGCCAAGAAGCCTCTGGCAAAGGAGACGGAGCTCACCACCGGCTCAGTAAACTCGGTGATAGCCGCCCCGGAAAAGCCCCACACGCCCTGGCAGTACCGACTACCAATCACTTGGAACCAGCACGGAATTGTCAATCCAAGTAGAAAGCCAAACAGTCCAGCCACGGCAAAGATGAAGTCGAGGCGTTTGAACGCAAGTGCAAACAAGATCGGAGGCGCTGCCACGGAAAGTCGGCACAAACTACGCGTGAAGCCTTCACCTAGACGCGCGGTTAGGTGCGATGGAAACGACTTGAGCATGTTGTCGCCAACGGTGACCCCTACCATCGGGTATGCGGACACGACGTTAATCACCGGAAACAACAGAATGATCAGCTGCACCATGATACCGAACGGGTTCGAGTACCCGCACTCATCCCATCCATTGCCGCAACCTGAGTATGAACTCCACATCAGCGTCGCCAGAGGATTGATCTCGTCAAACGACAACGCGCCAAGAAGGCCAACGAGGAGGTAGCACGAGCCGGCAATAAGCAATGCAGCAAACGCCACGAAACGCGCTTTGGACTTGGGATTCAGTGGCTGCAGTGCATCCGGCATGTTGTACTGGCAATTGAGAGCCAGTAGCGTGGGTCCAAAGCCCTTGCCAAAGTTCTGCCAGTTCACGAGTCCAATTGCCGCGTAGCGAGACGCCATCGCGTCGGATCCGTCACTCACCACTTTGACCGTCATGGTCATGAACATGAGCGCAAAGGCCACGAGTCGATACACGGACAAGAACTTCTGCACCAGTGCCTGGTCACTGATGTCCATGAGCACCATTGACAGCACAATCACGGAGAAGATGGCCATAAAGACGTAGTATGCATCCAGACAGCCAGGCGACGGCGAGGCGCCATAGACGTCGCACGAGTCCCCGACCACGTATGTGAAAAAGATCGAGGCCGTCGACGACGAGAACACGGACGCGTAGGACCAGAGCGAACCGACACAGTAGAGCCCCATGACGAGCTGCACGGCGACTTTGCCCATCCGTCCCACAAACATCTCGGCAATGGTGGCAAAGTCGAACTTGCGATACGTGATCTGATGACGGGGGACCCCGCCACCTGTGGCGGCGCACACGCCTTCAGCACGAGCCAATGACTCGAGCGTGTAGTTCATCGTGATGAGCGAACCGAGCACGCCCACGACCAGGAGCGTCAAGGAGAGTCCAATACCTGCCTCCATGAAGGCATACGGCAGCCCGAAGCAGCCCGTACCAATGATGTAGTTGAGGGCCATCGCGAGCGTCACCGCTGGTCCGTATGGCTTCACGGCCGTGTGCCCGCTGTCCCATGTGTCGGCGAGACTGCGTGTCAGCAGGTGCGAGTGTTCGGTCGAGGCCATGGCGAGGGATGAACGGGAGGAGCTCTTTTGCCTGCTGAAGAGCGCATAATGGTGGTCCCTGTGAAAGGTGATCGATCGATCGATCGATCGAGACCCTGATTCACGCAATCTTCTGAAAAGCAGAAAAGCCCAAGGAGGAAGGACTGCACGCGTTCTATTTTTTTTGACAGGGTAGTAGTCTTAAGAGCGAATGACACTGTGTGGAAGCAGCGTGGTGATGAAGAATGGATTGACTGACAGTTTGTATGGTGTTGCTGGAAGTGGGGGGGGGGGTGGTGGTAGGACCTTGATGCTGGATACTGTCGACATTGTCGGCCAGTGTGGTGTTATCTATGTAAGTAAAAGAGGAACAAGTTGTTATCGCTACTTGCTTCCCAGATGATTGTCCATGAGCTTCGACGGGAGATGATGTGTGTACAATTGACAGGCCTCTTCCTTCCATCTTTCAGCCAAGTAGGTGGTAGTGATCCATCCACCAATACCCATATGGAGGATTCTTACATTGGCTATGTGTAATTTTGCCCACCGAAAAAAACACGCGCTGCAAAGAGTGCACGACATTTGACCGATGTGTTCCGACGTCTGGACCCATGTCATTCTTTCGAATGACGTTTGCTACTGCACACAATAATGGTCCATTCTAGTCCCATAATAGTACCTGAAGTAATCCACGTATGACAGACTTATGGTCCGACGGCAGTTCCGAACTCTGAAAAGCACAAGTGACGCCGTCGACGTCATGCCCTCTTCTGATTCGTCCACGCCCCCTCCCGTCCGATCATTCCTCGTACACGCACAATCACAAAAACCACATCAACAAAAATCACCACCACCTCCAAAAGTGTACCCATTCATCCTCCATGTTGCGTCCCGTGCTCTGCTCGCTGCGTCGCTCAACGCCGTCACTCGTAGCTCGCGCTTTCGCCACTGCATCGAACGATCTCCGGATCCAAAAGGTGGGTATGGTCGGCCTCGGTCTCATGGGTCACGGTATCGCCCAGACAGCTGCCTCAGCAGGTTTCCAAGTTGTGGCTCTAGATGCTGATTCCAAGGGCCTGGACAGCGGTATGCAGCGCATCGAGGCGTCGCTGAGTAAGCTGCAAAGTCGCAGCGTGAAGAAGGGACTGCTCACGCAACAAGAAGCAGACGAACAGGTCGCTGCTGCACTGGCTCGGGTTACTCCCACGACCAACGTGGACGCTCTTGCGGACTGCGACCTCGTGATTGAAGCGATTGTGGAAAACGTGGACGTCAAGAAAGAGTTCTACGCCACGTTGGGCCACGTGGCCAAGCCGTCGGCTATCTTGGCGTCCAATACGTCGTCACTGGCGATCTCGGACTTTGCAGGGTCGTCGGGACGCGCTTCGCAGGTCGTGGGACTGCATTTCTTCAACCCTGTGCAACTGATGAAGCTCGTCGAAGTCGTTCGAACGGACGTCACGGATCCCAAGGTCTTTGATGCGTGTAAGCAATGGGTGCTCGATATTGGCAAGCACCCCGTGAGCTGCAAGGATACGCCTGGGTTCATTGTCAACCGACTGCTCGTGCCGTACTTGGCCCAGGCCATTGCAATGTATGAGCGAGGAGATGCCACTATGGAGGACATTGATGTCAGCATGCAGCTCGGTGCAGGACATCCGATGGGACCGATCACGCTAGCGGACTACGTTGGCTTGGACACGACGCTCTTCATTCTGGAGGGATGGGTGCGAGACCATCCGAACGAGCTGGCATTCTTTGTGCCAGAGATTCTTCGCAAAATGGTGGCTGAGGGCAAGCTAGGCCGGAAGACTGGAGAGGGGTTCTACAAGTGGGACGGTGACAAACGTCTGTAAGCTGCTCGTCCCGCAAGTGATCGTCGTAGTAATCAGCAAGAACACTCGATGTCCGCAACAATATACAATGGAAAAGGCTGCTGTTTATGAGTCTGCCCTGACTGCGTTGACTGCTCTTCTCCTTTACTCACAGTCTAGACAACATCGAGCGCGTTGCAAGCGGTGACTTCACCGGGTATAACCTGTCGACCTCAATGTACCAAGCCGCAAACCACGCACGCGTTTCCGCTTCGCAATTTTGTGAGATCCGCGTAAACAGTGCACGCTTCAATTCACGCAATACACGTGGGTTATGCTTCCAGTGAGAAAGGAGCCGCTCAGCCTCCATTGCAATGCTGGCCAAAATGTCAGCAGGTGCTATCTTCATGAGATCAAATACTAAGCCAGCAAGGTACATTCCACCCGTCTCGTTGGATGCAGTAGATTCTTCAGCAGAGTCCTCTGTGACCATCGCCTTTTCTTCTTCAACCAGCAGCGCAGTGCTACGCTCAAAACACTTCCGAATAGCCCAGAGCGCCAAAAGACGAGTCGACTCTGCGGTCCCATGCGCATCAAACTTAGTCGCCACCGCAAAACGAGTCTCAGAGTAAAAGAATGACCCAAATATCACCCCGCATGCCTTGATCAGCGCTCGAGGGGAAGCGTTGGCCGGGTATGAAGCAAGTGTGACTTGTAAGTAGTGCGGCAATACTATGGAGCGCGGAATAAACTTCGTCAAGTGTGAAAGACAAATCCCGATAAAATCATGGCCGAAGGTGTCCGCCGGCTCGTAAATATTGTACAGCACTGAAAAGACGACTGAAAGCGCATCGTCGACCAGTGGCGCACACTGGAATAGTAAGATACGCAGCTTTCGCTGCACGACACGCCCCACAGCCAGCGCCTGGCATCCACTGGCGATGTCGGTTTCAGGTAAAATGCTGGTGTTCACATTCACCGAATGCATTGCTACAGAGTGCAAGACTGGTGCAAAGATCTGATCAGGCGGCAATGCAGTCTTCTCCAGCGCCTCCTCTAACTGCTGTGTGACTGCTTGCATCGATGCGTTAGCAGGTTCTGACGCACACACCTCACGTGCAAACTCGATCCGACTGAGGGCAACAAATGACCGCACGGTAAAACCCACAGCCAACGCTTCCAAAATCGGCGCAATACCTGTATAGAACTGTCGGATCAATCTCACGATTTCACCTGTCGAAAGGAGCAGACTCTTATCTTGAACAATAGGTTTACCAGGCATCGGGTGATCTTTTGACATGCTCCGGCGGAACAAACTTGTCGGAAGAACTGACTGCATGGCTTCAATAAGCTTAAGACGCGTTTTGAGAGAAGTCTGGAAGAAGCTGACGAACTCCTCGATACACAGTTCCGCCATGCGAAGCGAGCATTCTTGGAGAAGAGCATGCGATGGCTCAAGAGTTAAAGCCCTCGCCCACTGATGCACTTTCGTTTGGTGTTCAGCTATTGTTGCATCACCGCGTGGTTGCAATCGGGGCGCCACAAGAGGCAAATTGACGAGCCGCAGCAGCGCAAATTGGCTCAAAATCGATGCATGGCCCGGTTGCGAGTGCATCGACACATCACTCGAATGCCTTGTGTCATCGAGGACAGTAAGACCGAGTGCCATTGCAACAATACCAACAGGGCTGTGAACTTGAGGAAACGGCTGACTCGATAGCTTAACTAGAGTGTCAGCTTCCAACGACTCCAGGTATTGTACCACCCCCGGTGATTGATGGGACAATGCCAACGCACTCAAAACTATGATGGTGACAGCTAAACCGCCTGCATCAATCAATGTACTAGCAGCGCTTCTCTTGTGCTTCGCATAGTTGAACCACGCATCTCTCAATATTGCATCGTGTGTCGATACAGAATGGAGGTGCTTTCGAAGCGGTGCAGCAACATTAGCAATAAACACAAGTTCGTATCCACGCATAGCAGCCGTCGTCCAATGCACAAAAACCTCGACCAATACTGGTGCATATTCACACTCCACGCCAGATGAAGCTCCGTCCAATGGCTTGACCATCGTGGCATCCCACAGCTCCTGACAATAGGCTCCCTGCTTCTCCTTGTCACAAATTGTCGCCAACGTCGGAAAGTCCCACGGAGGAGGCGACGTCATCATCAGCCGTACACAGCTCTCCTTCCTTTTCTCCATCACCTCACAGCAACGCAGCACCTCCAGCGAGCATCCCATTTCCATCCACAGCATCCAAAGTCTTCGATTCAGTGGTTTCGTCTTCTGCTGCACCTCGTGCCAACACATAAACATCTGCGACACTCGCTTTCGCACAGACGTTTTCACAAACGTCTCGTCTTCCACATCTACAGAGTCTGACGTCGTTATAGTCAGTGCCTGTGCTGCAATCTCGCGATGTAGCCAATCGATCACTCGGGTCATGACTTTGACAATCTCTTCCTGTTCGCTACAATTCTCCGCCGTCAGATGCTCAGGGGATGCTGCACTCAACAGCGAGATACAAGAGACAATTTTCTTCATCATCACGCTTGACGGACCTTCAGCCTGGGGCTCTAAAGCACGAGACGCACCGTCATCTTCGTCGCAGACTGTGTCCGTCATCTTAAACTCCACCGCGTCCCAGCAGCTTTAGTCAATTTATTTTCAACCAATGAGATCATTCGCACGGTTCACCCCCTCTCTCTGAGCCACGCAACATGCGGTCGCCCAGCCTCGTCACCTTCGCTGAGAACGTTCTACTTGCTGTCCAGCGTCGCCATGTCCTGGCAGTAGTACTAGCTGTGGCGCTAGCTCGGTACGTGTACTTGCGTCGTCGTCGCCACGTTGACCAGCTGTGCCTTTACCGCGCACTTAGTCGCTACGTCACGACCGAGACCCGAGACCGACCGGATAAGTGCGCATCCCCCACTTTACTGACCTCGCCAGCCGAGGAGTGGCACATTGTGACAGAGCATGGTACCCGCATGCAGTCGCTCGTGTACTACCCGCTAGAGTCCGTCAAGCACAAGACGCTCGTGTTGGTCATTCCAGGCAACCCCGGCGTCTCGTTCTACTATCTGCCGCTTATGCAGGAGCTTATTCGAAAGCACGGGCGACGCCACGAGGTGCGCTGTCTGTCACACGTGGGCCATTTTATGCCGTATAAGAACAAGGGACAGGCGTTCACGCTGCAAGAACAGCTGGAGTACAAAGCCGCGTACCTGCAGCAGCGACTGCGTGACGAGCCAACGCTGCAGCTCGTCCTGATTGGCCATTCGATTGGCAGTTACTTCTTGCTGGACATGGCCAGGCGATTTCGTCAACACATTGCCAAGCTCGTGTTCATGCAGCCGACGATTATGCACATGGCATTGTCTCGGAAAGGGAAGCAGATGATGCCGTTGTTTCACAACTACGAACGAGGAGTGGCACTTGTTGCAGCAGTGGAATTTCTCATGCCACTGTCGCTACGTCGCTGGATTGTCCGTCGCGTCTTGGGAGATAAGACGTCTGAACCATTGCAATTGGCGTCGCTCTCTCTCGTGAATGCGAGTGTCATGCGCAACGTGCTTAAAATGGCGGCGAACGAGATGGAAGAAGTCACCGAGCTGGACGGAGATCTACTGGCGAAGATTGAAGAGAAGGTCTTGTTTGTCTATTCGACGGTGGATGAGTGGGTGCCTGCTGAGTTTGTACAAGAGTACCAGCTCCGCTTTCCAAACGCGCAGCACCGTGTTGTCCCACAAGCTCATGCCTTCATGATGGACGTCAACGGTACGCGCGATATGGCGGCACACATTTCACATTGGATCAGTGAGGTTCTTGACGGCAAGCAGTCGGGGGAGATGGATGCGGTAGTAGCATAGATAGACTCGAGTTGATGTCAATTGAACTACTTGCGTGATGGCATGCTATCCTGTGCTGGCCGTCAGTGGTTACCACGCAACACATGCCATCAAACGTACCGCTATAGCAGGTCAGATTGATGCATCGTGAGCATACCATTGATTTCGATTCTACCCCAAAGTGATTTTGTCGAGCGATCAGAGGGTCAAATTGTAAGTATTGCCGTAAAAGACCATCATTTCGGTCATTTGCTTTCATTTACCAAGGTGCAGATATTGTAAAGTGATGGCCACGCATTCACCGACACGCGTTTTGCCAGATCGTCAAGCGTGCACTCAAAAAGCACAAGATGGGGAGCAGAGCAACGACAGTCAGTATTTCTATGTACGTAGCCCTTGCTGTGTCTGCTTTTGTTGAGGTTTTACCTGTGTCAAGAGATGCGTGCTCTTTGTAGCTCCATTTATTGTGACAGTAAGCTCTTTGTTCTAGCAGGACGATCATAAGAGGCGAGCTTCAGAGCTTGCTCCCCTGCTTAGGCTGGGGGACCAACCAAGCTCTGAAGCTCGCCCATTAACGTAAGTATTTCAACTCAGAGAACTAAATCAAGTTCTAGAAGTTCACGTGCCCGTTCCGGGTAGTTGGTGGCTAAGGAAAAGATCGTGCATTGTTTATTTTAAATTAAAGTGCTGATAGAACGTTGTGTGTTGAAGGTGTCGTCGCTGTGTTGATGGTATAACGATGGCCACGGATAGCGACACAATCCTTCTGATACCTAGCACAGTCCGCTAAGACGTGATTAATTTAAGTAGGTAGCGGATAACAAGCCCTCAGTTTTCGTTTATGGACCTCCACCTCATGCATAAACAAGTAATTGGATCTGGAGGCTTTTAAGTGGCGATGAAAGGTCAATCTTTTGTGCTGCTCGCCCTCTAGTGCGCTTGAGTGCTGTAAAATGGCAAATCGTATTACCAGTATAAGAACTTTCTTAATTTCTTAAAACAGTACATGTTTCAAAAGCAGAGCCAAAAAAATCAAATAGTGTAAAGCACATTTTTTTGTTGTTTTTGTAATTGGTCAGCCTGAGGCACGAAGGCTTGAGGTAAGAAGTGATCATAAGCAACATAGTATCAGGACGTCTCTACAAACGGCGGCGATCAAATTAGGCGCAATTTATGGTACCGCTGACTGGATTCACGGACAGATGTTTCGGAGCGGCGTTGCCGCAGCCACTATTGCTTTGATCAAAATGGATAGTGCAAGGTGAAGAAGAGTGGTGGCAGAAGCAAGACGTTTGTATGTCTACAAGATGAATGCCCGTCGGAGGTTCATGTGATGAATAGAGAGCCGATAGGTGGATCCCCGGATCTTTACGTATCTAAGCTCATCGATAGTCACTATGATGTATGCATGAACATTACCAAACCATTAGCACGTCAAATTAACTGCTGTCAACGCTCGATACCGCTTTTTGATTCGACAAGGGTACCAACCATAGTTCGATTCTGGCACTCATGACAGCTCGTGACGGCACTAACCTGCAGAAAAATCGCAACAGGATTTAAAGGGCCAAGGAAGTGGCGCTTATAGACATGCAAGTAGAATAGATATAATCGTTCCCGCTCCTTGCTTCACACTCAATGAAGCTTAGTCGCGTTAATTTGGACAACACTATGACTCTCGAGGTAAATCAATGCTACCGGTCTTCCAAATTTTTCGGCTTTCGTTGTGGCCGTCAGCAGCCGTTCTTATTATATCCTGGTGGTTGACTTATGGCACAATTTCACGTCATGGCAAGTACAATGGAGCGTCGCTTTTGCTAATAGAAAGAAATTAAACGGACAATACGTCACGCTTGCCACGGCATGTGCTCACGTAAAAAATAAGGATAACATGTCGTTTCTATTTTGTAGAGTGTATTGACACCGAGATTAATTTTTAGGCGTCGCTGTCATGTATGATCGTGGAAGAACAACATGCCGTAAGACTAGTTTAGTCAGGACAGGTTCAGCGTCATAATCAATTTTGTACAATAAAACGTTTGCTTCGATGTCAAATACAGTGTTGTCAGTTCTGGAACCGCGTTTGAGAATGCGTGGTGGAAACTCAAGTCTGCAAATACTGAGTTTGACTACAATGATGCCCTCACGGAGGTTCGAGCAAATTTGGATACGATGTGGCCGCGTACCTCAATGACGTTGACTAAATATACTGGATAATGTTATAATATGCCAATGCAAGATGTTGAAGGGGCAAACGTGATCACGAGTGAGAGCACGACATAGATAGAAACATGTATACCAGTATGCTCCCCAGAAAAAAGTATGCCCTTGATGAAACCATGTCCACTTTTGGGTGGCGCACTACCAACTTTATTGATAGCAACATTATTACTATTCTCGTTGATTGTATACGTGGTGAAACGAATCTGGGGCTGGTAAAATTTTAGATGAAGTTGACTATGGACAAATTTGTAATCTTTGAGATCAAAAAGAGAATTGCGCATCAAAAAGGTTTTAGTGAATTCATGTGCAAGGTATTTTTGGGAGGAAAGACAGAAGACTTCGGGCGTTTGTGTTGTTGCACGATCTGCTCCTGGGTTGAGACTCGCATCGACGCTATGCAAGATCGCAGCGTGTCGAGAATGATTTGGTGAGGTGATCACATTCAACTTTTGTGTAAATGCAATAGCCTTGCCGCCATATTGTTGACAGAACCATTACTATCGGGTCCACATGATGTCAGCTTTTCATTCGTCATACTTGTAAAGAACTTCATACAAAACTTCATAGTCCAATCATTTGTAGTGTGAGTCAGCATAAAGCCTTTAGCATCGTTGTACCCGACCCTGTACTGCAGGCAGGCTGGACAACGAAACAAACAACGTATGGCAGCTCACGATGTACAACAAACGGAATTACGTACAATGCCGGTAGTACACGGAAGCAGTGCACAAAGGTACAAAGTGGTTTTATTATGCGAATACAATCTAAAAGAAAAACGATGCATTTGTTGCATAGCCGATTAACCTGATGACGTGATAGATTCAATATTTTCAGTGTCACAAGTCACGAAAAGTACCGTGATAACTAACATCACTCCAAATGAGGGACATGAAAGAAGATGCGTTTCATTTGTGCTCGATGATAGGTGCAATTATAGCTCTTTGCAACATCACTTATATTGAATGTGTGGTAAAATCCAGGTCCGATGGATTATGTCAATAATTGAATCAAATGCATGTGCCATATCCTTCATTGATCAAGTGATTTTCAAGTGTCGACATGCAGAAAGGATCTTATTCTTTCTTTTATGGTTACATAAATAAAGTAAAACGTGCAACGATGCGAGTCTCCACAATTTTTACTCATCTCTACCGCAAGCGCATAAAGTATCTCCGTTAATCGAGTCCGAAATCAACAATTATTGCGCATTCTCGATCGAAAGGATCTGTGGATCAAGTGCTTGTAATAATCCTGGAATTTTGGGTGCAGTGGGCAGGTAAATGAGAGTCGCGATCCATTTTAAAGGCATCACCGAGTCATTGCTACTATTTTCTTGCCACGTCTTTGAAGTAGACTTCATTAGCGCACGTGGAAATCTCATCTTTCGAAAAGTTACAGATTGCCTGGGCGCACCACTTGGAAAACACCGGTTTGACATCTGTCATCGCGTACACGGACATAGTACGCATCCGTTAGGAAAGCTCAAGCAGCACCCAAATATGCAAAAATCTGACCTCCTACTACTCCATTATAAACACACGACTCTGTCAAAACGAAGTTTTTATGTTAATGAACGAGTCGACTTTGTGTAACGGGGTCCTCATGCAGTGGGTATTTGACGAGGGGTTACAGATTGGCACGCGGGCGCAAGGTGATAAGTGAAGGAAATGCTGGTTAAAATGAAGTTTGTGCAACGGTATCAGCTTATTTGAAAGGAACCTTAAGCGATCACTGTAACGGGGCACCCTGAAGCTTGTACTGGTGACAGTACAAGCTACTTATTCTGATAACAGAATAAGGCGGTGCCTCGTAACTTCACGTACACTCGTACGTGCAGAGGAAGACGGTAAGAAGAAGCGAGTACTTGGTTAGAGTAAAAAGTAGAACTGTATTTATAATAGTTAATGTCTGCAATAAATCACTATTTATCTTCATCTAACTATGTCTAAATACAAATGTGTGTATCAACTATCTGCTCACCACTCATTGCGTGCGTCTGTCGTGGCGCGTCTTCGTTGGTTGATATAATGGCCTATATCAACCAATTAGGAACTACTTGGAAGTGCTACAGAATATTGTCCTTATGACAATATTCTGAGAATATAACTCTTATAGTTATATTCTATTAACAATTTCTTATAAATTGTTATGTAACGATTCACCCCGTTACATCACCCCCCCCTTAACCATCAGTCACTTTAGTGACTGATTGACTAAATGGATACTCGTCCCAAATCATTTGGGACGGGGTTTGCACTTGTTGGTCCGCGTCCACTTTCCAACATCTCATCGCATGGTAAACAAGCCCATGCGATGCGCGAGCAAGGCCGCCGAGAGCGCGTCTGCACGTCTCTGTGCGGACGCCGAAGCAGAAACTACAGCAACTGATGTCTCATCGGTTGCTGAAGCGACTCAGCCTGTATCACCTGGTGATGCAGGCGCTGGTCATGAAGACACTCGTGTCTTCACAGAGTACGAGCTCGGTGTCTCGTACTCTCCTGATACGGATGACGGATCCGTATCGACGGCAATTGAATCCAAGCCGCCTGCCAAGCGTGGCATGGACGATGCTTTGCGTCGCAGCATCTTTGGTTCATCTGATGAGTCAGATGAACCATCGCCGAAGCGAAGGCGCTCGAGGTCGCGAGACTCGGGCGCTAATAGTGGTGTCGTTTCTCCAATGGACACCACTTCACAGCGAGGTGCCAGTACTTCTGTCGGCACGTCGCAGGAAGAGCGGGACCGCAATGTGTTGCGTCTCGCTCCAGAAAAGAAGGCATGGATGCCTCCTAAATCTG